AGAGAGAGACAGACAGAGAGAGACAGACAGAGAGAGACAGACAGAGAGAGACAGACAGAGAGAGACAGACAGAGAGAGACAGACAGAGAGAGACAGACAGAGAGCACAGGGACTCCGCTCCTCGTAGAGCACGTGGCAGACTGACGCAATCGGTGTAGCCTTGCAATTTTATGTCTTCATAAATGTCAACAAAGGAGAGAGATAGAGCACGGTCACCACTGACACATGGTGAACCCATCGCTGACACATGGTAAACCCATCACTGACACATGGTGAACCCATCACTGACACATGGTGAACCCACCACTGACACATGGTGAACCCATGAGTGACACATGGTGAACCCATCACTGACACATGGTGAACCCATCTCTGACACATGGTGAACCCACCACTGACACATGGTGAACCCACCACTGACACATGGTGAACCCACCACTGACACATGGTGAACCCATGAGTGACACATGGTGAACCCATCACTGACACATGGTGAACCCATCACTGACACATGGTGAACCCATCACTGACACATGGTGAACCCACCACTGACACATGGTGAACCCATCACTGACACATGGTGAACCCATCACTGACACATGGTGAACCCATGAGTGACACATGGTGAACCCATCACTGACACATGGTGAACCCATCACTGACACATGGTGAACCCATCACTGACACATGGTGAACCCATCACTGACACATGGTGAACCCATGAGTGACACATGGTGAACCCACCACTGACACATGGTGAACCCATCACTGACACATGGTGAACCCATGAGTGACACATGGTGAACCCATCACTGACACATGGTGAACCCATCACTGACACATGGTGAACCCATCACTGACACATGGTGAACCCATCACTGACACATGGTGAACCCATCACTAACACATGGTGAACCCATCACTGACACATGGTGAACGCATGAGTGACACATGGTGAACCCATCACTGACACATGGTGAACCCATCACTGACACATGGTGAACCCATCACTGACACATGGTGAACCCACCACTGACACATGGTGAACCCATGAGTGACACATGGTGAACCCATGAGTGACACATGGTGAACCCATCACTGACACATGGTGAACCCATCACTGACACATGGTGAACCCATCACTGACACATGGTGAACCCATGAGTGACACATGGTGAACCTATCACTGACACATGGTGAACCCATCACTGACACATGGTGAACCCATCACTGACACATGGTGAATCCATCACTGACACATGGTGAACCCATCACTGACACATGGTGAACCCATCACTGACACTTGGTGAACCCATCACTGACACATGGTGAACCCATGAGTGACACATGGTGAACCCATGATTGACCCACGGTGAATCTATGACCTTGGGAGTGTCAGTCTATGATGCGTTCTGCTTGTCACAATATTGTACCCTTCTCGTTTTTGGACATTAATGTTGTAAATATAACACGTATATATTTGGTGAAATACTCTTTGGTTCTATTCGGTAAAGTCACTTTACCGAATAGAACCAAAGAGTATGGATCCTTGCAGTCACGAAAGCTTCAAATTTAGATTTGGTGAAATGTTTAGTTATTTGTTTCTAATTACATTTCAGTCACCAAAAAAACAAATCAGCCACCTCCCAAATAATAGTTTCACCCGCCATGCAAACTGCAGTAAAGATGCAGGGTGATCACATGGTTCCCACACATTGCCTGTGTCAGGGATTGCACTGCTGGCAGCTTACCCTTGTGCCCACATGCACCTCACACCTCACCTGCCGGTTATGCGAGTACGTACGTGCACACACTCGTTTCGGGTGAATTATATATACATGCGGGCAGTGTTTAATTTTGCAGTCAGAATAGTCAAGAGCATGTCACATCCATCCTGCCTTATTTTGTCCATTTAATATTTTTTTTTAATAAACCTGTTCATAGGATTACAGGAATACTGTAAATAGGGCACAATGTAGGATTTTTTTTTTAAATGGATAGGCGCACCGTGTATTCTAGTGGTAGTGCCTCACGCCGTTATTCCCTGTCCCAAGCCAGTTTAGCAGCGTCTCAGAAAATACCGAGTCTAAAATTAAGCCCTGCAATGCAGAGGCCTGTGAACCATGCACGCAGATGCAGTTGTGTATCGCGGTCACAGTATTTTACCGCGATGTTGTTGGCAGAGACAGGATACATTTAATCACACTATCGTTTGAACAATGGAAAAAATTGTACGTGGCTATCCATTATTTCCGGTTAGCGTGGGTTGGTGAACACGAGCAGTTACATTATTACTGGTAATTACATTTTTATCTCTCCAGAAAAAAAATGAGGACCGAGTCTCACGGCTCGGTTTCAGGAGGGTCCTGCATTGCAATGCGTGGCCAATTCCTTTCTGTGTGTGGGGGGAAACTGGAGTGCTTGGAGCAAACTCACGCGCACGTGGGGGTAAGACACACAGGGTCACACCGACTGGGTTCATGAAGCTGCTTGCTGCACCGCGATTAATTGTAGCATGTGCACGAAGAGCCCTTTGTCAATCCACTGCTGGATAAGGGTTTCCCCACGTCGAGCGGGCCATGGGGGTTATTTGATCATACGGCACCACGCTGGTCAGTGCGAGTTGGCGAAGGCGGGCAGCATAGACATGGGAGCATATAAGTACAGTATAACCCTGGGTTTTTACGCATTGCCTTCTGCCCACCACATGACCCCATAACACTTGTTATGCGTACACTCAGAAATTATTTTACTAAGATTATGATACCTCCTTTGCCAGTAACAAGATATAGTAATAGGTTTTTTACCCTTTTATCTGGCACACAAAAAACTGACACCTTTATACAAGGGATCATGTTTGCAATAACCACAACACAAGTAGTCAAAATGCAAACAAAAAGAGACAACTCTGATAATGATATGCACTGTCCTTGAATTTGATTGGTCCACACCCGAGACGGCTTTTCTTAGAGCCCAGTCTCCACTGTTGTACGCCTTTTGGCGTCTTCTGGTCCAACACCAGTGGAGACTGGGCTCTAAGAAAAGCCGTCTCGGGTGTGGACCAATCAAATTCAAGGACAGTGCATATCATTATCAGAGTTGTCTCTTTTTGTTTGCATTTTGACTAATTGTGTTGTGATTATTGCAAACATGATCCCTTGTATAAAGGTGTCAGTTTTTTTGTGCCAGATAAAAGGGTAAAAAATCTATTCTATTTCACTAAGCTTTGCTTATGCCACACTTGTGCTCAGCAGCAATGCCGTCAAGCAGCAGCATTTTCTCTGAGCTGATCATTGCTGAATGACTGCTTCTCCATGTGCAGTGCAGTGTAGAAAAAAAAAACTGGGTCATCTCTACAAACTGATCAGGAACAAACGGCAGATGTGCCTTCATGGTGCATGACTGTGCAAATTGATGAGGACTCTTGTGGGATGAAAACCGCATCCCATTCAATCACTGGCATTGAGCGCTGTGGCATTGTTAAGAGGTTTTTTTAACGTTGAGAGTTTTTGATGAGGGCCCTTCTGAGGCCCACCCCTCGGAAGGTGATACCACCTCTGAGGTACAAAAACGCTGCCACACCATGGCAAGAAGACAGTGGCGTAGTGAACTACATTATCGGCGTAGTGAACTACATTATCGGGGTAGTGAACTACATTATCGGCGTAGTGAACTACATTATCGGCGTAGTGAACTACATTATCGGCGTAGTGAACTACATTATCGGCGTAGTGAACTACATTATCGGCGTAGTGAACTACATTATCGGCGTAGTGAACTACATTATCGGCGTAGTGAACTACATTATCGGCGTAGTGAACTACATTATCGGCGTAGTGAACTACATTATCGGCGTAGTGAACTACATTATCGGCGTAGTGAACTACATTATCGGCTCAGGAGGTGCGGCAGTTGGCCAGGGGGGGGAGGCCCAAAATTGGATTTGCGCAATTTGCAAAACCCAAAAGTTTCCGCTCCCATTAAATTACAATAAAACGTGGAACGTGAAATGAACGCGTTTTCTTGAAAATACACTTCAACCGCTTTTCCCCCACAAGTTTTTGTTCTTTTTACACTTTTGAAAACATATCTCTCATGGTAGTTGTCAAAGCTGACCTATCTTGTAGCTTTGGCCACGAGGGGGGGCAAGGCACCCACTGCACCCACGCTCGTTACGCTACTGAAAGACGAATATCTCACACGAACTGAAGAGGCGACAACTACACGCACTGTGCATGCATCGTCTTGTGAGGTGTGTTGTCACAAGATGGCACAAACACTGGAACGTTTAATGTCTTCGGATTTGTCTGGATGGCGACCTCAAACAAGAAGATCTCAGGAAAAGCAGGAGGTGTGGCAACCCTTTCAGTTGGGTCAGTTTTCGGAGACCCCCTCTGATCTAAGGCCCAGATTAAACTGCATCACCTCACCACAAGAAAGACGCATAATTGAATCGATTATTACATATTTTGCTCAGGATAACGCAGCTAAGTTGTCCGTGTAAGAACATATTTTTTTCTAGTTGATATATGTTGTGCGTATTGGGTTTACGTGATCCCCATTGCCACAAAAGGTGCTACTATTGACCACAAGTGTAAAATCTTAATTGATTAATGAATGAAATCGCAGCCCTGAAATTCAACAATTAATGAAACTTCTGTAAAGATGGGAGGGGTAAACAATCCCACCCATCATCAATAATCATAATCAGCCATTGTCTATCCACAGCTTGATGAAGGCCTCTCCATTTTATCGCAATCCCGCAATGTCACAAAAAAATCTCACATCTCCTGCACACGAACTAATCTCATCGCTAAATCTGCATCGTGGCCATCCTCTCAGTCGCATTCCCTCGTTTGGCTGCCATTCCATGAGCAGTCTCGTCCATCTGTCTCAATCCCTGCTCCCCCGGACACACGCGTGCGGCATGGAAAACACGTGCCGAGTGTGAGCGTTGAGTCGCGGCGTGTCAAGCGTCCTTCCCTGGCGACGCTGTGTACCTTTTGCATGAAGCTGTACCCAGAGTAGCGGGTGGAAACGAACCGCATCTCCTCCGCAAATGTCCTTGCCCATTCTCGTACGCTGCGAGGAGCAAACGCGGTAACAGGCTTAGGTCTCGGCGATGGAAATCGGGGGCTTAGCGCAATCAGGGAGGGGGGACATCCTCGGTGGGACTTCACGTGCCAGCGCCTCGGTGGCTTCTCGCAGAGGGTCAAGTTCACAGGTGCGACAAATCCCGTCTCGCGGTTTACTACTTGCAGGTGGCGAATGCAGGCGGTTTGATTGACGATTTGGCAAGCGATGTCAGTCAGTAACAATGCAGCTGTTCATTACTGGGAAAAGACCAAGTCCTTCTGGTTATGAACGCCAGGTGTTCTCGTCTGTCATTATAATAAACAATGACATTGGTTTTCTCTGCACGGCTTTAATTTGACATGAAGGATAGAGAAGGCGTATTCTCTCTCTGCATTCAACGTAACCAATTGCACGTTAACCCAGAGTATAAAAACCTGAGACGGAGTTTGTCAAATGTGTGAACTGGAGCGGTGATCTGCCACCCAACATATTTGTGCTGCCCAACCCAGCCAACTTGGCTGCTCATTTGTATGGAGGCCTGCGGTGGCTATATAACGTATGTATCTTTTTTTACTTCTTTCGCACCGTACGTAGCCACCTGTGCTAATCGGAGGTGCGTGAAAGAGTGGATGCGCCCTTGTTACTTGGTACATGCCGTTACTTGCTATGCGTGCACGAGTGGTGGAGTTGAACAACTGAACCCATATTCATATTCTTGGTTCTTTCGGTAAAGTCACGTTGAAGGGAAACAATACAATAATAATATATATAAAACAATAAAATTCTCACGACGTTTCGACTGCAACACAAGCAGTCATCATCAGGTGTGAAAACCAACGGCAAGAACATTTGAAAGAAGTGGCGATTTGTATTTCATTATTTATTTTAAAACGTTAGCGCCACAGATAGCTATTTGACAGTTTGTTTAGATGGACGAGTCCATCTATGTTCGGAAAAGAGGAGGGGGGAGACGAAAAATTAATGTATGCTGTCTGAAAGCCACCATAAGCATGAACAATCAATTAAGACCCGAAATGGTTTATCAAATCCTTCCAATGATTGCTAAGCCAGAATCCATCTTCTCGGTTGAAATTGTCTCTGTGTTTGTATATGTGGATAGCCTCATGAACGAATCTCTCATGGTACCCAGATGGCTTGCAAAGAACCTCTGTCTTGGAGAAGTCAATATCATGTGAGCCTACTGAATTATAACAGTGATCTGCCACGGCCGAGGTGTTGGTCCTACCGTGTTTAAGGTCTGCTTTGTGTTCACGAATGCGGTCCGAGACATGTCGTTTGGTTTCTCCAATTTAACTACTACCACAGAGGCAACTTAGTTTGTAGACACCAGGGTACTGTATGTCCGGAATCACATCTTTTACAGACGGAACCAGATCACGGATTTTATGTAATGTGTTGAAACGGACCTGGATCTTGTGTTTATTCAAGATTTTGGAGATCTTTTTTGTGATCCCCGCAATGTAGGTAAAGTGATGGTTTTGAAACGCTCCTCAAGAGGATCCTTCTTCATGGTTGGAGTGATAGCTTTGCGGATTGTATAGTCGGAGTAACCATTAGCCTTAAGAGCTTGGTGTACGTGCTTGAGTTCACTGCCTATGTGTTCCTGGTCGGATATGCATTGGGCTTTATGGTGCTGAGTCTTGATGAGATAATTCTTCTGTGATGGATGGTGGTGGGAATCCGGTTTCAGATAAGCATCCGTATGGGTAGCTTTCCTGTAGACAGAGTGGCTCATTGAACCATTAGGTCTCTTTTTAATTAGGACATCCAAAAAGGTAGCTTGCCATCTTTTTCGACTTCCATGGTAAATCTGATGGCTGGGTGTATGGAATTGATGTGGTCGAAGAATTGGTCTAGAGTAGGCCGGCCATGTGGCCAGATGACAAAAGTGTCATCCACGTACCTCTTCCATAAGGTTGGGCGCAGAGTGGCAGTCTGGATGGCATCACTCTCAAATTTCTCCATGAAAATGTTGGCTATAACCGGAGATAGGGGGGAGCCCATTGGGGTGCCCTCAATTTGTTTGTAGAAAGTTCCATTACAAGTGAAGTATGTATTGGTTAAGCAGTGCCTCACCAGGGGGGGTACCTCAGTGTTTAGTCCTTGATTAACCAAGTCTTCAATGATAGCGATGGTGTCAGGTACCGGGACTTTGGTGAACAAGGACACCACATCAAAACTGACAAGCAGGTCGTCTGGGGACAGGGAAATACCCTTGATTGTCGATACCAGGTGAGTAGAATTTTGTACCGCAGAGGTGGTTTTTCCAGTGAAAGGCTGCAGGATTTCATACAGAAAACGAGCCAGTTTGTAGGTGGGGGAGTTGATAGTAGAGACGATGGGACGAAGGGGTGTATCTACTTTATGTATTTTTGGTCAGCCGTATAATCTTGGTTGCCTGGCAGCAGAAGGTTTCAACGAAAACTGTTTAGTTTGATCAATTAATGCGGTTAAATCAGAAATTATTTTGTTGGTTTGTGTGACGAGGCTGTTGGTGGGATCTCTTTTTATTTTTGTATAGCTGCCATCGTCGAGTAATTATTTAATTGTGTTGTTATATTCTATTTTACCAATGATGACAGTAGCATTGCCCTTGTCGGCTGAGAGGATTACAATGTCATCCCTCTTATTTAATTTAAATATAATTCAAAATGCTCATCTTTGCTGAGGTTGCTAGCTGGCATCTTAGCGTTTTTGAGGGTTGCAGCGATTTCAGATCTTGCTACGTCTGCAGCGTCTACTTGGGCAATGATATTATTAACTGGTATGTGTTTAGGTGTGACTGCAAAGTTTAGACCTTTAGCTAAAACGGATTTCAGACCATCGAAAATAGAACTGTTACTGCGATTAATTACGACTTTGTTAACGTCTAGCTTTTTGGTGTGTGGGTCTGGTCTTTTGTTGGAGAGGAGGTTAAATTTGGAAATCAGGTTGTCCTTACATTTGGCGGACATAGTAGCAGCTGAAGAGGCAGTCATATTGTCTACATGTTCCCAATCCGATGTGGACATTGTTGCCGCCAATGATAAGTGTGATTTGTAGAGTGTCTTGTCTAACTGATCTAGTTCGGTGCGTATAAGTCTGATTTTCTCTGAGATAAGAGCTAAGCTAGTTTTGAAAATAATTTGTTTCGCATTAGAAGTTACAGCAGCAGAGGTCAGTGTAAATGCGATTGGTATTACCCCAGTCGCGGTATCTCTTCTGAAAGGTGAGAGACTCGATCAGCTGAGCCTTCTTATCCCGGAGTTTGTTGAAGGATCTTAAAGTTATGTGGAAACCCTCCCCGTAGAGGCGGTTAAATTTTGATTTAAAGCTTTTGTGACTGCAGTGATTCATATTCTTGGTTCTTTCGGTAAAGTCACGTTGAAGGGAAACAATTAAATAATAAAATATATAAAACAATTAAATTCTCACGACGTTTCGACTGCAACACAAGCAGTCATCATCAGGTGTGAAAACCAACGGCAAGAACATTTGAAAGAAGTGGCGGTTTCTATTTAATTATTTATTTTAAAACGTTAGCGCCACAGATAGCGATTTGACAGTTTGTTTAGATGGACGAGTCCATCTATGTTCGGAAAAGAGGAGGGGGGAGACGAAAAATTTATGTATGCTGTCTGAAAGCCACCGTAAGCATGAACAATCAATTAAGACCCGAAATGGTTTATCAAATCCTTCCAATGATTGCTAAGCCAGAATCCATCTTCTCGGTTGAAATTGTCTCTGTGTTCAGTTATATGTATATAACTGAACCCAGTTATGGAGTGATGCCTCCCTCCATGCATGTCCTTGGCTCACAACATTGCTCTCTCTCTCTTTCTTCGTTCCAGCTTAAGCCACTGGGCCCAATTTGTAAATCAATAGTTTAAAAAAAATAATGGTGCTGAATTCCCCCAGGATGTTTGTGAACCGTTCGAGCAATTTTACCATGGGTTTATGCACAAGTGTCACATTATGCTGAAGCATGGGTTAAAAGCTCATCCACTGACAATCCATAACCAGAAAAAGGCGTAATGCTTATAGGACTGCCACTGCTATAAAAAAAAACTATGTATTGTCCCTGGGTGGATTTTGCAAGGTGCTTGATACAATAAGTATAATTTAATAATTAGCGTTACAAACAAAGTAAATAAACAATTCATGCATTGTATTATAAAAAAGAAAACAATTGCACATGTAGTCACACAAAAAAACACAAGAGGGTGAACTGAACCGTCATGAAATGCACGTCAAAAGCGCCACTTACGTTTCTGGAGGTAACCGTTTCTGCGCGTCAGTCGCGTGCAGGGCGATGCAGCTCAGGGCGAGAGCCACGCATGCCAGCCTTACACCCACCGCCTGTCCGCCCAACTGCATGGCCACCGATTTCACGATCAGCCCCACAGACGAATACAAAGCGAACTTGGAGAATTCCCTTCAGCCTGTCCACACGCATGCGGCGCTCAAATGGACACGAAAAGGCACTTGCGCATGCTCCCGTCACTTAGCGCCGCATTTGTGAAACGATCGGCTGCCCCCATAATCCGAGGACACTAATATAATGTAACAAAGTCAACGTCAAATCGATGAAACGGGCTTCATGGTCAATCCACCACCACGGTTAAGTTTTTGTCGCGAAGTGCCTACTCTTCGTCGTCATCGTTCCGTACAAAAACCGCGAAGATCTCTCGGCCATCAAACTCAAAATGTCCCGAGTCTCTAAATCCTCCGCAAGCAAGCAAAAAAAAATGCACAACAAAAATTATCGAGTGTGTCCTCCCTCCAAGGCGCCGCTCCTCTCTTTTCGTTGGCCGTGGAGCCGCGCCGCTGGCAACGCCGGGTTGCGTGCTCCGAGGAAGGATGCTTCTTGCCAGGTGCTCCTGCTCCACACTGTACACACCTAATCCAGCCTCCTTGCCTGCCTAAATAGGATGAGGCTCTCGCTCCTGTCACTTCCAATATGTGCCACGCGAATTTACCTGCGACGGCTACGCCGGGGGGCAAAGGAAACTAAGCTCCGTGCCCGGCCATGCGCCGGCCTCCGTGCTGAAAGGGAACGTGCGCACGGTGCTTCCTACAGGCGCTTGCAAGCTCGCTTGCGGTGCGGGATGGCTTGAGGCGGGGGGGGGTGTAGAGGAGAGACGGATGGACGGAGGGAGTGAGCGAGGGAGCGAGCGAGCGAGGGGTTGAATGGGAGGGAGCTGGAAAGGGAGAGGAACAGAATACCATATAATTTGACAGGCACTCTGCGGAGCCTTTGCCTGTGGCTCATGTGCAATGACATACAATTATAATGCCACGTACCCAATAACGCAGCTTGGAAATTAAGTCACAATTGTACCATGCATGTAAGGGTTTGGCAAATTATATACGTATATATGAATATATATTTTCTGGCAAATGACTCATAACCATGCTGCACTGACTGTGCAGTCGATAAAATGCCAGAATCTGCTGAAGTTCCATTAACACGTAAATCAAAGCTGGTCCTTAACTGGAGTATACTGAATTGCTTAAGAATGCATCATCCCACAAGCTGCCGCACGATAAAACTCTGGAGCATCACCCTTTTTTTCCTTCTTCTCCAAGTATAAACTTTAAACAAACGTAAAAATGCTGATCAGACAGCACGGTCTGATTTCGTCGTCCCGTGCTCCTGCCGTAGCTCTCACGTCCCGTGTATGTGAACCACAGCCTATGACGGCCATCACTTAACGTTACTCGTCTCTGTATTTTGTGCAGTTTGGAAATGGCATGAAGCTTGCGAATCGAGATAGGGATATTACAGCAGACCAGTCGACGCGTGTGTGAGAGCAGCAGTTACAACATCGTAACAACATTTTTTTACTTGACTTAAAAAGTTAGAAGTAGGGGGCGGCTGAGCTTTCAGTGCACAATGCCACAATGAAATTTAATTTCTGAGCGCCAGTGGTCAATGAATCCCAAGTACACGTGGCGACCCAAAGCAATATCTATCAAGCCCAACAACAATCACACGTTTTAATGTTTTTCCCTCCAAAGTTTTGAAATGTTATGGGGTTTTTTTAAAATCTCCTGGGAAACCAAAGCAACTGGAGGAAATGGCGGAAAAGAAATTGACCAATTCCCCCAAGTATTTATGGGACATTTCTGAGGTCATATCATAGCTCTTTTGCAGACCAAAATCAATGTGATGAAATGTCGCACGTGCTAATTGTTGTGGCTTGTGGCTGATTGTTCGGTTGTGTGCTGCTATATTTATTTGCATCTGTCACAATTTTGTGCTGATTTGTTTACTATCGAACACAATTTCATATTGACTTGCATTATTGGCCCAAATTTTGAGGAAGGACATTTGGACAATTTTGTATGCCGCAATATATATCACATGTATTTTCACAAATTAATGTTGGCATAAACAAACAATTGCAGGGGTGCACTTTTGTATCTGCTTATTTATTTAGAAGTGCAAATTCTAATAATTATTTTATCATCGACAGCAACAACCTATAATGGCTATGATAGAAACACAGCACATGTATATGATGTGATGTATTTGTTATTGCCGACCAAAACAATAACAGCATCGCCACAAAGCACGCACTTTGACCATTTGCGCAGTTGCATGTCGTATCATCAGCATCAGAACAGAATCAAACCCATACACACGAGTGGGCGAATAAAAGGGCAAGTTTTATATGTACGGCCATTCATAAGTTTCGCATAGCATTATATGTATGTGCAAATCTCACATTAAGTTTTAAATGTTTTCGTGTTGGTTATGCTCAGTATGAAGGGTCAAGTCTGTCAGTAGGGATTAATTTTCGTTCGTGTGGCATTTGCACAGATAAGCAGCTGACATTTGAAATAGCAACAAATGCTATACATTGATGTCTGGGGTTCTTCAGCCACTCAACCACGCTGTCTGTGAGCCGGTGAATTGTCTTGATGGACACTCAGCAGTTGTGCTTCACTTTTGATTCCACTCCGCACTTTCAGGTGGAACTAATAATTCAGCAAGATCATTGGGGTTTTTTTTTTCCTGGAACAATCCAAACACGTTCTTCTGCTTAAAGACACTCACGCGAATACGCCAACAAATGTTCAACGTACTTGCTGAAGTACCTCGTCCTCCTCGAGGCACCTCGTTGCCCTCTGCAGGCGGCCGTCTGTTGCTCGTGCAACACGCGCTCGTGATCCGCCTGCCTTGTCGGCGTGCGGACGATGCACGTTCCATCGCTCTTGGCGAGACAGCTGGCCATTGCTTGCCACCTCGCGCACCCACGCCGACATCGGATTTTGAATAACGCATTGTCCATACCACAGCACGGTGCTTTACAAATACGTGTTCATCTGCATGCATCTGCCAGGGACGGTGTGTGCAAACTCGATGGCATCGTCTCAGTGGAAGGATGCGTGCAGTGGTATTCAACGTTTTTAGTGCAGCGCAGCATTGTTTCAAAATATATATCTACTTGCACGTATGGATGCGCAGTCTTTTCATTGACAATTTGTGCTGAGTGGAATGTCAGCTCTGCGCATGAAGAAATATAGTTTATAATCACAATAGCGCCCTCTGTTGGAAATGTTGCATGATAGCAACGTGAGTTGTGCTGGTGACCGAAGTGGAGGTCTTTATTGATTTGTGTTGAAATCTAAAGGGTTGTTGGGGTCATTATTGAGGAAGGGATGGAAAGGACATTAGTTCCATGTCCCTTGTGAAGGAGGACATCTCCTTGAGCAGCGGTCTCCAACCCATGGTCCGTCGAAGACTGGTGACCCGCATGCCCATGGGAAGTGATCCGCGGATCTGTTGCAGACGTAGTTTTTCACAGAACACGATAGAGGTCACTGCATGGCGGTCCGCAAAATGTCTTGAAGGTTGATAGTGGTCTGCAGGCCCAGAAAGTTTGTGGAATACTGCCCTAGAGAAGATTGCTCTGCCACTAAACACGATCAAGTTCTAAGGACGCGAGGTACAAATTCTATGGGCCTTCTTGTTGTTATTAGGGTATGGTGGCACTTTGCAGACAATAGCTAGATTAATAAAATTCCCATATTTGGGCTATGATGGAACCAGGAGATGGCAGTACATTGTTTGGGTTCATAATTCCATGCGTGTCAACCTTTAGAGTGCTATCCCCCTGTGTATGTGGGGTTTATCTGGGTAATTTGACGACGCCTGAACGAATGATTATTTAAACATCCCAAATAAAATCGGTCAAACGTCAGCAAGACCCTCCTAAAAGAGGGTCATGAAAATTGTTTTTTAAACAGTCAGAGAATTGGTCAATTTTAAAAGCATGCTCAGATTGGTTGTGGGTGGAGCTGGAGCCGAATGAGATAAGCTGAGAGCTGTCTGGTCTGTGTTTTCTAAAATATCAACAGGAGCTTATCTGGACATTGTGAAGATAGTGGGGCCGATAGCAAAGAGTGTATTTTAATGTTAAGTGAATACGAATGCCTGCACCAGAGCCTGTCTAATGTTAAAGGTCACATTATGTGCTTGACAAGATAACCTTTAGACTGCATGGTCGGCCCTGTAACCAATCACATCTATTTATGTTCAAGCCAGACTATGTAAATACATTATTCAAGTAATTCATGTGTTTCAAAATGTCCATGGCTTTACATTTAAAACGTGATCGTATTTGTATTCTCGATTTAATATCGCAGAAATCGTTTGGTAGGATAAAATATCGGCTCACAAATACATTACGTTCCACTCTTTGTCTCATTAGTGACCTCCGCCACCACATTAAGTGGCTTTTCTTCGCAAAAGCAACTGCAATGGAAAGCAAGGCAAGGCCTATCCAGATGTATTTTTCAGATCCACCGCGTGCTCTCTGACATGAAGTCTGACGTTTCACTGCCATGTGCTGGGGGCTTTTTCAGGAGCTGGCACGTTGAGTGAAATGTTAGGCAACATACCGAACAACACACGGTACAACTCGAACAGACATCCGAGAATTACAGAGCATAACCTTGAAAACTTACGCAGTAGTATTGCGGGAGCTGTGTTTATGAACGTTATCGACACCCATCACGATTGTTTCTGTAACTTCTGTAACATGCGCGATTCGTGCCAATTCATGTTTACGACGGACGATGATTATTGACAAGCAAACTACTCTAAACGTGTTTTGATAAATATATAAATGAAATACAAGGGGGGTGATGCTGGAGCCACCGTTGAACAAAATCCAAGAGACTAAGACTCGTCATCGTCACTTTTTAAAATATGTCCATTACTCAATTGCTGTGCCAACAGCTTATAAATGAGAATGCAGGGATGCTCAGTGGATTTCACTTGGGGAACTCAGCACTAAGCCTCAAGAATGATAATTATTCAAATGTATGTCATGATGTGCTACGTAGGAGCTTATGTCAGAATTAGACGCACTGTCAGCTTGTTTTAACTGCCGTGCAAAAATTGTTCGGTTTTTACTTAATCGAGTTTTTGAGTGCGTTTTTTTTAAATATAAAACCACGACAAGAGTGTGTGGCTCTCTCGTGGCGTGTACACATGCTGCACTTTGAAACGTTTTCACATTCAGGGGTGTATGTACAGCATTATTGCTATATCAAATATAATCATCAACAACCACCATAATGAATCCACTGGTGCTGGGGATTCCTTCAGAAAGTGAAGCTCCCAGCAAGTGGAGCGAAACGGTTAGGCACCATGCCGAACAACATGTGGCACAAGCGAAAGCAACATCGGAGAGCTATGCAGTACAACGACGAGAACGCACGCATCGGTAAAACTCCTCTACCCTGTTTACGGCAGTGCAGTCACAACAACACTGCCCCTGCTGCTCACCGGGCTGCTGGTGGCTGCCGTTCGCTAAGGCAGCCGCTCAACTCTGCCTGGCGAACGTGGCAGTGGCCGTGCTGAGCATCTCCCTTCTTGGGGGCATCAAAATACGAAGGTCCCCCGTGTAGCCTTAGCAAGTGCCGTTAGCGATCGGCACTTATGAAGGCCGGCACGGCACACGAAGGGGTGGGTGGCCAACACCACTCCATTTGTCTCCCCGGCGGTGATGTTTACACATCGCAACAGGTACTCATTTGAGGCTTAGTCGATCAAGGGGAGGCCCAGGACTGGTTCAGATAATTGTCACCAGTGTTGGCCGTGAGGTCGCCGGGTTTACAGTGCAGCGCACTAACCGCTATGCTACCGATAACCGCTACACTCCCGCTCTCCAGATCTAAAGAGGGTGTCAGTGTTTTGGGCATAGGGTCAGCGTTAGGGTAAGCAATATTGTTGGTGATGGTGCGCTGTATGCACACAATCACCAACATGAACAACAGCTTTTACCTCGGTCAAACAGCGTGATTTTCAGAGATTCCTGCTACGATTTTTGTTAGTGAGTAAAGATAAACAATGTATGCAGTAGTTCCACATAAAAATGCATTTTCAGAATTAAATGCAGATTTTTACGGAAAAGACGAATCGCAACACATGTTTTGTCGATGATTACGATTATGGTGATTGCTCACGTGTGTGTGTTTTGTGGTTCATAGTATTGATTTGAATTAACGCAATCGTCCATGGGGCAGAGCAGGAACGTATATCATATTAAGGAACATTTTTTTTAACAACTCCTGTATACGTGCTGGGTGTTCTGTCGTATACCGTCACATACCTGCATGTGCCCCCAACACTAAATATGTTTGAGAATCCGATTGGTGGCATCGAACGACGTACAGGGAAATTACAAATCGGAAATGCCGGTCGACAATTCGACGGTCCTCTCCGTATGTCACTGCAGAGGGAGCCATGCATGGGGGAGCCATGCAGCTGTCCATGGTACCAATCCGTCAGGCGTCGCTCACAGCACCACATAGCGCCGCCGCGTGGAGAATTTCCTCGATGCCAAGTTCATTTTGTTTCACCGGGGGAAAACACAAGAGCCCATGGATGTCTCACTTGCAAGAGTTTGCTGGGGCGTTCGTCTGCCAGTAGGGGGCGATGATTGTAGTGTGTAATCCCAATTTTAGTTACTTAGTTACTATTTAGTTACTAATTGTATGGGAAATGTGGACCGTGATGCCGGCACGCATTGCCCTAATCTTGGGCAATGAGGTCAGGAGATCTCTCATGTTCACTGTGACGCAGACAGCGTGCATTTTTATGGTTTGAACAGCTGCAGTAATAATCCGGACAGCCACTGCATTTTAACCCTGAACCTCTGTAACAAGCAGCGAACGCACTATCATTAGGCCTTATCACAGTCGAAGACTGAAGAGGGTGTCAGTGTTTTTGGGGATAGGATCAGCGTTAGGGTTAGGAATATTGTCAATGTCCAGGCTAGAGATAAGGTCGGAGTTAAATGTAGGATAGCAAGCTAAGGCTTTTGTGGGACGAGGAGTAAACGTAAAGATGCAGCCAATTGGTGGGCAGCCCTTCACTAATGAGCGCTAGCGATACCCTCTTAATGGGGATTTGGCCTTGTCGTCCACGCTAGCCTGGCATCTTGAAAGGGGTAAGATTATCCACGCTTTACCCTACCAGACGTGAACTGCATATCGACTAACTGTGGTGTACTCATACTGCTGAGTAGACAGGAGAAGGGATTTTAAAAAGTTGCCCCCCATTGGTTTCAACGACCACACCGAGAGATCAAATTGAAGTAATGGGTTGCAAGGCACATGAAGGCTGCCATGTATGTTCAGTGGAAAACACTGCAGCACGGTGCAGTACAAATACGGCCCAGGAGAAATGATCTTTCTCCCTTTCGCCGGAGGCAGGAGCGAGTTAAAATTGAATGAGAAAATATCAGTGTGTAATTGCAGCTATGAATACGAATAATACAACTTTAATTTTTACACCCAACAGTAAAAGCAAAGGCCTTTTTCACATTAACTCCATAAAATTACCACGCACAGTGGCTGATGGTTTATTTGAGTAATTTACGTAAAAAAAAAGCTATGTCCGTGCTGTAACTATGCAAACATCACAATGTGTACATTTTAACCACCGAAAAAAATTGCGTCATAATTTGGCAAATGTTAGGAATGTTAAGCAAAATATGCATTTTTAATGGATTAAAAAACCCACCGGTTTTAGGATAACACGTTTTAAAGCTCGTTGTCAATCCATTGTTGAATGAAGGCTTCCCTGCATCATGTCAATCAAGAGGCTTGTGCGACTACACACCAAAAACCTTGCCATTCGCGGGTTTCCACCATCGCGGATCTGAGCATTCGCGCGAATTGTATCGAGGTAGAGTTGGTCGATGGCGTCAACCACCGCCCCCCCCCCCCCCCTGTGGCTCGACCATTCGCGACCGACCGCGAGATTCCTTGTACGCGTCGAGACTGCGTCGCTCGCGATGGCGTTGCCGCGGAAGGAGCCACGCGTCTTGCCGTCGTGCCACTCCCGTGCAAGCCCATCGCGGGTCCCAGGATCACGTGCCTCTACCCAGCACTCCGGTGAAGCAAATGTGGCTTTTGGCCACCCACGATTGTTCTCGCTCTTAGTGTACATTTATGTACGCGTATACTCAATCCGGTTATATTACTGTACACTAAAATTACGTGTTTGTCTTCATTCTATACATTGACTGTACTGTACAAGTTATGTTTAACGGTAAAGAAAATATTAATAATATTTTAGGTGAAAACGCTTCCTGTTTGTGTTGATGTAAGGTAACATAAAAAAGCAGGGGGGTGTTGTATTATGAACCTTGAACCAAATCCTCTTTTTCTCTATTTGCCTTTGAGTTTGCGGATCGCGAATTTGCCGATTGTGGCTGTTTTCAAGAACATAACCCTCGCGATGGGCAAGGTTTTGCTGTACTTCACTATGCTCATTAATGCGGGTTGGTGAAGGGAAGGGGCAAGAGACAAGTTGAGATGTCATTAGCCGATAACTTTAGCCATGACCAGGAATCACTATGCTCATTAATGCGGGTTGGTGAAGGGAAGGGGCAAGAGACAAGTTGAGATGTCATTAGCCGATAACTTTAGCCATGACCAGGAATCAAACGTGGATAACCAGGTTTATAGCACAGTCCACTGACCCGTATGCCACTGCTCCAACCCATATTTAATATGCGTACAATACATTTAAGCACAATAATTGTGGCCACTTTTGAAAAAAAAAGCAAGCAAAATAATGCCTTTAAAAATATTTGAGCAAAGTTTGTTAAATGTTAATAAATATTAATATTTCATATTCTATGAATTACTTGATTCTTCGCACACAACATTTCAATTAAATCGATTGACATGAAGCTATACTTGACAAGTCATTGCTTTACAATAAAAATGCCAATGCTCATATATTGTGCAATTAAAAAAATATGACTGCAATGAGGTGCATTGTTTTTGTGTTTTATTTAATTTAAGCAAACAACCTTTGAAAAGTCAATTTTTGCATTTTAAAGAAATGTACGGGTGTTAAAAAGCTTTGAGAGTTCCTCATTAAAGTGTGCATAGAACCACACGTATACTATACTTTTTAACATCTCAAGCAACGGCATGAATACATTAGCCCCCAATATACAATTGATGCGTACACGTGGGCCTAAATAGACGCATCAACTAATAATTTAGTAATTAACTCTTTTAATTATTATTATTTTTTTACAAATTTACCGCCACTCAAAAACTAGCCCAGTAAGCCTTGCGCTTAAGCATATTAACACCATTTTTTTTTTAAATCCATCTCACATTGGAAAAATCCATATATTAAACCCAAAGAAGCCGCATATTGATGTGTACATTTTATTTTATGACAAAACAAATCTATTGTCCTTCCTCTGCAATCAATTGTACAGTTACGACAACAGTAGTAGCATAGATTTAACAGCGTCGATAGGACTCGCGTAGAGCGAACGAGTCTGTTCAACAGCATCCTGGCCACGATAGTTTTAAATAGCCCCCCCCCCCCCCGATGAAGTGCCAAGCAAGAAGCATGAACATCAATGTAATACAAAATGTGGGTGGCTGCTGTGAAGTTAATTTTATCATGTTTTTTTTATTCAGCTACAGAAACAAAAAATTATCATAATAATAATCAAATGGTGCAGAGCCAAGCACGATGTCTTGGTTTTCACAGAAAGCTTCCACAGGCGCGGTGACATCATGCATGTGACGCACATGTTGGTTCAGCCACTTTGCACTGACGACCGAATCATGTTTTAGTCTCCCCGCGATTGGTGACCGAGTACAACAATTGGTAACATTGTGATCTCTTGGTAGGAAGAACAAACTCTTATCTCCATATTGGCAACAAATACATCGATGTTTTTGGCTCCTTTAAGATTTTTTTTTTATTTGAGCCACTGTCGCTGCATCTGGCTGCTTTGAATCACATTTTGCAGAAGCAAATTTATTTTGCTAAAAAAAACGTTCATGCTTATGTTGGAATCAGTTAATCAACATCACTGCTGATTAATGAAGTTTGATGTTTGAGATATTACCCTGTTTTATGCTAATCGAAATATCAAACCGGATAGCAAATTACTTACCGTATTTAGTTTTCTAATTTCAAAATTAATATTTTATTTGAGTGGTCTTATTTACATGTGACTGTTCAGCCCTTTTGTAAATTCTACCAACAGATGAGGGCCTCCCCAGAGCGTGTGGGTCACGGGGTCTGTACAGTACAACAATGGATTATGTTGCACCGTCCTCTGTTGAACACAACACAGCCCTGCAGCCTACAACAAGCAGTTCTACGCACAGCGGGTCTTCTGGAGCAAGACCCTGATTAGCTTTCCGAGATCTGACGAAATCGGTTCCATCCCGTTGATTTGATAAGACAATTATTTCCTTCTGCCTCTCGTGAAATCATACGAAAAAAAACCCTCCCCGCGCACGTTGTAACTTTCACAATAAGCCTATCAACAGTATGTGCAACACGACGTGGATAACCCAACGTTGGATCGCATTGGCTGGCCATAAACAAAAAATCCCCCACTTCTCGCGTAATCCAAGTGGGCGGCCGTCAGGAGGAAAAGCTCAGGAGGTCACAGACCGCAGAGACAGCATCCAGACCAGGGGTCAACACTACAAATGTCATCACAAAATAAAAGGAATTTCAGCCAACGATGCTTCTGTAATTGTAATGTATTATTGACCCCCCAGGTCTGGGCAGCAACAGACTCATCTCCCAAAAAAAAAACACGTGCGTTTCACCATCATCTTGTGTTAAAAAAATACATTTATAAGCTTGTTTATTTTTACTTTAATATTATGAAAGCCCTTTGTTACTGTGATTCACTTTTCGAACAAGTCACCCAACGGCACGTCAACTTTCAGGTGAAAGTGCAAGGTAAAATACATCATGTCGTATGTGTCTGTATGTGCATATATACACAGAGGTATATGTATACATAGACACATTTATATATACAGTATATACGTAGGCCTATACAGTCTATATAAATATTTGTTTTCTTGTCATTCGCAGAGCACACAAATTGCAACGTTTATCCCATCAACAGTCAATGCAGTGTGAGCTGTATCAGCACCCAGTGCTACTGCTGCTGCAAACAAAATATAATTAGCCAAAAAATGAGTCACATGTTTGCAGCAAGATGAACAAGGGTAATGCACAATTGCTCCGAAGCAGACAAAAGTGTGCACAAATCAATAAACACGAGCACTGCCCCGCCGCACGTGCGCGGGACACATGGCCGAGGTGGAGGGTGGGTGGGTTGGGGGGGGGGGGTGACGTCGGGGTGACGTCGGGGCGACGCACGAACCCGGCTCAACGCTGCGTGATGCCGGTGACGTCATCACGCAGATGAGCGCGGTGACGTCACCACCGCACTTTTGCCCACCCGCGCGCCAGCCAGCCAGCAAAACTTTTTTTTAATATATAGCATGAATTTTTTTGTTGCGATCAGACCTCATGCCTAATGGATGGAAAGTCGGTAGAAATTTCAGGCTGTGGGTATGGCACACTAGCGCAGTTAAGCACGTCTGCAGTGTGTCTTTGTTCTGGATTAATTTTCTAAACAAACCAAAAAAAATCACACACAAAAAAACAAACAAAAAAATCCGGGCGATCTATTGTCAGCAGCAATGCTCGAAATTAGCTTTTCTCAAAACTCCAGTTTGTGTGGTCAGTCACTTCCCATTCGTCCCCGTCCAGACGTCATATCAAATCAACATTTTCATTCAAAGTAACGTGGTTGGCCAATCAATGCAACTGGGTGAATGGCTGCTCATAGTGGGAAAGGCGGGACTGTGTAACTGGAGTTTTAGGGGGAAAGCCACAGTAAGGATATCCCCTCCGCTTCTGTCAGCGGTGGGTAAGTCAATCCACTTTGTCACTTGCAATGAATAGCAATAAAAAAACGAATGACCTGAAATCCCCATACCTATCACCTTTGCAGATGGCGTCTTGAGCACAGATTCAACAAACACGGGTGTAATACAGAGTATTTCAAATGCGTGTGCGCGTGGTGGTGTACAGCGATGCAAAAACAAAAGTAACCCCCTCTTTACATACGGCCAGACAAGCCTTTCACGACTCGCCAAACTTCCAAAAAAACATTTACGTGAAAAACCACCAGGGAGTGCGGGAAAACCTCTTTCACAGACCCCATTTCACCGAGTGAGAACTGAAATCTCGTGCCATGGGCCCATGTCCCATCAAGAGAAAGTAATTTGTAAGAAATATGCATTGGGTGCGGTGGGGGGAGGGGGGGGATACATTCTGCTTAATATAAATATATTGTTTGTTTTGGTGAACCTTTCCACCTAATGCAAGTGTTTGAAAGTGTCTGTCAGAGTACTTACTAACCTTAAAAATTCACATTGGATTTTAGAATGACCCAGGCGATGCCTTTCTCGATTGCAAGAAGGAGGAATGTAATGGCAAGCACCCTCGCGAGTTCAATGCTGCGTCAATACTTGATTTCAGTTGTTTCTCCGCATTTTATTGTTCCTGTAGAATGACGCCTACGCAAACCTTTGCCACAAAATCGAAATGAACAACAACACTTGTGTGTCGAGCTTTTCAGTAAGATTTATGCCCAATAGCGGTGCCCTAAACCTGACAGCTGATCTCTCACTCCCCTCAGTAAACATGTTCTTTGGTGAGCCAATGAGAACATCAATGATGAACACGTTGGGTCAACGCTACGGCCTTAACATTTTTTTTTTTTAAACAGAGAGTGACTAAAAATAAAACCACAAAACGGCAACGGAAGCCGGCTAACGTGCATCGACGTACAACAGAAACGGAACAAGGGAACGGTGCGCCAACGGGAAACGTTTTCTCTTCGCTCTGTTCAAGTTAAGGGTAGATTGAATGTAATGTCTCGTGAAACGTTGCTCCACGTGAAATGCGCGCGATCGAAGCGGGGGGGTCATGCAGCGGGCTCTCTTACTGGGTAGATGAAGACGTCGGAATCCCAAGGCAATGCGCCGGGCAACACGACTCTGAGACGGGTGAAATTGAGGACCGCGTTTACCGGCAACGCAGCCGCGAGACGAAGACGCAACATCGAGGGCCCCACCCCGCTGGCGATGGACGTGATTCGCCGTGCCTTGCGAGTATTGTGCTAGCGGATGTTTCTATGCTGGCACCATAGGCTAAATTGTTATTAGAAACAACGCTTAGCAAACTCATAAATTCACCTGAAACGATGGCACTACGCTAGACTGCGTCCGTGAAATACTTCTCTGACGAACGTTTATATATATAAATTGCGTTCTTGATTTGAACGCACGTGTGCAACCCATGCGTCAAACGTCTATAGCTCAAAAGTATATCCATGTTTTACATTTTGTACAAATTTTAAGATTGATATTTTTTTTATATAAAAACGACAACACATGGCTGCAATCTATAAGCTTTTACGTACATGTTGCTCAAGAGCAACGGCAAAGCAACTTAATACATTCGAAACAAACCTAACGTTAGGTGGCCTTGAGTTTATGCGTGTGTGTGTGTCTTCACTCGTGTTGTGCGGTGTGACTGCGCAGTGATTTTCATGCCGTGTTAACATCCGAGCGATCTGGAATCAATTAACCATCATTCACACTGGCGCCAATTGCTATACGAACCTTCCATTGTCCATCCTAGAAATAAGCGTCTGCTTGCAGCGGAGACAGCGTCCACACACGACGGACGAAAGCAGCTGACACCGAACTGGCATCAACAAGGCCCACATGCTCGCTAACAGTGCCTGCCTAGAGCTTAGCCGGGTTTAACAAATGACCACGTCTTCTCTTGTTGTTTTTTTTAATGCCGGCGTGAGTATACTTCGGACGGAGGCGCGTCTAATGCATGTACGTGTGCGCGTTTGCCTGAGCGTTTGTGTAAATACGATACGAGACTTACCCGTTCGTCTCTCGTGAAGAAAGTAAAATATGTTTAGCCGCCCAACAGCCCACAAGTCTTTCCCGCGAATATTACTCGGTGGAATTTGTTTCAAAACTCCGAATAACATTTGAATCGATTGGCGGTGACCCGGGGGTGCCAAGACCTCCATAACTCCGAAACCAGAAGGCCTATGAAGACGGGAGATGTCACTGAGCCCGATACGCACGCCAAATATGGAAATAAAAAACAAACGCAAAACACCCATAACAAAGGGGGGCTGCTGGGGATTTGTGCGTGGCAACGGCTGTTTATTGCTTGTTGTGAAAGTACATCAGGATGCTGGTCTGGTCATTCCCCAGCACGTTCTGCTTCTTACGGGGGCGGCCACCCCCCTTGTCTTTGGGAGCGAGACCACTTGGAGGCAATGGCGCACCAGGCGCTCTTTTGGTACGGCCGGCGGTCATGGTCGTGCTGGCGGGATCGACATCGTCCTCATCACCATCGCTCCCAGCGTCGCCCTCCGGCAGGACAGGGTGGTGGTACCAGCGATGCTCCCAGAAAAAAACCTTAAACTATGCCCGGCCCACCAATGGTTTGCAGTGACCCGGGCAACCGCCAATCGATTTAATTGCTGACCGATAATGCTAAGTTATGGAGAGCCCCATGGGCTGGTGGGTTCAGAAATATTTTACGTCTGGGACAAATGCAAATCTTTGTTTTTGTCATTGCCCATAATGCTCTACGACAGCGCATAATGAGTTTTTGTTGTTGTTGTATGTCAATATCAGTAGTTTTGCAGCATTTTAGTTAATAAAAGTGTTGACGCAGTACTGAAACGGTTATCCTCGGTAACTCTCCCTGCGGCGGATAAGAATCGCGTATCCCTGAGTAGGCAACCACGCTACTACTGCAGGACCTGGCATGTCCAACCAACCGATCGCTCGACCACAGTGGACACGTCAACACCACAACCAACACGGAGCTCCCACTGTTGCGAGGGGCCGGCTGACATTCTAAAGCAGCATTGAGGCACCGTTCTCTCACTGAGGGCCTAATGATACCTTCAATTACCTTTGGCGGGCCAAGCATTAACACAGCGGCAGTCACTTCTGTCACTGCAAGAGGCCCTTGCAGTGACAGAAGTGACCGAGCATGCTAAAACTAGAAACACAGTGTTGCCGGGTTGAAAATACTCCCCTCTATTATGCAATTAGTCTGATTAAGATACTTGCAGTGATGGATATATTGTTAGTTGGGCCCGTGCAGTGACAGGAGGTGAGTGAGCGTGTTAATATGGGAAACGCAAGTGTTGCCGGATCGAACATATTATTCACTTGCACGTGAGTAGTGAGGCTTAGATGCTTGCGGTGATAAATATTGTTTGTGGGCCGTTTTTAAGTGGTAGGCCTCACGTGGCTGAGTGTGCCGAATGAAATGAAGTCGCAGGCTGTGTACGGCACCATGGGCCATAGGTCCCCCCCCCCTCACCACCTCTGCTTTAAAGAGCATTGACACAGATGGATCGGTCTCTCAGCTGCGTCCACTCGCCTTCGCGTTCAAATGAGTGACCAGGAGGGGTGTGGCGTTTATGTGGACTGAGCTTGGGGCTGTACCAAACTGCCAGGTGTTGAATCCATGCGAAACCGTGCCACTTTCACTGACTGCATTCCACTACCAAGATGAGACATTGAAAATATGATCGCTGCATGTGAAGACACATTGAGTGTACGCATCTCGCGTGTGGGTTCAGCTTTCCACGGAATACTATGTGCAAAGATCATTTAAAAGTGTTAAAAATGTCATTCTGTTTGACCAAACTGCTTGATTTTCTGATATATATTTTTCCCCATTTTTTCTGAAATACTAAACAAATGTTTTATTAGAAATACTCACGTGTTGTAAAACAACTTTAAATCTCTTATCTTCAGTACCCTGAAGAGCTATGCTTGAAAAATAATTAGATCAAGTTTTCATTCAAGTACTTACAGCAATAGGTATGTATATTATATCTCTATATAAATAAACTTTAGCTGATTTGTGCTGTCTATGCCTATTTATAAAACAGGCTCATGGTAACGATATGGTTTGAAATGAATGATGATTGTGTCTGCATTAGATACAAAGCAGAGCTGTAGAATGCACGCCTTAAAATGTATGTGCCATGCATGCCCAGTGAAGTATAAATCATATTACTACTTTTACGTAATTCAATTTCTTAAGCAAAATTGTATAAAATCACACTTGTGGGCAAGTGGTATACATGTGTATGGCGGACATGCAAATATCTGATGTGCAGAATGATGTTTTAAAAAGTGTCTGAGCCACACTACGTCCTTCGAATGTGTCTCTATGAACACTGATGATTCCTGCTGTGGTCTTGCCAAACAGGGCGACATTCGTGGTCGCTTCTTATGAGCTTATTCTTTCACAGAAGATCCATCCTCCTGCCTCTGTGTTCTATTTTAACGATAAAAATAACGCTCAATGACGAGCCAAGGAATAAAATAACGGCGCAACGAGTCCTTGTCGTCCTCCACGTGACTCTTGCACTAATACAATACTTCAGGGGTACATATCCTCCGCTACCGCACGGTAGGCGAAGGGGCCAGGGCCGCCACTCCGATCAACAGGTGCCAACGCGGCACTGCCCGTGGCTCTTGCTCGAGCGAAAAATGGTCCCAGAAATGCTGTCCAATTGGCATCGTTTTACTACGAAAGCGGCTCAGAGAGCAGTGCTCGAGGGAAGGATGCGTGGAGTGGGGTTGGTCTGGAGGTGGGCGGCGGGGGGGGGGGGTGGCGGGGAGGCGTCGAAGGAAATTCTCGGCGACTGGAAGACAGCCCCATGAAGTGGCCACCCCGCGCCATTTGCATCGCTCTCAACGGCACATGTCGAGTCACAACGGGGGTGCTCTTCCAGCTGTGTTCCTCCACACCTCCCACGCGTCCCCTTCGCTTGTCCGGCTTTTGGTTGCGGACGGGCAGGGAAGCAGGTGGGCGGGCGGACGAGCGATTGCGACGTTCGCCACACATCGGCGGGGCGGGGGTGGGGGGGAGGCCTACGCTACAAAGTGGTGACGCAGATCATCTCGTCCGACAGGTCCTCGTCGTACTTGACGTGCACCGGCTCGTCGTCGCTGGCGCCCGAGCCGAAGTCCTGGGGGTCGTAGTCGCGGCGCGGGGTCACCGGCGCCGAGCGGGCGTGCAGGCCGCCCCCGCCGCCCGTGGTGGGGCTGCCGTTGAGGAGGTGGCTGGCGGCGCTCTCCATCTCGTCCATCGTCATCTCGCAGGCGTCGGCCAGCTCGTGCTTGGTGACCGCCACGAAGCGTGGGTCGCGGGCGAAGCGGCCGAGCCCCTCCGATATCAGCACCTAGGCGCAAGCGCAGCAGCAACACGGCGTGCGCTCTGCCGCTCGTCCACAATGGTGCCCGTCGTGTGAAACTCACCGCCCCGCCCCCCCCCCCCCCCGCAAAGTCGTCTGAGCTAGCGGCTCCCTGCACAAGGTGAAGTGCAGGCCCAAGACCTTGTTGTTTATCTAAGCCGGTGACTGACTGCCTATAATCCTATTTGAGTGAATTCTTAATGAACGTTGTATTTTGTTGAATTTCTTGTCCTTCCCCGCACCTCCGATTAGGTTGGTTGGCTACGTACGGTGTGAAACAAGTTCAACATGCATACGTATTAAACACTGCCTGTGTGTCTTTTCCCCTGTGTCTTTGGATACAGAGGCTGCAAGAAGCACACGTTTTACTCTACCACATGTGGAAGTGCCTCCTTTGGTACCATTCCATTATCTTGGCAGTGTCCACTGTTGTCCGTTTACCACAACGGATGGATGATGAATGCCATGCAATGTCCACAACTCTCTCACTTTGCCTTATCCAAACATACTCTTTTGTATACTCTCTGATATGCAATCAATATGCGTTGCTTTTCAACTCACAGATGGCAGTGAGGTGCAGGTGATGACCCGCCCCGACTGGACATCTGTGAAAAAGAGCTTTATAGCTCATCGGATTCCTCCAGTATAAATACTGTAAATATTCTGATTCTGACGAAACTGTTCTCTCCAAGAAATATCTTTGCCTAATCTCCAGGTATGGCCAGACCTTTCAAAACAACAAATTTGCTTGTTATAAAATGCCATGGTGCATTGCTTATCCTTGTGCTACTTTCGGTTCTCAAATGATCACCTTTCATACATAGATAGTCGTGTGATAACCACATTCTATGTGTACTGCTCAGAGTGATGTATATTGATCAATACATTATGGATTTTGAAGTTTGACCGTATCATAGCTTGAGAGAAACCGTTTGTGATTGAGGCAGTGTCTGTGGCACCAGCTACATGTGTACAGGAGAGGGCGATATTGTTATACCGCAACTGGCTAAATCTTAGAAGAGTGTCTTCTTCAAAATACACAGCAGGGGAGCACAGATGGGAAGTAGTCAGGCTTCCCCTTAATCCATCAACAAGTATTAATTCTTGCACTCAGAATTTCTGCGTTAAAATTATGCATTTAATAATACATTGTTTTAGGTTTGCATGTGTTACGTGTGTTATTTATTTACTTAATGGAAGCACTCTAACCACAAGCGGGTGCAACATTCACAATGGTAAAAAAAAGCACCATCAATTTTTTTTTCATTGAATCACGAAAGCGTACCGAATTGTTACGGGGTTGAATTGTTGCACGCCTAAATGCATATTAGGATTCATTCATGCAATACCCAGGCCCGTTAATGTAAAATGTATTTGTCGACAAAGGGTCAGAGCTCGGTTAGCAGCTGGCGGAAAGTCCAGGGGAGGCACGACCTAGCCCATTAAAAATGAGTTTCTCCCCGCTTACACTGAACATGCGAATTGTCACACAGCACAGGGTCTCCTCGTATCTGTTCTTTGTAACCTTCCCCTGCTCGAGTACACTGTGCAGCTGCTCCAGCTCGTCTGGCCACGGAATGAGGTTGTGGGCTTCTGTACAAAGAGATTCAATTTTCATTAAAAATGGCTTTCATCGCAGCATAGCTGCTCCCAGGTGTGGGTGGGTGGGTGGGGAGGGGATTTCGGCATCCTCAACCCAGCCCCACTTCCTACGCCACGCGCAACCCTGCGTCCCGAAGCAGCGTTTGCTCGAAATGTTGCCGATGCGCTCGAGACATTCGGTGGGATATATTCCAAATTCTAGCGTCATCTCACAGATCTTTGTCGATCCGCCAACTGCCGGATGAAGGCCTCCTCCCCCAACGCCATGAAAGTCGTGCAGGTTTGCTTGGGTTGCACGGCTCTCGGGAGAGATGCCAACGGATTTAACAGGAATGGCATGCGGTTAAATAATATGAAACATAATGTAAACTAGTTGGCAAAATCATGCACGTGCACACGCTATAAAATGCTTTCCAAGATGCATTTATCTTTGGAAGAATATCTGTCACTCGACTGCATGTTTGCAAATAGTGTTTTTTGCTCTGATTTGTGTCCCCAGGTTTTGGACAAAGCTTGTATCGATTTGGTTAGTTTTCACAAATGGTAAGTTCCTTAAAGGAACATGACTTTATACAAATGCTTAATTAACATTGGACGATCTTTACGAGATTTAAAGCATGCATTTGAACGTGAAGGCAATTGGACGCAGCTGAGAGACCGGTCAATGTGGGTTACAGACTGTGTCAACACTCTTTAAAACTGAGGTGGCGGGAACCTATGGCCCATGGGCCGTACGCAGCCTGCGACTTAATTTCACATGGCACTGCCACGTGAGGCCTACCACTTGAAAATGGCCCACAAACAATAGGGCACCAGTGTATGAGACAAGCAAAGCACCCCGCCAGGGCAGCACACTCGACGACTCACGGCTTCCACGAGGCTGTCGGCGCTGCCCCGCGTCTCGGCGTATCGATCCCGCAGTCGGGCAGACGGCACGGCGAGCCCTCCCGGAACGAAGCTGCGGTACGGTGCGTCGGGCCCGTCCGTGTACCACGAGCTGCGGTCCACTGATGGCAGGCTGCCGTTGAGCTTGCCGCCGTGGTGATGCTGGTGGTGGTGGTGGAGGAGGGCGGAGGTAGCGGATGTTCGCGAGTCGGCGCGCTCGATGAGGATGGCGGGCGTGTAGTAGGGCGGCCGCGGCAGCGAGGACGTGGGGGACGGCAACGACGGTGGCGCCAGCGAAGGCGGCATCGTGCGGCTATTGTGGTACGAGGAGCCGCGGCCCGGCGTGGAGGATGGCGTGGCGGGTGGCGTGGCCCATGACGAGGTCGCATGCGCCGATGAGTGGCGCCGGTGTTCAGCGGCGAAGCCATCCAGGCCGGCCACGGCGAGGACCTGCGGTTGTTCGCACGTGGGAGGACGCGACGAGAGTTCGTCGACTTCACTCGTCAGGAAGCGGTCGAACAGGACGAGAAATAAAACTCGATTCCTCAACCTTGCTGCAAAGCGGTGGTGGGGAGGTGGTGTTTCTTGAACATTCTTTGCAAGCCCCTCCATTCGAATAAGTAATGAGAATAATAATGAGCATGTCGCTTTATAGACAATGGGTCTCCCTTCAGTAAGATACCACGCTGAATAATGGTTACCCAGGATGCCGTGTGTCAGCAACTTTTGATCGTTTCACTCAATACAAATGAGTTCATGCTTAAAATGTCAAGGGTTACTAAGTATCTACTGATGGGTAACTTCATATTAAAATGTTAAACTGTCCATTTAGAAACATTCTTAAAAAGCAATCACCATGGCGTACAGTGAAGGTTTCCAACTGCCCTGATATTAACTAAAATCTCTCTGCCCCCTCTATCTCTCTGCTACGAAGCTTGGACCCAAGAATGGAACAGGCCCCCCTGCACAATGCCCTCTCTCTTCGTAGTGTGGGCCGTGGGACCCCTCTGGGACAATGACCTCCAGTGCAGTTGCACTGCCTGTGCACTCGACAGCCAGGTGGCTGCCACAGAAGACTGGATTCACCCCCACGGAAGGAATGGACTGCAGAAATGTTTGGGATGTTGCATCCGTGCAACAAGAGGTGTTCTGCTTGAGAGGCTCAATATATATTTTTTTAAAACCTGTAATAACGTTCAATACAAAGTGACAACTGCTCCAACGCTGGGACACTTATTCATATTGATATTTATCAATTGATATGATAAAACACAACCCTTTTACTCAGTGAATCCAAGCCACATTGAGATGTCAAATACACAGCAAGTAATTTATTTTTTTATAAATGTGCCATGGATAAAAAAAATCGCTGTGAAGTTATTACAAGCACATGTCAGTGGAGAGCGGTAACTTTTGGTCTTAAGTCATTGTTAATGTAAAGTGATACATTGCTCAATAATGCATCCTTCCAAATGTGCACATGATTTTACACAAGTCAATGCACGTCCAAATGAGAAACTGATTGATTTATTTAGAACTCGGTTTGTTATTACTGGCCTACTGAGCACAAATCCTACTGGCCACAGGTCTGCAATAAATGAATGCTGCATTCCATCAAATCCAGCGAGAGAGAGAGAGAGAGAAAGGAATGATACCAAGAATTTTCATTTCAATTCAAATGCAATTTGACATTATTACCAATCACATTCCTAATGCAAGGCTGGCCGAGCAGCCTCAGCTAATTGGGCACTTATCTCCCCAACCCTCGGCCTAACAATGCCTCTGATGAATGCGATAACTGTCAGTCACATGTAAATCACCATCAGTCTTTTTTTGAGCCGCTCGAGTCAATTCCACCCACATTGTCACCATTTCATCGCAGAGGTAAAGCGAGGTCGTTGTATGAGCGTGGGACAAAAAAAACAATCATAAACACGTGGCAATTTTGGGGGGGGGGGGGGAATTCGTCACATTTTTTTCGGATTACCCGTGAAAGATAAGAGATATTAAAGTTAAAAAAGCGTACTAATGATTTCATGAAAAAAATATAAATCCAATGCCAACAAGAAAATACTTGAAATTGCGCACGTTCAAACTAAACGAACCTTTCCCTTTAAAGACAAAGCCTTACAGACTCTGTTGACAACCACCTGTGAAGGTAAGCAGTACATATGAGGATTTGGTTAGCACTATTCCTGCTAACCTTTGTTTCCCCGTCACAGCATAAGGTACTCAATTAAGGCTGAGTACATTTAGAGGCCCACACATTCAGATACCAATTGTTACTCATTATACGTGGCTAAATATCAAATTCAAATCTCTTGGATTGTAGCGCAGTGGACAAACCACTACTCCACCACTCTTCACACAGAAAAGAGCCAGACTAAGCCAAATTAAGTAAAGCATTACATTTGTTATGATGGTGTTTTGTGTTGCCAGAATTTGAACCCGGTATCTCAATAGTGCAAGCTCAGTGACACAAACTCCAAGCTGAAGGGCCACCATCCTACACTTGAGAACCTGGCTTATTCACAGGTGGCTGAAAAACCCAGATCCAAACCATAGATCTCAGTCACGTCTTTTGTCTGATGTAAGTGAAAGCGCACAATGCCTCCCATCACAGGCAATGGGTAAAATCACCAAAGCCCCTTATGTTGAGATGTGAATCTGGCCCGCAACAGCCACTCGCCGCGTTGCCCTCACCTGTTGTTGGGCGAGCCGCAGAGGAAGGGACGAATTGGGTGCGTAGTTCAAGGACATGGGTAGGTCCGACTCGAGGCTCGACTGTCTCCGTAGGCAGTCGATGTTAAACGAGGGTCTCCTCCCTGCGCTCACACGCACACACGCACACACGCACACAAAGATCCCCCGTATAGCCTTAACAGACTGTAGGAGCAAGTGCTGTTAGCGAGCACCTATAAAGGCCGGCACGGCACACGAGGGGGTCGGTGGCCAACACCACGCTCGGCCGCCTTTGTCTCCCAGGTGGCGATGTTTACACATCGAACCAGGTACTTATTTGAGGCTGAGTCGACCTAGGGGAGTCCCGGGACCGGTTCAGATAATCGTCACTGGTGTTGGCCGTGAGTGGGAATCTAACCCGGGTCGCCAGGTTCGTAGCGCAGTACGCTAACCGCTACACTATCGCTCCCCACGCATACACGCACACACATACATGCACCGCGCACACACAAACATGCACAGTGAGCAGCAAGGAGTGCCGGTGTCAGAGGATATATATATTGCCCCCCCCCCCCCCCAAAATATTTTTCCCCTGAGGAAATAATATGCGTTGGCTCTGGAAACCAATATTTTGAAATATTGGATCCCCTTCTGAATATTTGTATCCCCTTATTTTTTTTTATAATAAAGTAACAATTGTTTTGGCATATTGTTATGGACATGAATTTTCAACGAAAGCCTTAATTTGTTTTATTACTTTCCAAACTTATTTGTTAAATTATTTCTCAGTTTATTGTAGGGACAGTTTTACCTTTTAATACCATCTGTTTGGTCCGGACCTTGCACGAACCAATGTCGTGCCTAACCCTAACCCGAGGCTACAAACAAGTTCCCTGGGGAGAACACATGTTCACCGGTGAGTGCGCATATTCGCTCCACTTGAGGACAAATAACACCTGCGTGTCTTGTGCCATGTCATTGCCGATGCCACCGTTATCACGCTGTCCGGCACAATGCCTGGGGCCTAATGGCACCCCGGTGAGACTGCAACTGCTTCTTCTTTCAAGAAAGCTGATGTTAAATTTCGATTTAAAGCTTTTGTGACTTCAAGGATTCATCTTCTTTGGTTCTTTCGGTAAAGTCACGTAGAATGAGAATAAAATAATAAATTGATAAAATAAAATAACACAATAATATTCTCACGACGTTTCGGCCACAACACAAGCGGCCTTCATCATCCAGCGCTGTCCTACCAGACAGTCTCGTCCCTTCACCTGATGAAGGCCGCTTGTGTTGTGGCCGAAACGTCGTGAGAATATTATTGTGTTATTTTATTTTATCAATGTATTATTTTATTCTCATTCTACGTGACTTTACCGAAAGAACCAAAGAATAAAAAGCTGATGTTCTTTTGAATAAATTATCAAAATGAAATCAAGTAGAATTTGTCTACGAATTAAATAATTGCTGAATTAAAATATTCTTCTTCAGACAGCCGGTGCTGGGTTGAGCCAGAAGGGCCTATACTCGAGGGAGCTCGCGGGGACTCCTCGTGAGGGACGTTTGGCATGGCCAGGTGTCTTGGACGAGGTAGGAGTACCCAGACTTTACCCGTCTCACTGGTATGCCTGTATCCTGCTGGGTGGACAGATCGTGGACCGGGTCGGGGGTGGGTGGGATTTTATAAACTTACCCATTGTTACATCTTTGGGAACTTTTTTTCAGTATCAAAGTATGAAAAATAAGATTAGGTTTAACCCTTTCTGCCAATAAACAGGTGTTAAGATAGATACGTTTTGCAAGGAATACAGTCTGCATTAACCACACGTACTAGTGGTGAACATGCAAACAAACATGCTCTGATAAGAAATGCATTGTCTTTGAAAGTGCTTGGCCAACACCAGTGCCAGACCAGAGAACGCCAAAAGGTGAACATCGTAATAGGTTTTCACCCTTTTATCTGGCACAAAAACTGACACCTTTATACAAGGGATCATGTTTGCAATAACCACAACACAAGTATAAAGGTGTCAGTTTTTGTGCCAGATAAAAGGGTAAAAACCTATTACTATATCTTGTTACTGGCAAAGGAGGTCTCATAATGTAAGTGCTGACCCCGAGCTCTAAATACTCTGATGGTGCGCTGTTTATGAGTTGTACGCCTTTTGGCGTCTTCTGGTCCAACACCAGTGGAGACTGGGCTCTAAGAAAAGCCGTCTCGGGTGTGGACCAATCAAATTCAAGGACAGTGCATATTATCAGAGTTGTCTTTTTTGTTTGCATTTTGACTACTTGTGTTGTGGTTATTGCAAACATGATCCCTTGTATAAAGGTGTCAGTTTTTGTGCCAGATAAAAGGGGAAAAATCTATTACTATATCTTGTTACTGGCAAAAGGAGGTCTCATAATGTAAGGTGAACATCGTTTCAACCGTCACAACCTCTGGCTTGCAAGCCCAGCGCGCTAACCGTTCTACCACGGCAGGATCTCAAGGATCCGCTCACCCGTAATTAGAGATCAGGGTGCGTAAGTCTGCGGCATGAAAATATAAATTATTTTCGCGGGCCCTGTGCGACCCAGCGGGGTTGGTGGGTGACCGCCAACCGGCTCACCTGGCGGAGTTGGGGGCAGCAGTCTCCTGCGCTGGGGATTCCTGCTCAGTTCCTTGTCGTGGGAGCGGCAGGAGGACGTGTGGGTCAGCGGCTCGTCGTACTGCCGGTCAGCTCCCCGGTAGCGTCCGCTCGACTCCTTGTAGTATTGCCTGCAGTGGGCACAGCATTGTGAAGTGCAGAATCACAACGCAGATGGTCAAAGATCCAGTTTCGAGTTTATTTTGTGAAAGTCGGTGAGAACGCAAGGGACCCGGATAGGAGTCTCATTTGCGAGAGTGATCTGGGCCACCAACATGACGAAAGCTAAACAAATAAAACATAGTACAGCAACGGAACCACTGGAGGTCACGTGGAAAAAAACTGCGTCACATAATGAAATCGAAAATATTGCACAAACATAAATCGGTGTTAATACGATTCCTGTAGTGTAAGTCTCACTTTGGGCAGATCATTTTTCTTTACTAATAATAATACAATAAATTTAAGTTACGCAGATATCGGGTGACTCATTATACTTAAATGTGCACAGGCCTAATGGCCTAAAATTCAAAGCAGCCACCAATACAGAGAGAGCGAGCTGATGAGAACAGAGCAGATAATAACTTATACGTGTCTTGAGCTGAGAAAACAGAGAAGCCAGGGAATAGTGATGATAGGGTAGAGGGAGAATAAAGGAGGTGGAAAAGAAAGGTTCTATCCTACAATCCAGTCGATTGAACACGGCATACAATTGAGAGGAAACGTTCAGTCTGGTAAAACTTGTCATTTGGTATTGAAGTGAAGTTTACGGGAACAATGGCTGTAGTCGGCCCTACGTTGAAGTATAGAGGGCGTGGAAATAGTATGAGGTTAGAAGACACTCGCCAACTAAATCATAGCCATGCCTATAATAATAACCAACAACTAGCACTACCACTGACTCTAATCCTACCTCTAACCCCACTTTACGCACTTAGAAGGGCTCTCAGAAGTAGCTCTGTGTTATCTGCTTCCATGCTCCGTTCTCTAATAGGAGGGAGGGGTGGGGGTAATGCACTGTGCCCTGCAAGAGATCCGATTGGATCCTTCGCCATTCTGCCTATAGCACCAATGGTGATACAACTGAGGGAATATATGTGTTTAATATGTGTTTAACTCGTCTTGTCACTCAACAATAGGGGAAATCTAGCGATTTCACACCAGTGGAATGCAAGTGCTTATTCACATACCTATATCAATATATACGGGAGGTCTGGACCGCCCTACTCAATATGCTGCCGCCGCGACCCTCACCAGGACAAGCGGATTGAGTCGCGAACGAATATCAATAGACACATAAATATGAACGTGAATATATCTATATTGATATTCAGCAATGGCACTAGAGCATGCCCATTGCAGTGATGTGAAAGTACGTTTTTCCTCACGAGAAAAACCGTCAAATGTTCTGACAGCCCACGACGTACATCTGTGACATAAGAGCTCTATTTTAAAAAGAGTAAAGATGAATGTTGAGTCCCAACAGCCATTTTTTTATGGCAGTCCCTGCTTTGGAATGCGTGGACAAATAATCTTTTCGACTTATGTCATCCAAGCTTTTATCGGAGCTTCCACTTCCAAACAGCGACATTGGAGGACAAGTCGAGGAAAGAACGAGTGGTGTAGGGTGTTTGGCACCGTTACTGGGCCCCTCCGGCCAGTGGACACCGGTGCTGTTTCACCGCATTCACACCCAATATGCAATGCACTGGCGAGATCCCACCGTGCATTGACACCGCATTACGATTGTAAGTCCATCACACGGACACTTACTCCAAGACTGGAAGAGGTGAGGTGCAGTCCTTCCATATTAAAACTGCTGCTATTGGAACCACACAACGGAGACAATAATTATTATAAATGGCCTCCGTTTACCTAGGACAGTTCTCACCAGGCCTGAAGACTCGTTTTAAGGAGGGTCCTGCATCGGGATGTTTTGGCCATTTCTGTAAATGAACGCTTGAAGTAGGTATGTCCCGACTCACCGCCCTGAAATTATGTGAAATGTCATAACTTTATTTAGGAATTATTTCACCGTCTCGTTTTGACCATCTCAGTTGTACTGCTCCTTTTTTGTTCCGTTTCACGTGTGCACCTTTGTTCCATCCCATCAACACGAGCAATCGATTTGCATATACATTACATAAATCGTCACAAATCTATGCTCACGCACATTATTTGATGCACATATCCTGGCTGTGAGAATCAAACTTAATTGAAGGATCGTTAGACCTCTATAATGAAGCACGTGGACTCCTGCCTGAGGATGATTTGTCCCCTCTGTTGCTTCCCCAAGTCATCCGTGCTCTTGATTTCCTGCCTCCGTTCAAATCCATGCTCAAGGCCTCCCTGTTTTCTTCTTCCTGTCTCTTGCCTGCCTGCTTCTTTCTCAATACGATGTATATTCCCACTCCTTTTGTACAGCATCATAAGATTCAATTGAATTCATATGCGACCTAAATACAAAGTGTACTGCCCTGTATCCATACACAGATCCTGCTACAATTGCCTGGTGTGCTTGAGACAGCGACTGCAGGCAGCACATACGTAGTGGGCCATGAGCAGGACACATCGCTTAAAAGGAATGACGGTCGAGACTAACAACAGAGTGGCAGCTAAAGGAGGGTTTAACGCCCGAAAGAGTACACACGATCACGCGTATGGAACGGTGAGATTAACTGATGTGCGGGTCGGCGCGAGATAGATTGCTGCATCCCAGGAACGTGAGATGTCTCAATGGCTTGGGGAGGCCTTCATCCAGCAGCGCATTGGTCACGCCTGATGATGAAGACGACGACGGATGGAGATGTGATACTGTGCCAGCGGTTCCGCGTTTTCCGGCAGCCACACAAACACGGGGCAATGAGCAATGACGACGATGTTCCGGCCGTTCCAGTGGGCATGGGGTTGAGCACCTGTCCATGGTGAGGGGGCTGCCCTCCTCGTCGTCGCTGTAGAAGCTGGGCTCCGCCGCGTAGCCGTCCTCATCGTCGACGGCCGCCTCCCTCTGGATGACGGGGACACGTCCGTCCCCCGTGGACGAGCTGCGGGACAGAGCGCGGGGACACGGTCCGTCCCTTCGCACGTGGACGCGCTCGCACGACCGCCTTCTCGTTTTGCCAGCGAATCGAGCGAGGTTTAAAAAAATATATAAGTGCCCAACCTAGTGGAAATTTAAAAAAAATTAGTTTTCATTTTAGCCAATGGTGAAAATCGGCAAGCGTGATGACGACTTTTGACTGCGCGCCGACGACCTAGGCGCGACCATGACGTCACAACGTGACCGAGTCTGAATGAAGAGGCGGAGTCGGAAACATTAGTGACGTTATTAGAGACTGCAGTGCGACGGGGAAGACCAAAGGTGGTCATTTGCTCCTATATCCTGCCATAGAAATATTACACAATGGTGGATTTTGCTGCACTGACCTCTGTTGTCCACCGCTAAGCCTCGCAAGCCTACGGCAGCCTATTTGCGCAGGGTACTTATCCATCTTATGTGGTATCCAGGCCAAATTCCTGCTTCACTTTTGACATCTGAGGAGACCGGTTGATTTGGTCAGAGGCGATTCACAAATTGAAGGTGAAAAATTTAAATTTTCAATTGGTGGCTTCACTGCCGATCAATTACCCTTTTAATCTGATCCACCAACCCTTGCCTCCAAAGCTTTGGATCAAAGTTGTGCACCGCCTTGCTTATAGTTTGATTCAGCAGCAGTCACTGGTGAATTATGGACAAATTGAGTGAGTTCCCTAATCGAATTGCAGGTCCAGGATTTTCAGTCAATTTACGAAAGATTGGGTCGTCATTTTAAATAATGTTCTACTGATGACGATCATTGTCCCCGCCACACGAACGTGTAATTTGTACGCTAACACTCAGGGGCTCCCAATGGCGATGAGAATTGCCCAATGTTCATTTGAGCAGAGACAAAACTTTGACTTTGAATTCATATCATGAGTATCAAGGGCCCAGTGAATGTAATTAGGGTGAGCATAATTAGCTTTGAAGATTCCACCTGATTTTACTGTGGGTGAGAAATTATTGTGAAAATGCAATTGGTGAATGATTCATTTGCACGCGCAACAATCGCTGCTTTCAATGACATCAAAGAGGGAGGAGAAGTGAAGCTCTATGTTGAATTGGCATAAGCCTGAAAGGATAATTTGGCTTAATGAAGAAGTTGTGCTCATTAAACGTTAATTATATCGCGGTATAACTCCTAACTCTTACCGCCAGACTCTCACTCGATATACGTATTGATTATAAGTCCACTACGCTCACCATTACACCATGGTACCACCCCCGTGACTGGGCATTTATTGAAAGGCAAATGACTAATTACAACTGTTTTAAGAGATAATTAGTGTAGCTCTTTACACATTATTTACATGACAATTTGGAAATATTAATCGAATTAACTTATTGCCCTCTATCATTACACTGTTGGATGAAGACCTTCCTATGTCTGTTGATAATAGCTGTTTTATTGTGTACGTATAGTTTTTACATTATATTATGCTTGTTTTACCCAGAAAGACCTCACTGAGTCTCAAGACTATTTTTCAGGACAGTCCTGCCAAGTTTCCGCAGTAGAGAGTGATGTTGCTGCGTGTCATCTCAATTGCGAAATAAAAACAATCGTTTGGTTTAGTTTTGAATACCCAGGTCCTTCTTACTGCGAGGCGCAAGCATACGCTGCAGTAGGAAGATGTGATCTAAACTCGACTCTTTGCAGTAGCTATCATCATTGTATTTATAATATGATTATTTTTGTTTATGCCCAGTGTCTGCTGCGGCTGTCTCCTGTACAGCGCTTTGAGATCCTTGATGAAAAGCACTATAGAAATGGAATTATTATGATCAGTAATGAGTAATGTTTGAACAAGTCATGGTGGCCCACTTCGCCAAACCTGCACTGACTAGCATGGTGAAGTATGGTCAAACAGCCTCGATGACCGACACAGTTTGGGGAGGCCTTTATCCAGCAGTGGTTTGAAGACGGGTTGTAACGTATCAATATCATTATCCCTTTATGTTTAACATTTACATCTTGGGACTGTTGTCACTGCCTCTTAAAAACAAACTGAAGAATACATTTCGGAAACGTGGATACGAGACACGACACGGTGTCATGGGCAAGACGAGCCACAACGAGAGATGAGACGCGACGTGAGTTACGACAAATACGGGTGGCGCACACTGACGGGGAAGCGTGCACACTCAAAGGGCTGGTGCGGCAAACACATCCGCCAGCGTGGTCCATCCCACACGGGAGGAAGGTCCAGCCCGGGTTTCACCGCAGCGTGCCAACGCCGCGCTGTTGTGTGAAGGTGCATCTCTCATGATACTACGCATGCCATTATTGGTTCACCTATTGCCTGTTTCTTCTCAGTAGAAGGGTCTGGTTATGCTATTTATCCACGCATTTCTATTGCGTCCCTTGCCTCCATTCACGTCCACTGTCGACATAGTTCACCGCTTCCTCCCCTCTCCCCCCCCCCCCTGCTCCGTCTGTCTTGCTCCGGTGGCGTCTCCACTGTCGACATAGCTCGTTTCACCGCTTCCTCCCATCTCCCCCCCCCCTCTACTCCGTCTGTCTTGCACCGGTGGCGTCTCCACAGCCCTTCTAGCTGCATATTCTTTGTCTCTGCTCAATACGTGTCGAAACCACCGAAGGCTAGAATATTAGTACCTGCGAGGGTGATCGATGAATTGTCGAAAATTGTGGTTGTGTTTATATTTTTTTAAAAATCGAGCCTTTTCATCTACTTTGTTTAAACCTCATTTGTATCGTTTATCTCGTATGTTACGTATTGTTTTACCTGTCTTATTCGTTCAATTAACATTTGCAGGAGATTTTCATTCAAGTAGCATCGATCGTGAAGATTCATTCCTTACAATGCACAATCAGATTGCGTACATCATGAGTATATGCGCAAATTATATAACTTGAAAAATTATTAAATGCTTAAAAATTACAACTATCCTCCCATAGCCTTGCTAATGATAATTGATTTACGATCGTTGACAAAAGGCAAAGCCCGAACAGGAGCCACCTCCCCAATGGAATTGGAGCCACATTTTGAGTCACACACACATATGTAATGTATTACATTAAATCCAACCTTATTACAGTTTGGAGACACTTTAAGTATTTATGACTGTCGGTCATGATACAAACACACTTGAAATAAGTCATGCATTATACAGCTTCGTGGGCTTTGAGAGAAGACATAACATGCACACGTTGACCTGAAGACTGGTACATACCGTACATACGTTTCATAGTAGCGATTTCGGCTTTAAAAAAAATACATATAATCACGTCCGTATGTTGGCAGAATAGGAAAAAAATATATTGGTTAGCGGAAAACAGTTAAACATGGTGCAATTTACCCTGCAAAACAAACAGCTTCTCATGAATTAATAAAAACCACTTTAGATTTGGTGTTTGTAAAGATAAAATATTTCCATCGAAAACGGAAGGACAAAAAATTACAATGAACTAGACGTAGAGACAAAGATTCCCCGATATAGCCATACAGACTGGTGGGGCAAATTATGTTCGCGAGCGCCTACGAAGGTGAGTGCGGTGCACAAGGCAGAGTCGTGGCCAGCAACACACGCTGCCACGTTCGTCTGCCCAGTGCCCATGTTTACACAGCGCTTAAGGTACTCATTTGAGACCGAGTCGAACTAGGCGGAGATCCGAAGACCGGTTCAGATATTAGCCACTTAATGCTGGCCGCGAGCGGAACATTCTCAGGTCGCCGGGTTCGTCGCACAGTGTGCTAACCCCTGCGCCATTGCTCTCCACCGACTGGTAAACCATAAATAGATATGTCCCGCAGAACATTAGAGATGCACACTCACATCCACCCACAATCCTCGATCAATATGTTTGTCAACATTCGATCTGGAGGCTTCAACCGATTGCAAAAAATATTAAATGGCCCATATAATTTACTCTGGGCAGCATATTAATTCACAATGTGCAAATTGTATTATTATTATTTCTATTGTTATTTGATAATGCCATTCGATAATACGATCAGTACTGATGTTACATGGCTTATGTGTCCTCCATAGAATGTATATTTCTGTGCACAAAGGTCTCTTGTATGGTCTTACAGACTGTCAGTGAGCACCTATTTGTGCTGGAACTGCGCATGAGGTGTGGTGTAAACAGTACCACAAATTTCTCCTTTGTCACAAAACAGCTGCCATTAATCACAGCACCACACTATAATAGCAAATGATGGTATTACACAAACACACACAAACACACCACACCGCTAAGTTTAGGCCGAGTCAAATTAGGGGACGTGCAGGTTAAGTTACCAGTTGCCACTGGCGTGGTGGAGTATCGTAACCAGGAATTAAACCATGGATTTATCTGATTGTGGAATCGATATATTTTTTATTTGTATATGTTGCAAGTGATAGGTTTGCTTGACCTCCTCTTGCCACTCGAGGCCACGGCATTCACCACGATGTTAAAAATAAAAAATAGGATAAAATCTGCAACACCACACGTCCATAATGCATTCAACCACACAGGCAGCGACTTTTTTTACACACTTGAATTGAATTTTGCCCTGTTATCTGTTTATAACCCTTGGCGCTTAATATCTTCGGATCAACGAAGCCCAACGAGCTGAAATATTATATACAGACTCATCTCGCGTGATAATTCAAGATTTCATTATAAAAACCGGTCCAGGTCCCGCCGATGCTAGGCCCATTCGTGTTTTTTACTTCATTTTAACAATTAAACCGGCACATTCCGCCCCGCCATGCCCTTTCAATATGTTTAATTTGCCTTATGCAAGCCACTCACTTTTATTCAGCACATCAACTTTTATGAATTTTGGGGTCAAAGACATTTATTTTCTAATTTAGAGTGCAAATAAATGTATGTGCAATGAAAAACTTGTTTTTTTACTTATTATTTTTGAAATCTACGATCCCTGCCCAGAGACAAGCATATACAGAGACAAAGCTCACTGATTTCGCCATATAAGCTTGTTGGGGTTAACTACCGTTAGCATCAACAATAACAGAGACTGCCATTCGCCACTAAGTGGCAGTCAAGTAATCACGGCCCTTGTGCCAGGCGAGATGCACTTGAGGCCACGTGCAATATTGAACGCTCGCTGGCAGGAGGTCACGGGACAGACCCAGGTGTAATGGGGTTACTGATTGAAACGACTGACAGATGCACCACCTGTGCTCCCCACTGTACCGACTTGCTGTGTGTTAGCCACCCGGTGCTCGGTTCATTGTTGTCTTAGTTGCTCCACACTGTTTGAGAGCACACGTGCACACAAAGACAAAGATCCCCCATATAGCTTTAACATACTACTGGGGCAAGTGCTGATACCGAGCACCTATGAAGGACAGAACGGCACATGAGGGGGTGGGTGGCCAGCACCACACACGGCCGCATTTGTCTCCCTAGTGGCAATGTTTTGTACATCGCATTAGGGACTCATTTGAGGCTGAGTCGACCTAGGGGAGGCCCAGGACCGAGTCAAATAATCGTCGCTGGTGTTGGCCGTGAACTTGGGTCGCCGGGTTCATAGCGCAACGCGCTAACCACAAGACCTCTGCTCCCCACCACACGTGTACACGCACACATACACACAAAGACATACACACCAACACACACACGATACCTTTTAGCCGAGGCCCTCCTGACTGTGCCGTTGGGGTGGTGCAGGGACGCGTGCTGCCCCGTGTCAGATGGGAACAAGCCCCCCTTGCAGTTGCCTGCCGCGGGCAGGTGGCTGTTGTTGCCATTGTTGATGTTGGAGTTGGGTGGAGAACCCGGAAGCTTGGCTCCATTCTGGCCAGGCTGCACGTGGTGGTTGCCGAGCAGGTGGCTCTCCGGTCCTTCCTCCGCATCTTGGCCGCAGCTGCCCTGGTGGCGGTCGTCCTCCGTGTTCTTGGGCAGCTGCAGCGGCCGCTGAGTGGCCAGGCTCTGCGGGAGGGTGTCCTTCCTTTCGGACGATGGCTGTGGCCCCACGGAGTCACTGAAGAGACCCCCGGATCTCTGCGTGGTGTCGGGTGTGAGGATCAGAGAAATCGGCGTTTCTGAATCGTGAATATTCCACCAATAAGACTGATAACACTCGCTGCGTAAGTTTTCGCAGTTGTGCTGCGTGGCTCTCGAATGGTGTTTGGAGTTATACCATGATGTCCGACGTTTTGGCACGTGGAGCAAAATGTCAGATAGTGAGCTGAATAATACGCGATACAACGAGAAAGCATATTGGAGGGCAATTGCAAAACGTGGGCACGTAACAATGCATCTCCTCCCACGAACAATTCTATAAATTGTCACAAATCAGGGGTGCAATTAAATAAGAGAATATTTTATTGATGAATTTAAAGAAACGATTAATTGCAGTGTCATTAGATGTCGAACAATAATGCCAACACACAAATGCTTGCAAACATAAACTTGATTACATCATCATTTTAATGTACTGTGCACCACATCGTGTGACAAATGGAAGGAAAAATGTAATGAACGTATTATGATTCGTGACACTGGCTGACATGCTCACAGCCATACTGGGTAGCAGTCTGCTGCGGCCGTTTTGATTACATCCTGGCAATGGGGTTCCCTGTGGTTTTTTTCTGGCACTCAGTCCGGATTTGATCCCACTGAGAGCCAGGGTTAGAATCGGGCAGCCACATCTGATTGAACTGAATTCTGAAGTGTTTGCGGTCTTAGCTGGGTCATCAATAATTGCACGCGATAAAAAATCCATCACATGAAATTTGGTTCTGGACTTAACGTGGCTAAATTTCACATCTGCCAATTAAAATGCCAGTCTGTCATGTGATGAACATTACTCCCATGGATGGGAAAAGTTCTGCTCCCTGCTGTGTGGACCAGAGGTCACTTGAAGGAATCTCAGAGGTAGCTCTTCGATATCCACCTCCGTAGGTTGTACTCTAACACACGCTGCTCTGCGATTGTTCAAAATGGATACTTCACCTCGTGACAAAAATGCCTGTATCACAATCAATATCAAATTTAAAGTAATATGAAAACAATTTGAAAAGAAAGTACCAATGGGGAGGCCTTAGACCATGGTGATGGATCATGTGACACATTGTCCCCAGTGAAATTGGCTGAGAGTGCACATCTGGTGTCAGCCACTTACCCGGAAGATGGCTTCCTCTTCTTCCTGCGAGTGCACAGACGTCGCGTCCTCCTCCTGCAGGTCACCCGAGATGGCTCTGCGGATCTCTGGACCGATATCATGCAGCGTCCGCAAGCCCGCCTGTCGAGTAAACGGAACAATGCAACAACACGAGGGGGCGGGGCGGGGGGGACGACGACGATGCACACGAGCGGGGGAGTCACGACTCGCCTTGCGATAGCAGAGACAACACCAAGACGAGGGATGAGGGAGGTTGCTCGAGGGGTATACAGAGGGGGAGTCACGTCTGGCTCCCGCTCACCACCGGTGTACCGCCAATATGTGCATTCGTATCATTTGCCAACCCTCTAAGGGAATCATTAATTGCATCATTCATTCGGACTGAAATCACAGAGCTTTGTTGTCCTTTGACTCTTTGAAGGCCCTTTGGCATTATCGTTGCTTCTAGATCTCACTGGAATTTAAAAGGAGAGGGGGCAAAGCTCAATTTGTGTGTTGTCCATCGTAGCCACTTATATATATATGCCATCATCACAGGGTTTACTGTTTTTAGACAGTATAACTTGGAAAATATTTCAGATAACGCATCTTTCCCTAGCAATCACGTTTTCCAACTGCCTTTATACATTTCCGAAGTTGCGTTCTAAAATAAATTACTGCATTCACTCAGCTAAAGTGGCAAGTAGCATTTTTAGATGTTCAACTTTTTGAGCTGATAAAACAGAATTTTCATTCCCGAGTGTGAAAAGAGCTTTCATTATGATGTGGAAATCTGCCCATGACCACATCACTCGGATTGTGCCCGATCTCGGAAGCGAAGCAGGGCTGATCCTTTCCTGTGAAGTGCTTGCAAAGGCAACCACGGCACGTGACGCACGCGTCTTGCACCGCTGTCGGGCGACATCGTGACCAGCGGAGGGATGGTACAGCCAAATCCATTGTCGTACTGCATTTCTACGCTTCCACGTCTTTACGCCCCCCCCCCCTTCATCGATCCCCACTGATCAGCGCGGTGAAGGATGATCAAATCACCTCCACAACCAGCATGGCGTGTGTGGGAGGCCCTCATCTAGCTGTGGGTTGACAAAAGCACTCCACCGTATTCTGTACCGGATTGTAAGACGCTCCGAAAAAAATAAAACATCACCCAAAACCTGTCCCCCGGCGTCAATAAAATTATACAAATCCTGTCACACGCAAACACAGATGCGCACCCGCCAGATTATAACACCACTCAAAACGTTTGCTTTAAAATACATCGGGGGGAAAGGAGAACGTGGCACATGTACATGAATATAATGCAGAAGAAGCGAGTGCTCAGTCCTGTTTGAGCTGAGGGACTTTCTGGCCTATCCACCAACACCCTCCGCTCACGTGCTCGCAATTTTGCAAATTGACGATACTTTCTAACGTGGGTGACTACGATGAGGCTGGGGCTAAACAACGGTGCCGTTGTCAAGGTCGGCGCTGCCGGCGGGCACCGCGAGACGAAGCCACGGCCTGGCACCGCACCAGCGGCAGCTCTGTCCGAGTGGCAGACAAGCTTGCACGCTAATCCATCTCTACGGGCGATTACTGCGGCCCGCCATCACGGCTCCCCAACGCCGGGCCAGACACTCGAGCCTCCGAATAACAGCCCCACCGCCTGTATCGCAGTCGGCGGTCGCATGGGAACACCTGCGCGTGTGCGCCGAGGGCGGCTAATGCCGAACGCGCGAATATGATAACGCCGCGCCGTCGTCCTTGACAAAATGCGCGCGCACTTTCTCAAGGGCTCTCTTGCCAGGATGTTAATACTGTGGGAAGAAGTTTTATGAATTTATTCGGGTGTTTGTGTGTGTCTTTGTGTGGGGATCGGTGGCGCAGCGGTACAAATCCGGCAATCCGAGTTCGATTCCCGCTCACGGCCAACACCAATGACGATTATCTGAACCGGTTCTGGGCCTGCCCTAGGTCGAGTCAGCCTCAAATGAATACCTGGTGTGGTGTGTAAACATCGCCACTGGGGAGATAAAGGCGGCCGGGCGTGGTGCTGGCCACCCACCCTTTTGTGTGCCGTGCCGGCCTTCATAGGTGCTCGCTAACAGCACTTGACCCAAAAGTCTGCCAAGGCTATACGGGAGAATCTTTGTCTGTGTGTATTTTTAAGGCATGAATTTTTTATAAATATATTTTATCTTCTTTGGAAAGAACCAAAGAAGATGAATCATTGCAGTCACGAAAGCTTTAAATCGAAATATATTTTAATTCAGCATGTAACAATCCTTTCAGTGGATTCATCATCGCTGACAATGGTGACGATGATGATGATGAATCGAAGACTTGCCACGATATGGGAGGTTCTGATTATTTTCATAAATCAATTCTTTATATATAAAATATATATATATATAATTTTCACGTTTAATTCATATTGTTTCTAATTTCTTTGTCTCGTCGAAATGTATTGTTACATTATTGTCCGCATACAGATTTCATACATTGTGAACAATTGAGTCTCAAACGGATGATTCGATGCACGTATCATCACTGTAAGAATTATATTGGAAGCGATGTAAATGTTGTGGCTCGACTCTCCAACACACCGGTGTGCTGCACTAGTGACGAATTGGCCACGTTCTGTTTACGTGACAACCCTGACTAGTTGGCTGTGTCGGGTGGTGACGGGTTTTAACGACACATTTATATATTTATGAGATCTAACCAAAAAAACCTCTATTATAGATCTATTGTTACATGCCCAAGTTTAGTGATCAGAAAATCCTCCACAATTTGTTCGCAAGAAGCGAAGGTAATGGCTTTCGTAAAATATACCAATATATATTGGGTTAAAAAAATCTATACATGATTGAAAATTGGAAATAACGTTTTACGATTGCTCCTTCAAAAACATAAACATATACGAATCTCCTCCGAGCGGACAACTAAATACTTAAAAAAATATGTATTTGCCTCTTCCGCACATCAGGTAATTGGTGGGACATATGTGCCAGCCTCCTGTGTCTCGTCACCACGACACCTGGGGAACCTCGTCAGTCTGTCAGAGTGCACCGAGTGTCCCTTTTCCCCATCCCCGCCAAAGTCACGTTGAAGGCTCCAGTGCATCGGCGACAGCGAACGCCGGCCCCGCGCTACGAGCGTTACGTCCGATTATTGCGAGGCCGACGACCTCAGTCCACTGAGCTGACACGGCAGAGCCTTCTGGGCAGACTTGGCAGCCGCCCCAGGCAAGCGGGCAGCTGGACTTTCCAACGAGGTCTGCCTTCTTCGTAAGCTCGGGGTTTAAGCCCCGGCGAAAATTAATTCCTCCGCCGTGACGGTCGGCGCACGTGGACGAACGTCCGCCTTGCTGCAGTGCGCGTGAGCTCCACAGTGAACATTGAGGGCGGGTGATTTGCATGCAATGGCATACACGCAGAGACAAATACCGCCCCTCCTATTGCCGCGCACAGACTGTTGTTGGGGAGCAAGTGCTGATAGCGAGCATCTGTTAAAGGCGGCAAAGGGTAACACGTGTGCATCAAAAGAAGAAGCTCCTGGGTTGGATTCCTGACCGACAGCTTTCTGTGTAGGGTTTGTATGTTTCCCCCCCCCCCCCTGTTCTGTATAGTTTTTCGCCAGGTTCTCTGGTTTTCTCCCATAGCTAAACAAAAAAAAACATACAATCTAACTGGCATTGGCCGAACATCACAATGCTCAGAAATGATCTGAAATCTCCTCATTTGGGATTAGAGATAAAACATCCCGCCCCCTACAGCGAAGCTCTGGCAGGACCCTCGTGAAAAAGAGTCTTGAGCCTCCGTGAGGCTTTTCTGGTAAAAAAAAGTTGTAGTAAAAATAAAATAATAAGACTGGCATGGCGCACAAGTGGGTGGTGTGGACAGTACCATGCCCGGTCGCCTTTGTCTCTCCAGTTCTGATATGCACACACCACAACAATTACTAATTTTGAGGCCGAGTTGACTGAGGGGAGGCCCGGGACCGGTTCACACGTTCACCACTGATGTTGGCCGTGGTCAAAAATACAAACTCCGGTTGCTGGGGTCCGCAACACCACGACGCCCACCCCTTCCCTCAAATGCCACGCCGGAAGATTGAACCATTGAGACAGAGACCTCTGGATTGCAAATTCCAGTGTTACTAATCACGGACACCACGGCAACATCCCATCCGAACACACGTCTTTTCACGTAGACGATTACATATTTTTTTTTACAATGGGGAGGGGGGAAGTGTTGCATGCGTAGCGGTGGGTCGATCGTCTCTGCAGCGAATGCCATTCAAGTAATGTTGCTGACGTGAGTGTTCGCGCATCTGCTTTTTTTTTACCCAAATTAAATTTGTTGGTAAGGGTCCACAGGAGGTGGGTGGGAAGGAGGGGGATAGCTGGGTGGGAGAAAGTGGGAGGGAAAGTGGGGGGGGGGCACAAAAATGCGGGGGGGGCGGGGGGCGGCAGGGGGGGGGGCTACAATCACGAACAGAACCCAGCCTCCCACTCGCCACCCATTCCACACAATGCCACGGTCATCGCTCCACACCTTGGCCTACTTTCAGAATTCCTCTGCTGTGCAAGCAAGCCAAGGTGCCACAGAATGCAAACCCCCCTCCCCCCCATCGTAGTCAATAATTATGTACGGACAAAAAAAAATCCCCCCTAAGGAATACGTTCTCTGCCTGCTTCGATGCCTTGTTGGTACCGAGTTTGCATCATTGCGAGCGAGTGTTACCGAGGCACAAATATGCAATTGTTTTCAGACATGCAAATAAAAACAAATCTACCCCTGTTCTCCTTTTGCGTGCATTAAAAAACAAAATCATTGTCTTTCAGCAAAACCAGTGTTAACGCGGAAGCTGCTGCATTATAATCTGTGTGTTTTGCAGGCGAAACGATTCTCTAATTAAAATTCTTTTAAATAATTCAAGTCTGTGTATATGGAAATGCCTTTTTTTGTCTGCTGCTGTATTACATTCATAATCCATAAGCGCGTTAATGTTCATGGACTCTTGGTAAGAAGCGATGCGAGTAAAAATAAACCTATAGAGACAAAGACAACGATATAGCCGTTAGAGCAGGGGTGTGGAACGTCCGGGCCATGGGTCTTACACGGCCCTGCCAAGGCAACCACAGGCAGGACTCGAAATTCAATAAATCTAGGAGCAGGAAAAGCAGTTGCGAGTAGCAACATCATCAATACCAGCTAACATCATCACACGCCTCGCCAAAGGGAATCAGTTCCAGCCATCACATTAGGGGTGAGTTCATTAAATGTTTGACCAAATGTAACAGGTTCCCCACCCCTGCTTTAGAGGCTGTGGAGCAGGTGAAGATAAACAGCACCCATGAAGACCGGCACGGCTTACGAGGGGGTGATGGAGCCAACACCATTGCCACGCGCCTTTGTCTCCCGAGTATTGTTGTTGACGCACCGGACTAACTACTCGTTTAAGACTGAGTCGGCATAGGGGAGGCCCAGGATTGAGACTAGTTCAGATATTTTTTTTGCCACTGATGAAGGCCGTGAGGCGGAATAGAACTGAGATCACCTAACTCATAGCGCACCAGCGGGCTATGCATTATGTCACCGCTCCCCAAGTGCACACACTCCTTGGAATTGAGATGATGCTGGTGTGCTTGGAGTTCTCGCCTGGTTAAACAATTTAAAAATAATCATGACTTGACACACACACACAAAATAAACACAATGTAAACTGCACAGTGGGCAATATTCAGCAGACGCATTTCCCAGGGAGCCTTTGAGCGTGCTAGACCATCAGTAACGATGCACGGCCTCAGCTGCACACACTTCTTGCTCGCCCTGCCGCACAACTGGGCAAGCTGTGCCGGCGACTGAGCGAGAGGGTGGGGGGGCAGGTGGTCAGCTGGTGGTTGGGGAGTGATCGACGGGGATGCCAGAGGGCAGGCTCAAGGGGGAGGCAGGTGGCGAGCAGGAGAGGGCCAGAGTCTGGTGCTGATACTGCCTCTGAGTGAGATGGCATCATGGGAAAGTGATGCCCTCTACTGCGTAGGCCAGAGGTCACTTGAAGATATCTCAGAGGTATCTCTGTGGTATCCACTTCCATGGGATGTTCTCTAACATGAAGACGAGAATAGAGGAAGGTGGGGGGAGAGATTGGGAGAGGAGAGCGAGACAGAGGAGATAAGAAGTGAGAGGAGGAGATGGGAAGACGACAGGAAGAATAATTCGCATATAGGTAAAGGAAAGGAGAGAGAGGATGATAGAGTTAGGTAGGGGAGATATGGGACGAGGTGAGGGAGAGAGAGGAGGAGAGAAGAAGGGAGAGAAGACGGTAGAAATATTTATGTGCATAATGGGAGAGAGGAATGTAAAGGAAGACGGGGAAGTGACGAGAAGACAATCCTCTTGAGAAACGGAGCTGCTCACCTGGAGGGCCATCGTGGTGCTCCGGGCCGGGTGCTTTCCCAGAACCCCCTGCTCCTTCCTCCTCTTGAACTTGCGGAAGTAGTCCTGGATGAGGAAGGTGGCGTAGAACTTGCCCACCGTCACCTCGTCATCTGTTGCGATTGACGACGCGCACACGTAACGGACCGGCGTTGTGCCAGTGGGTGGGCAGAGTCTCAAACAAGGGGACAATACAGTGGGTGCAGAACACCGATTAGAGTGACCTTCATAAAGAACACACGGCCACTTACCACCTGACGGAGGGATGACCTGGTCCAGCAGCTTCATGCTGGTCCTCTTCCAGATCTTCTTGATCACTGCTCTCAGCTCCTCGTTGGCTTGGTCCAAATTCCCTTGGGTGCAGAATTTACGTATATTGTTGAGACTCGATACTAGCAGTATGTATAGAGCTACGAGAACATTCGCCAATTGTACATTGTTCCACTGCACCGTCGTTATTATTTTCCTGTTTCTTTCATTCTCCACAATACAGATAATCCACAAACACACTTTGGAAGGTGGGGGAGCCTTCCACGCATGGGTTGAATCTGACTTGTGACTTCATTTCACATGGCGAAACATCCCACTCACAACATTGATCCGTCACTGCAGGTTATCTGAGCCGCACCAATCGGGTACTGGGATGGGAATATTTTTTGACCTGGAAAAGTAGTGTTTTCATTTTTTTTATTTCAGCGCCACACTCAGTCAATGCATACAGTCGTGGCGTCATCAAAGTCTAGCGTCAACTAACGTACGGCTCGCCAAAGGAATTTTTTAAAGTCCTTATTTGCCCATCATTTAAACGGCCTTAGATGTCACCAAGAACAAAGCAAGGAGCTCACCGTCCGTTTTAATCTTGAGGGACGTTCTAACCAGGGCGAACAGCGTTGCGTTGAACATGACCGTGCCGTCGCTGTTCAGCGGCATGTTCATTGAGACCAGCCTCTGTTAGGAGAGTGAGCACAGACAATCACATGTATGTATGTTGAACTTCTTTTGCACCGTATGTAGCCGACAGTGCTAATCGGAGGTGCACGAGTGGTCTTGTGTAGTAACCTCTGCATTGTAGTAACCATTTCCAGGGGCTATGTATCCAGCGTGGCTTATGAGTGCTGAATAATGCTAATGAATGATAATTGTCACTATACCCAAATTGAAAAAGATAAATATATCCACGTGTGTCAACTCACTGCTGGATGAGGGCATCCCCATGCCGTGCGGGCCGTGTGGATGATTTTGTCGAGTACATAAGAGTACAGTACAACAATGGATTGTGCTGCACCTCTTTGTATTGCTAAGCACTTTAGCCTCACAGCCTATAACAACTTGTTCTGCATTGCTGGTAACTCAACCAAGCACTATCTCAGGCTATACCGGTTGCATTCTTGGTTGGTTGGTGACAAGCAAAATAAAAAATCCAAAATCAGAATTTGCTCAGAAAGTTTCCTCGAAAGTATCTAAAGACTCCCTGCAGGATAGTCCCCCCAAGCGGGATGTTTGGCCAAATTGTTTTTAAAATATTGTTCTGATTTTTTTGCATGTGGAAGGTAACCGCGGTCAAAACTGCTATTGGAAATTGTATTTTTTTTGGCAACATTCTGTTTGCCAAAAACAGTAAAAGTGTTCTTTAGTAAAAGGTAAAGGTGCTGCCCTGTAACGTCTTACTTATGGCACAGCTGGTGGAAGAGCCTTCACTAGTTGGGAGTTCTAGAAAGCACATTAGTAACACAAATGTATAGGAGTAATGAGAAGTCAGCATTATTCTTAGCTGTAATTGCCAATGCGGGGAAAATAAGCTTCCGTGTTTTAAGAGCAATGACATCAACGAGCCTTTTGGAGCAGTCACTACACATTGACAAAGGAAACGATGTACAGCGGAGTGTGCGTGTAGAGACGATACCTTGCAGGCGACGCGATGCGGACACAGTTTACCGAACCCCAGGGGAGGCTGGATCCTTCTCAGGAGTGTGACAACATCCAGATGTTTTATTCGTCCCCTAGACACGACGGCGAGTAAACAAGCACACATACACACACACATACAGCAACAACAACAACAACAACCGCCATTCGCCACTAAGTGGCGGTGACGTCACGACGACGCTTGTGCCAGGCCATGTGCACATTGGCAGGTGGTCACGGGGCAGACCCAGGTGCCACGGGTCGACTGACTGAGATCACTGAGATGACTGGCTGATGCACCACCTGTGCCCCCTACTGTGCCAACCTGCTGCGCTTTAGTCACCCGGCGCTCCGCTCGTTGTTGTGAGCGTCGCTCCTCCGCCCTCCGTTGTTGTTGGAGGGCGACTGCCTCCAACTGCCCAGTAGTGTCCTTCACGAGCCTCCTCCACAGAGGCCGATCTTGACACCACTGGTACCATTCATCAGCAAGTCCACTCAGCTCCACGTCCTCCTGTACCACATCACTCCATCTCTTCTCTAGCCTGTGCCGCGCCCGTTTAGCCCCCTCGATCCGGCCAAACAAAACTGTTTCGACATGCAGTGGCTTGGCATGCGGGCTACATGACCCAGCCAACGCAGCCTTGCCTGCCGGAGGAGCTCACTGATGGGACTTTGTCCAGATCTTTCGAGGATTTGTGAGCTGCTCACACAATCCAGCCTGGTTAAACCCAGGATGGATCGTAGGCAGGCTAGCCTAAATGTTTCTAACCGGCGAAGATGTTCCATTAAGGGGGTCCACGTTTCGCAAGCGTAGAGAAGGGAGGGAATGACCGTGGCCGAGAAGACCTGAAGCTTAGTGCGGAGCAACAGACCAGGTAGCTTCAACACAGCGTTACGCAACCGATGAAAAAATATTGCCGCTTGACTGATTCGGAGTGAGACCTCTGCTGTTAAGCTGGAGCCGGTCATAAGCACACTGCCCAGGTATGGGAAACTCTCTACTCTCTCCACAACTGCCCCATCACACACATACACACGCACATACACACATACACACACACATACAACAACAACCGCCATTCGCCACTAAGTGGCGGTGACGTCACCACGACGCTTGTGCCAGGACATGTGCACCTTGAGGCCACGTGGAGTGTCGAACGCCCGCTGGCCGGAGGTCATGGGGCAGACCCAGGTGCCACGGGTCGACTGACTGAGATGACTGGCTGATGCACCACCTGTGCCCCCTACTGTGCCAACTTGCTGTGCTTTAGCCACCCAGCGCTCCGCTCGTTGTTGCGAGCGTCGCTCCTCCGCCCTCCGTTGTTGTTGGAGGGCGACTACCTCCAACTGCCCAGTAGCGTCCTTCACGAGCCTCCTCCACAGAGGCCGATCTTGACACCGCTGGTACCAGTCATCGGCAAGTCCACTCAGCTCCACGTCCTCCTGTACCACATCACTCCATCTCTTCTCTAGCCCGTGCCGCGCCCGTTTAGCCCCCTCGATCCGGCCGAACAAAAGCAGTTTCGGCATGCGGTGGCTGGGCGTGCGGGCTACATGACCCAGCCATCGCAGCCTTGCCCGCCGGAGGAGCTCACCGATGGGACCTTGCCAAGATCTTTCAAGGATTTGTGAGCTCCTCACACAATCCAGTCTGGTTAAACCCAGGATGGATCGTAGGCAGGCCAGCTTAAATGTTTCTAACCGGCGAAGATGTTACATTAGGGGGGTCCACGTTTCGCAAGCATAGAGAAGGGAGGGAATGACCGTGGCCGAGAAGACCTGAAGCTTAGTGCGGAGCGACAGACCAGGTAGCTTCCACACAGCGTTACGTAACCGATGAAAAGATATTGCCGCTCGACTGATTCGGAGTGAGACCTCTGCTGTTAAACTGGAGCCGGTCATAAGCACACTTCCCAGGTATGGGAAACTCTCCACTCTCTCCACAACTGCCCCATCACCGGTGGAGTGTCCGATGGTACAAAATACCCAGGCAGGTGCTTAGTTTTGGTGGGGCTGATGGTAAGGCCCCATCTCTTAGTGGCACGCTCCAGTCTCAGCAGCAGCTGCTTGAGCAATAGGGAGCCATCCCTTGACCGCACCCGGGCATCGATCACACATACACACACATACACACACACACGCACATACACGCACATACACACACATACACACACATACACAAAGACAAAGATCCCCCGTATAGCCTTAACAGACTGTAGGGGCAAGTGCTGTTAGCGAGCACCTATGAAGGCCGGAACGGTACACGAGGGGGTGGGTGGCCAGCACCACGCCCGACCGCCTTTGTTTCCCTAGTGACGATGTTTACACACCGCACCAGGTACTCATTTGAGGCTGAGTCGACCTAGGGGAGGCCCGGGACCGGTTCAGATAATCGTCACTGGTGTTGGCCGTGAGCGGGAATCGAACCCGGGTCGCCAGGTTCATAGCGCAGCGCGCTAACCGCTACACTATCGCTCCCCACACACACATACACACACATACACACATATACACACACATACACACATGAGAGGAGAGTCTTGCATTGGAATGTTTGGCCAGTTGGCCGATTCAATTACAGAAAAACCTTGGATTGCGAGCATAATTCGTTCCGGAAACGTGTTAGTAATCCAAAGCACTCGTATATCAAAGCACTCATAAATCAGTTGTGATCACGTGACGCTCGGCAGACAAAGCGTATACACGTACTTACTAGTATTGCAAGACCCTCGCTCGTTTATCAAATTAATATTTATTTAACATTTTTGCTCGTCTTGCAAAACACTCGCAGATCAAGTTACTCGCAATCCAAGGTTTTACTGTAATGAGTTTATTTGGCATCTGGGAGGAAGCAAGAGTATCCGGAGAAAACCCGCTCATGCGTTCGGAAATCCACATAGATTTAAGAAATAATTTCCATACTGGTATTCACGGGCGTCTTCCCATCCAAATACGAGCCATGCTCAAGCCTACTTAGCTTCTGAGATCTGACGAGACTGTGGCCACATTCAGGGGTGATTTGGCCACAAAATCATTGGGGGGGGGGGGGCTCACTTGGCTTCTGGGTCGTACTCAGACCAGATCCTCTTGAACTCGTCGAGGTGATGAGGCCCCAGGATGGACCAGTCTCGCGTCAGGTAGTCAAAGTTGTCCATGATGACGGCCACGAACAAGTTGATGATCTGAGAGACGGAGAATGCGGGGAAATTAACCGATGAGGATGGCCAAAAAAGAACAACCTACATTGTGGATCATCGCAAAAGCGGTGGAACAATGGTGAGCCTTAAGCCATGCGTCGTTTCATGTCATTTAACCTCCCCAGAAATGTTCCTGTCGATATTAGAATTTGGTTTAGAAAAATTGTTTCAAAGAGGGGGGCACTTCGGAGTGAAAAGTCTTTAAACGTTTGGCAAATGAGAAAACGTGGCTGTTACGGCCTCATTCAATGAATTGCTGGATTAATCCTAACACCACAGACAGATTCAGAAATGACATACCACCGACATTAGCTGTGACCGGGAATTAAACAAAATTCACCAGGTTTCATTCTGCAGTGTGATAACCATTGCACCACTGCTCCACACATAATTTTCATCACTCGCGGGAATCATGAAATCTACTTTAAAAGTTTGATGAATCTGTGGATCGTTCCGAGCGTCGTGGCGAGCGAGACGCACCAGGAAGGCGCACAGCATGTAGAAGCTGATGAAGTAGATGATGGCGAAATTGCTGCCGCAGGTGAACTCTTCCCCAACGTTGTAGTCTGACTCGGGGTCGCAGCGCCGGCCGGACATGCACCCAAGCAAGATCTCTTGCCACGCCTCGCCCGTCGCACAACTGCCACAGCAGAAGCCACCCCAGGGGGAGGGGAGGGGGGGGGGATGATTAGCATCGCCGGGAGTTGCCACCTCCAAGGTGCAAAAAGCACCGGCACTGTCGTCCCCACAGGTCTGTACCTTTCACCTGAACACGGCCGCTTGCGTTGTGGCCGAAACGTCGTGAGAATTTTATTGTGTTATTTTATTATTTTATTCTCATTCTACGTGACTTTACCGAAATAACCAAAGAAGAAGAATGGGATATCGAAATTTCAGAGAAGAAGAGAGAACTCGATGTATGGTATATGCACTGTCTTGACTGGTGCAAATGACAGGTTTGTTTGTTTATCGTGTGCTCATCTTGCCGAGCCAGGCGGAAGCCGCTTCAGTGCGGAGGAAGAGCCCTGAGACCACTGACGAGTCCAGCCAAGGATTGTTCGTCGACAAAAAAAGAAAACTCAACTGACAGAAAAGGGGGACTTTTTGTGTGACCCAGGAAGACTTACAAATTTACCGGGACAGCTACTCAACTGATAGAAAAGGAGACTATTAATGTCCTGGGAAGACTTATACATTATCCATGACAGCGACGGAAATAAGAAGACGATGCTAGGAAAACCAGAATCTGTGACACCCCCTAGATTCACCACCAGCAGCGGTGAAAAGAGAAATTGAGTTTCACGCAGGAATAACGTGTGTGGATATAATGTGCATGGCGTATAAAAGGGTTTATTTTGGTAGAGGAAGATGGGGGAGGGGGGGGGAAGGAATTCACAAAAGTTAAAAGAAATTGGAAAAAATGAAAATTCAACCCCCAAAGCTCAAATACTGAGAAACGAGCAAGTAAATGCTGTGGCTCTTTTCTGAGTATACATGCAAAAAATAGGGTGACGTTGACACCACTGTTTATGAGTGACTCCTGTTCAATTTGGAAAAACAAAATATTAATAAGGCTTCTTGGAAATCTCTTCCTAGTGACTAATTTGTGGACAGATGCGAATATATTGAATGTGCTTCCAATTCTGGATCTTTCATCTTCTCTGCAAAATAATTTTATACAACAGAAATCTGCATCTGGATTCCAGGATGTTTTCCCGGACCAATTGGGGCCGATGTTGTGGAAATTCTTGTACATTATTTCATCTTTAGATTTGCCCTTCCTCCCTGTCTTTATTCACGCCACGAAATGAAGAAACGTCCAATAATGAACTCTCTGTGGATTTTGGAAACCCAATCCCCACAGAAAAGTCCCCGTCTCCTAGCCCCTGGTAAGCAACCACCCCACCTGGTGTTTGGTAAATTTGACAAGCATCCCACAATGATGCTGACTATCAGCGCTAAATACACGCCGGTGAGCTGCTCCCTGCCACAGTTAATTAGTGCTAACATTATGCACAATCAGTAGTCCGTAAGTTTTAGATTTTTGCATAGAATGCCTAAACGAGACCATTTTAAAGTAAATACATTCTGAATGAAAACCTGTTTATGTGCATGTTTGGCATTGTGCACAGCACAGGGCAGTTATTTCTGGGTAAAGAAGTGGCCGCTGCTTTACTCTGAGGGCACGAGGGTTTACATGGAGCTGTGCGCAGGAGCCAGCCGTCAGGGCGTTGCGTGCAGGATTTACCCAGGAGGTGAAATTGCTCCCAGGAAGGGGGGGTCTATGATGTCAGATTATTCAAATGGCTCGTCACTTTGGTCGCAGACGCTTAGAGTGAAAGAAGCTAACGTTTTTGTTTTATTTTCTGAAAAATGTATTTATATCCCTCGTTAGCCATGGAATCTTAAATTTTGATTTAAAGCTTTCGTGACTGCAGGGATTCATATTCTTGGTTCTTTCGGTAAAGTCACGTAGAAGGGAAACAATAAAATAATAAAAAATATAAAACAATAAAATTCTCACGACGCTTCGACTGCAACACAAGCAATCATCATCAGGTGTGAAAACCACAGCAAGAAAATTTGAAAAAAGTTGGCGGAATCTTGTTGCCCATGGAATATCACCTTCTTCTTCTTCTTGTTGTTTCGTCTCGTATGGCTGATGTTGATTTACAGCAGCAGCAGCTTTAATTTTATACCGAGGTAGTTGAGCCAGATAATCGCGTCGGGAGTAGCGGAGAGGTTGTGCTTAATTCTTTGGAACAGCAGAGACAACAAAGCTGAAGAGGTCTGGATGAAGCAATGAGGCTCGGCAGATGGTGCGATGCTCAAAAGCGGCCACCTGCTTTGTGAGCTCGGCCGCAGCCGACGGGAAGTAACGAGCGCTCAATCGCTTACCGGAAAAGCAGGAGCACAGCCTGAGGGAATGTTTGAAAGTTGTTGTTGCGGTTGATTTGCATTCCATCTTGCATCGCGATTTTTCCAAATATCTGACAAAGAAGAGAAAATCGTCAATGCTGATACAAATCAAACGAATATAGTTTTTTTATGTAATAATTAACAGATACAAGAATCCATCTCTCCACAAGAAATAAGTTGTCACCTCTCCGATGTATTTTTGGGTTTTACCACCTGTTATTCGGGTGTGCTGTGAATCCTGACACGTGGAATTAAACGTCGGACATCGTGCAGAACAATACGTGGTACAACCCGACAACACATCAGAGAGTTATTGGAAGAAAACTGTGAAAATTTACTCAGTAAATCATGTTTTAGCTTGGAAAGAAAGCCCATGGGCTTATGGATTGAAGTATTATTTCATGCAGAGCCATGACTTATAGTAAATTTAATTCCAAAATTATGTTTGATAGCAGCATTTGCTCATGCAGGCAAACTCTGGACAGGCTTTAGCCAGTCAATTCTACATCATGGGACCTCCTTTGCCAGTACCAAAATATGAGAAGAGGTTTTCCGCTTTTATTTGGCAACAAAACAGGTGTCCTCTGGTCTAACACCGTTTGAGACGAAGGAAGTTGTCTCTCATGTGGACCGATCAGTTTCAAAGACAATGCGTATATTATGAGAGTATGTTTTTTGTTTGCATTTTGACCACAAGTATTGTGGTTAATGCAGACATGACTCCTTGTAAAAGGTTTCAGTTTGGTGTTTTAACATCTTAACACGGCTGTTTTGTTGCCAGATAAAAGGGGAAAAACCTCTTCTCCGGTCAAGTCTCATCATCGGAGTCACCTACACAAGCAAACAAAAACAGAAAAAAACTACATCGATTACATTTGATTTTCCAGATATGCCATTAAAGCTCGCTATTGTTTGCGGTACTTCATGCTCTCACTGAGTGATCCACATCGATGCGTAGGAATCACCTGCATTCCGATCACGGCGTAGATGAAAAACATCATCACGATAAGCAGGGCGACATATGGCAGGGCCTGTGGACAGAAGCAAGGAAAATAAACGCGACAACATCATGGTATACTCCGGTATACCGCAAAATACCACACTAACAAACTTCCCCTAAATGTATTTTGGCCTTATACGAAGGAACAAATCCTCATTGTCGCGATACATTCAAGTTTAGTGGTTCGGTTGCAACATACATTTCTAAGAAAGCATGCTAAATAACGATAGTCGCTTTCACTCCTTTGTTAATCCACTGCTGGTTGGTCAGCATGTGTCTGTGAAGGGTGGACCCCAGCCCAGTTTCCCATTTAATTTGACACTGATGTTAGCCGTGGCTGTGAATCGAACTCGGGTCTAGATATGTGGATACTAGATTTGTAGCGCGGTGCGCTACCCACTGTGCCCACCACTCCTTCCCCAAAGCATTATCGACTTATATATATTTCCGCCGCTATTCACGCGTAATGTATTATTTCATTGTTCACGTATTTGATTCTGTAATTACCCGCTGCGCCGATAAGCTTTGACAAGAACTGATGGAACGAATCGCAATGTCACGATACGCTCAAGTTTATTGGTTCGCATGTAAAAACGCTTTGGAAATTGAAACTAAAGTTTACATAGCAACTGTCAAGACGCAGTATACCCTGCAGCGGTTCAGTGTTCCCTATTTAATAGACTTTGGAACACAAGTTATTTTTTTATCGATTTTGCTCTGTGTAGACTTGTGCCTCAAATGTCCTCTCGTGTTTTCTCACAAATGTCTCGTTATAAATAGAGTCTGTCTCAAGAGGCGCATACAATGGCGTGTAGTTTTCCACGCAAGATATGCATGCACGCACGCATACATTAAGGGATTAGTGTGTGTATGTACAGTGAGGGAAAAAAGTATTTGATCCCCTGCTGATTTTGTACGTTTGCCCACTGATAAGTAAATGATCAGCCTATAATTTTAATGGTAGGTTTATTTGAACAGTGAGAGACAGAATAACAACAACAAAATCCAGAAAAACGCATGTCAAAAATGTTATAAATTGATTTGCATTTTAATGAGGGAAATAAGTATTTGACCCCTCTGCAAAACATGACTTAGTACTTGGTGGCAAAACTCTTGTTGGCAATCACAGAGGTCAGACGTTTCTTGTAGTTGGCCACCAGGTTTGCACACATCTCAGGAGGGATTTTGTCCCACTCCTCTTTGCAGATCTTCTCCAAGTCATTAAGGTTTCGAGGCTGATGTTTGGCAACTCGAACCTTCAGCTCCCTCCACAGATTTTCTATGGGATTAAGGTCTGGAGACTGGCTAGGCCACTCCAGGACCTTAATGTGCTTCTTCTTTAGCCACTCCTTTGTTGCCTTGGCTGTGTGTTTTGGGTAATTGTCATGCTGGAATACCCATCCACGACCCATTTTCAATGCCCTGGCTGAGGGAAGGAGGTTCTCACCCAAGATTTGACGGTACATGGCCCCGTCCATCGTCCTTTTGATGCGGTGAAGTTGTCCTGTCCCCTAAGCAGAAAAACACCCCAAAGCATACTGTTTCCACCTCCATGTTTGACGGTGGGGATGGTGTTCTTTGGATCATAGGCAGCATTCCTCCTCCTCCAAACACAACGAGTTCAGTTGATGCCAAAGAGCTCCATTTTGGCCTCATCTGACCACACTTTCACACAGTTGTCCTCTGAATCATTCAGATGTTAATTGGCAAACTTCAGACGGGCATGTATATGTGCTTTCTTGAGCAGGGGGACCTTGCGGGCACTGCAGGATTTCAGTCCTTCACGGCGTAGTGTGTTACCAATTGTTTTCTTGGTGACTATGGTCCCAGCTGCCTTGAGATCATTGACAAGATCCTCCCGTGTAGTTCTGGGCTGATTCCTCACCGTTCTCATGATCATTGCAACTCCACGAGGTGAGATCTTGCATGGAGCCCCAGGCCTAGGGAGATTGACAGTTCTTTTGTGTTTCTTCCATTTTCAAATAATCGCACCAACTGTTGTCACCTTCTCACCAAGCTGCTTGGCAATGGTCTTGTAGCCCATTCCAGCCTTGTGTAGGTCTACAATATTGTCCCTGACATCCTTGGAGAGCTCTTTGGTCTTGGCCATGGTGGAGAGTTTGGAATCTGATTGATTGATTGCTTCTGTGGACAGGTGTCTTTTATGCAGGTAACAAGCTGAGATTAGGAGCACTCCCTTTAAGAGTGTGCTCCTAATCTCAGCTCATTACCTGTATAAAAGACACCTGAGAGCCAGAAATCTTTCTGATTGAGAGGGGGTCAAACACTTATTTCCCTCATTAAAATGCAAATCAATTTATAACATTTTTGACATGCGTTTTTCTGGATTTTGTTGTTGTTATTCTGTCTCTCACTGTTCAAATAAACCTACCATTAAAATTATAGACTGATCATTTCTTTGTCAGTGGGCAAACGTACAAAATCAGCAGGGGATCAAATACTTTCTTCCCTCACTGTATGTGCATTTATTCTCCAATTCCGTAACCATGATATGTATGGATCATGATTTTTAACCGGGGAAGTTTCCTCTATGGAAGCAGAATTAATCAATCACACATGTTGCTAATGGTAAAGCAAACATCTATCTTGCCTTGTGGTGCGTGTTTAGGCCATGCCGGCTAAATTCAAATTCCATTCGATGCCGTGCTTTACAAGATTTGTGCTCACTGAAAAAAATGTGATGTCAATTTAAATAAAAAAAACTGTTACCGAAAATAAAAGTGAATGTGGGATGGAAACTTGATGATGGGTTTTAAGCGACTTTGCTGTAGTCGTGGGGGCAACAGCACAAAACGAATACGTCAAACGAACACTTGGTAGTGTGTCAAGGAAGCTACATCGAATGCGGTTCTAGGCGTTCTATTTACGAGTAGCTTAAGTTTCCAGTGAAGCGACATCCATTCTGTGGGACGCCACTGCACGCAGTCATGACGAGCGCTTGCACGAGTCAGCCAGCGACGATTCACATCTGGAGTGCATCGCGACGCTGCATTACCATTGTCGCGCGAGGGCCCAGGACAAACTATTTAATCAAAGTCCGTGAGGCGCGCAGTGACACACCGATTCGTCAATTACAACAAAAAAATATTCTTAGCCAGATTATGCATGGAATAATTAATGTATGTTACAATTAATAAATAACCTTGGTGTGTGTATATATATGCACGCATGCTAGAGCAGTAAACACTATTTGCCCTCAAGCTAGTGACGTGAGTTTGATTCGAGACCACGGATGACATTAGTGACAAATTATATTGGAACCGGTTCTGCCATTCCCCCCCTGCCCCCCCGCCCACCTCAAATCTTCACCAATCCACAAAGACCAGAAAGGTGAAGTATGGTCAAACTACTGCCATGACGGACGTGGCATGGGGAGGCCTTCATCCATCAGTGAATTGACAAAAGGCCGCAAATTAGAACTATGTATTCAAATTATATGGACAGTAAACTGAACACTGTCATATATATATCAGAATAAGAATATTTATTGAGACTGGAAGAATCCGATGAGCTATAAAGCTCTTTTTCATAAACGTCCAGGAGATGCAGGTCAAAATGTAACAACAACAAACAATATATACACACACAGACTAATAGAATGAACCAAACGCTATAAAATAGACTAAAACAATAAGAAACTGTACAAAGGGGGCCAGAGATAAAGGAGATTCAGATGATCAATTATTCAATCTAAACGTGACCCCAAATTGAGACAATACATCGGATATCTGGAATTCATTGACAAAACTTGTTGCATGCCTTCCGACTATTGCCATGATTTAATAAGTTTGCGGCCACGTGTGTTTGGGTGTTCACCTTCAGTTTGACGCTTCCAGGATGCAAAATTCCCCGGATAAGGAAACAAAGTAGATGACCTCTGCTTATAACCAGGTGAGAACCCATTTAAGGTGGAGGTCTATTTTGTCAAAGACAACTGAGAAGCAAAATTAGCACTTCCACGGAGCTTCAGATTTACCGGAGGAGTGTACAGACCTTTGCACTGTGCAAATTGAATTTCTCACTGCGAGAGGGGGTCATCGGGACTTGATGAAGGTCGATCCCGGACCTGACGCAGTTCTCACCTGGAATGATTTTATGAAGGTCCACAGGAGGGTGCGAATGCCCTCTCCCTTGCTTAGGAGCTTGACGAGTCTCATCACACGGAAGAGACGGAAGAATGTGATGGAGATGCGGGAGCTGTCCTCGGAACTCTGCCGGATAAAATCGACGAGCAATGCGGACGTTAGCGCCGAGCTCCGTGTGCTGTCCGCGCGCCCATTCTGGGTCCTCGTCCGCACATAGCGCATCATCACAAAACAGCAAATAAAAACAAAACGACAACAAAAAACACCATGCGCTAAGGTTGTTGTTGGGGTTTTTTCTGGTCGCGTGAACGTCTCAAACGCAAAAAAATTCAGTTTTGGACAGCCATGCTGAATACGCAGCAATTGGCGCAAACGAAAAAAAAAGGCGACGCAATGCCACCCAGAGTGCATCCCAAAACGTAAACATCACTGCAAAAAAACACACTGCGATGGCTGGAGGAGAGGGAGGAGTTGTGGGGGGCGGAGTGTGACCATGCCAGGGCGTGCATTGGAGTCATGGCACAAGGTGCTGGGGAAGGGACGAGAGGGCACCGCTGTATGGCCCATCTTACCATCGTGGGCAGATCAAAACTAGTATCAGCGACAGGAACATCATCATCTAAAGGGCAAGTTCCAGTTGGCTTCGAAGAGGGGAACACAGACAGGATGAAGTGAAGTCTCTCACAATCGACAAAATACACGGTGGTGTCGTCTGCGTAACGTGGACGCGCGATGGCATGCTGGTGATTTTTAGAAGACTCAGAAATTCACACAATCGGGTTAATAATGCAGCGGGACAGGCACGGGAGTACGCTAGAATGAGAGCCACACTACGAAACGTCATTGGATGCGATGCAAGTAAAGACGAATATGCACAATACAGGCACAGAGAAAACCAAAATGGATCCTTTGCAGGCTTGCGGGAAACTAGAATATCTAAAACACTTAATAAAAGCCAAGTGAATCCGTTCACACAACATAATCGACGACGTTGGTGAAAAAAAAAAACCTGACATTTCTTAACACTGAGCAAACGTTGACTGGGCAATAAATGATTTCAGCTTTTATGCTCGTACCGGTAAGCATTGGTGTAGATATTTCTGATGGAAAAGGGTTCAGAGCCAGGACCCGCAATTTTCCTCTAAGTGGCTTCGAATTTTGATGGACATAATTTGCGGGATCAAGGAGAGTTTGCAATCTGGCATTTTGAAGGCAAATATTTTTTTGGACTCTCAAAACTGCTGGATTGCGAGGTGGCCATGGTGTTGGCAATATATATCAAATGTATTAATGTGCCCATCTCTGTCGACCTTTTAGTGCTGTGCACACGTATGCGTGGGCTTTCTCTGGCTATTGAGGTTTCCTGTCACATCCAAAATACTCCTTAAAAAAGACAATGGCCGATCAAGACAATGCAGGACCCCCTCTTAAAAATAACCTTGAGCCTCAATGAGGTTTTTCTGCATTACGTAAAAAAGTTAAAGGAGCGGCCCTGCAAATGCTTGCTTATGCCACCGCAGAAGGGCCTCCACTCGGAAAACCTGGGAAATTCTCATGACCCGAATTTGAACCATTCTCGCAGCTTCTTGATGACCAACTCCACCTGTGCGAAGGCACCATCTTAACACTGCGAAGAGTCAGTGCCACGGAGGCTCGCTAGTCAAGAGGCGAGAGCCCACGGCAAGCGGACAACGTTCAGAAACGCCCGCGGGGGCGTCCGCGGCGGCGGCAACTCAGGCGAGCGGCACGGCGAAGTGGACGGCAAGCGTGATGGTGCATTACCTCTCCCAGGTGGCCTCCGTTCTGATGGATAGAAGCAAGCGGCAAGCGTGGGAAGCGGCCGACGAGGGGGGAAAAAAAATGGGCACAAAAAAGTAGAATAACAAAATAAATAAGATGACATGAGTGGCTGTGGGGAGAATAAAGAGGTGAGCCATTTTGATGGTGGTAGGGGACGCGGGGGGAGGAAGGGAAGGAGCGATGGTGGTGGTAGCAGTGAGGGTCAGCATGGTGTAGGCGGGGTACGTTGTGCGGTTGGGGTGGTTTTGGCGGTAGTGGGTAAGTGGTGATTTGCGCGGGCGGGCGGCTTTTTGCAGCGAAACGCGCAGTATGGGCAGGTAGAGCACGCATGCAGACACAACAACAATGACAATGAGCCGGTGATTTATGCACAAACAATTCATGCCCACTTCCATTGTCTTGGACTCAACACCCAGTGGTTGTAGCATGCACCCTTGGGTGCAAGGATTGAAACTGAGCTCTGTGTCCAATTCCCCTCACCCCCCCCCCCACCACTCTTCTTAGACTGGTGCTTGGGCCGCTGCACTGCCCACACACTCAATCGCTCAGCTGTGGTCGCGAGCGAAGAATCCAGTTAACCAGGTTGTTCGGCGTCACCCCTTTCACTCTACCCAGCGGCCGTCCTGGGTTAACACTGCAGGTCCGATGATCCGTGAAATACTACGGCGCCATCTGCTTCGCTTCACAGTGGACTTTATTGAAAAGTCTAGCATGCCACGGTGTGTGTGTGTGTGTCAGCACCACAGTCGAGATTTGGCAATTTATAAAAAAAAAATTACCCGGATTTAGCGTACTTAATTGCGTAAAAAACACATTGCAACATCGCACCCACTGCTGGCGAACTCATGCCCACTTGCAGGCCAGCGCTGCATACTCCTTGTACGGTGAAGGGGCAAACTGCAACAAACCTAGCAGGTCCCTCCCAATAAAAAGAGTCTCTCTGTCATCTTTCTGGTGTGAAGAAGGGACATTGCATGAAATATCAGCCTACAGTATATGTCCTACTGAACACAACGTCAATTACAAATTTAGCGTATTTTCAAATTGCCAAAGCAGTCCCTCGATTGTTTTTATGCCTTTTTCAGCACCGTTTAAGCATTCCTGTAAATAAGTGTGGAGGCAGAAGGGCACCTATTCAAATCGATCGTCGCGGAAATGGAAATGAGCGGCGGAGTACTTACGTTCACTTCGGTGATAGCAATATCAACGACGCTACCCACAACAATCAAGGCATCAAACGAGTTCCATGCGTCAAAGAAATAGTGCTGTGCACAGCGAGCGGCAGCGAGAGAGGAGGAGAGACAGAAAACAAAGGAGGGAATGGAAGAAAAAGAACAACAACAAAAGAACAGAAGAGATAAACATTTAAAAACATGCAGCCACCAATGACGCTGACTCTAAGAACAAACTCGAGCTTGAGCTGGACGCAACGATGTCAATTTGCTGCCACAATCCTGGTGGCCTACCTCTCGGACGTTAAACCTGCAGGGAGAATACAGAGAGGGCTTCCAATTCGTCCATGTTTATGCTTATGCTCACCAGGAGCTATGAAAAAATAACAGTCATGCGGTTCATATTCTTGGTTCTTTCGGTAAAGTCACGTGACTTTAAACATTTTAAAAAACATGCAGCCACGTGACTTTACCGATAGAACCAAGAATATGAATCCCTGCGAGTCACGAAAGCTTTAAATCGAAAAGTCATGCGGTTATTGGTGACTGCACCAACAGCATCAACTCACTGCACTCGAGAGTCCAGTATAGTCACGGCCGACTGAAACCCAGATTCAAACTTCCTGCGGTTTTGGCTCAATGTTCTCGCAAAGTATTGGTCTCTGAAGCACCCAGCCACCTTCGGAAAGGTGTCTTAAGTTTAAGTTTCTTTTGCATAAACCGGTGAGAACTCAAGCGACGAGGATGCGTCTCGTTTGCAAGAGTGAGCCGGGTCACCAAAATGACGATGGCCAAAAAATGAATTGAATAAAGGTACAGCAATAAATTAGGCACTGCATTAAAAACCCTCTCCTATATTCACCGCGGGATCGTCTACGTTCACCGGGAGGTGTGTAGTCATGTGTGACTTGCCAAACAGAGACACGGGGTGGAGGAGGAAGAGGGGGAGGAGGATGAACGCAAAGCGGCTGGGCCGGATGTCGGCGAGAGGCGACAGGGGGGATAAGCGAGGGGACGAGAGGAGGGAGAGAAGGGACGAGGGTGGCTCACATACTCACGTCGATTTCACTGAGAACGACGTCTATAATGCTGCCAATCACGATGAGGGAGTCAAACACGTTCCAGGGGTCACTAAAATAGCCCTAGACAACACGAGGATCAGGACGCAAGGGTAGACGTGTCAGGGGCAAGGAGGTCAACGGCGACTCGGCATCCCGGGGAACTCTGTGAAAACACTGGCAATGGTTTCAGATAAAGGGGGGGGGGGGGGAACCACTCGAGGTGCAAACAAACCACAGCGACTTAGCATTCCACACGTGACAAACGAAGGGACAGATGTTTGTCTGGCCAACCAAATATAAAACGAAATAGAATGTACGTCCATGAGCCTACAGCCTTGTTGAATCGATCTTTATCAGCAGTAGTTTTGGAAGCACCAAACCCTGCACCGATTTTGGGATTATCAGGCTCATCAGCAGTGCGTGACCTGTTTAAGGATTGCTGCTGCTGCTTTGCCCTGGCGTTATGGGAAAGAGCGATCCGCAGACAACACGACGCTCGCCCAGCGTGTTGCAGGCTCTTGTCCGTCACACCGGGCAACGCGTCGGCATTTGTCTGATAGGCCACGCTGCCGATGAGAGGCAAAAATAGGCAAAACTGGTCCAGAATTGGCAGCCGAAACTATTTCTGATGGAAAACATTTGTCCAGAAATCCCACTGGACGATGTTCGTAAGCATCATTCTATTTTTACCCGTGAGAAGCAGACATTGGCACGTTTATTTATATCTTAACAATCTTAGAGCCAAAATCCACCAAGATGGTGCGTAATTTTGCAACGTTAAATTCCATTTATTTAAATAAATTACGGGCCAGATTCACATCTTCATAAAACGGATACAAACCTATTGTTTTGGCAATACTATCCACCCCCAAGTTGTTAACCCCAAGTTGTTCATAGAGGCATTGGCACAACTTCATAAAAATATTTTTACTCAAGATAATGGGGGACACTTTAACATTCACGATGACATCTTTACTGCCGAATATGTATCGTTAAATTTTCAGGAAGAGAGAAACAGCTCCTTTGGATATGGAGCTCTGATCACATCGTGCCGTGTCTGGGGTATGTGAATGTTAAGAACTGCCACTACTGGCTCTCACTGGCACCACTGCCAGGCTGTCTGGGCAGGCAATGAGCACCCCCCCGCCCCCCCCCCCCCCCCCCCCCCCCCCCCCCCCGTCTGCGAGGGGGCACGTCACCATCAGCTCAGAGAAACATTTGACACATCTACTGTTGTCATTTTACAAAGCGCAAAAATTCACTCTCCTGCGTGCATTGTTCATTAGCACCCACGTTAGCCGTGTTGCTGCAACGCAGTTTCCATTCTGCAAGTGCTAGAGCGGGTGTTTTGATTAATATTCGGCTGCTCGGATATCAGGCGTGGGATTTCTGGAATGAGCACATTATTACCATCCAATTCACTGGACGTCACCACGATTCAATTCCTACAGCAGCCGAACTATTACCGCCATCGCACACGCACTTGCAAGCAATGCCGAGAATGAATCCTTAGGTCGCACGGCATAGCACACGGAACAGATCCTGGGGTTATTCTTATGCAGGATTTCAGGGGAACAAACACACACACACACGCTAGGGTCCAAATAGTGGGGTGGTTTTGATGGGGGCAGAGGGAAATGTTTGGTCGAGTCATTTCATGATCCTGATAGAAGAAAACAAATCAAGAGCTTTCCATAGCCAAACAAAACTGTGTGGCAGCCTAGGGCTGAGAACTCACAAGCATCCGTTCCTTTTTGTTGACAAACACCTGCAATGCATTTGTTTAGGACATCAACACATAATCTGCCTGTTGGGGAATATCCGTGCTTTGCTTGAACAGTGCAGGCCCAGAACACGGAATGGGGTGCTTCAAGAAATAACGAGATGACCACAAATGATTTATTAGTCTACTAAATTAGTCCGTCATTAGCAATGACACATAGCCTAATCCCATATGACAGACACACAAGTTAATTATGCTTGCCCTTATTGTTTAGGCATGTCCTGTAAAGCACGCATTACACTGCATTACGAATGAATGCCATCTCTCTGTGTATGCAGGCACACGTGCACACGCGTGCGTGTAGCGGTAACATGAGTGGAGTTGTTTTATATATATTTTATTATTTTGTTGTTTCCCTTCAACGTGACTTTACCGAAAAAACTAAGAATATGAATTACTGCAGTCACGAAAGCTTTAAATCAAAATTTATGAGTGGAGTTGTTCACACAATTGCAACTCCAAACCCAGCGAACTCGGTTGAACTCCCCGTAGCGAGTGGTATCTGAGCCCGTCCTGAGCCTCCCCTCGATCGACTCAGCCTCAGTTGACTCACTGGTGGTGTGTGTACATCTGAGTAGTGGGGAGAATTAAGGTGGCTGGGAGTGGTGCTCGCCTCACCACCCTCTCGTGTGTGCCCGGCCAACCTGAATTGCTGCCCGATAACAGAATGGGGACCCCCCCCCCCCCCCCCACCGTGCTTTGTGTGGATAAGTGGATAAACAGGGGACGAATAATTTAACCGTATGTCATTGCGTGAAGGTGTAGACAGGAGATTCCATTTCCAACCTTGACGGAAATCCCCGTGGTAATGGATCTACGAATCTGGCCTATATAGACTCAGGCTAGAATTGGTGACTCGGTGCAATAGTGTGGGCAACGTTGACACTGGGGATATAAAGGCAGCTGGGAGCGCATGTTTCTGGCTACACCACTTGTCGTGTGTAGTAATAAATGTTACAGTTAAATAGACTACACTGAAGACCTTTGGCTATTCTGTGTAATTGTTATGGATGTTTTGTTTGAATGCACCCTTTAAAGGATACATGGGGAATCTTTGTTCGTGTGTGAGTGCAGCGGTTAGCGGGCTGCGCTACGAACTCGGCAACCAGAGTCGATTCCTGCTCGTGGCCAGCACTGGTGAGAATTATCTCAGCCGGTCCCAGGCCTCCCCTAGGCTAATTCAGCCTGGCGCCATGTGCAAACGTCGCCACTGGGAATACAAAGGAGACCAGGCGTGGTGCTGGCCACCCGCCCCCTCATGTGCCGTGCCGGCCCTTCACAGGTGCTCGCTCACAGCACTTGCCCCAACAGTCTGACAAGGCTACACGGGGGATCTTTGTCTTAATTCGCACGCCATTGTCAATCACTTGTGGGATGAAGGCCCCCCCCACCACCTCCCCGCACACAGGCTTGGTTGTTGTTGTTGTTGTTGTTATTTGCCATACTTCACCACACTGCTGAGTGTGGCTTGTGAAGGGGAGGTGGCTGCTTCGCACGTCGCTTGCCACTGAAGTTAAACCCGTGGCCGTGAAAGTGAGCCAAGGTTCATCGTGCAGCGCGTGATTCACCGGCCGCTCCGCCCTGCCGGTGCATTCACGTGAACTTATCTACCTAGACAATCTCATTACCTCGTCTCCAGTCCTAGGGGATGCTTACGTATTGAGTAGCTGTGTAAAATTGCACATACACACAGACACACATATATATTAAGTAATTATACTTGCCAACCCTATTGTTTGCAGCTGCAGGCTTGCCGAATCTTGAACCCCCTATTGGGCAGCACCGGTTTAGAAGGGAAAAATTTGCGACTTTTATTCTCGCAAAAATTGGGGCAATATTTTTTTGGCGGGAGAAACAAAAACTGAAATTAATTAAAAAAAATAAACTATTCTTTCATGAGGTTACTTTGCTTTTGCAAAGCAGCACGAGTAGCTTCTGTGCGAGGAGAAGTGTTATTGCATTGCCTGGGTGAGACGTGGCAGCGGCTCGGGGAGTCCTTCATCCAGCAGTGGATTGAGCATGGCTGAAGATCACATTTGAAAACTGGCGTGCGGTAAAAAAAAATAACATTTAAACAGCTACCGTTTAAATCTGTACGGCTGGCGAGTATTGCAGTGTATGGCATGTTGAAGTGCACATTGCAGTACGGGTATGGTGCGAGTACAGAGAAAGTAATGCACATGCCCTTGATATGTATACAATACATCGCATTATTATCTCGCATCAATATTGGCAATTCCCACCGTATATAAGTCATATGGGATGAAACGCATATATTAATATGTGTTGCACATTTCATGTAGGTGGATTGGTGAGCTGGCGAATATGAATAGGCGGAGTGGGCGTCTCTCCGCAGTGTGCCGAGAGCAAAGGCTTACCCTCGGTTTGAAGGCAATTATCTTGAGGACCATCTCCACAGTGAAGAGCCCAGTGAACACCATATTGAGGATATCCATGGCGTAGTTAAACAGGAAGGTTTGGTTGTAATGCTGAAAAAACAACAACAAGGGGCAGTCTTCAGTGTGTTTCACGCGCTCAAGTGTCAACAGCGGACGGACCCATTGAAGCGGCAAGCGCTACTGCTCGGTAGCGCCGTGACGCTAGGTGATATGCGTCCGCGTTGATCCACGCCGAGTGGTGTCGCGGGGGGTTCACTGACCATACAACGAGATGCTGGTTAATTCAGGTGGGCGAAGGCAGAGAGAGAGCGTAGACAGGGGAGCATAGAGGTGCAATACAGGTGGGCGAAGGCAGAGAGAGAGCGTAAACAGGGGAGCATGGAGGTGCAATACAGGTGGGTGAAGGCAGAGAGAGAGCGTAGACAGGGGAGCATGGAGGTGCAATACAGGTGGGCGAAGGCAGAGAGAGCGTAGACAGGGGAGCATGGAGGTGCAATACAGGTGGGCGAAGGCAGAGGGAGAGCGTAAACAGGGGAGAATGGAGGTGCAATACGGGTGGGCGAAGGCAGAGAGAGAGCGTAGACAGGTGACCATGGAGGTGCAATACAGGTGGGCGAAGGCAGAGAGAGAGCGTAGACAGGTGACCATGGAGGTGCAATACGGCGATGGATTTTTCGCTGCACTGCCCTCCCTCTGCCGCTCACCACATGGCCCCCGCAGCCTCATGACGTAACCCTGTTCGGCATGGTGGTCAGTCATTCAGGTACTACATCGAGGCTCCACGCTGCTCAGCCTCTGATATTTGATGGCATTTGAGGTGATGAGCGATCTGGCACAACATGTGCAGTGTATCACATGTATTAATACTCAAGGCACGTGCGTATATCCAAGCTGCATTGCCGGTAATCACAGGCACAGCTGTCATGTCAGGTGAGCTGGCAGCACGCCTGTGATTCAGTGCTTTGTGGGCAAGGGTTGGTGAATTACGCAGAAGTACGAAAAAGCCTAAACAAAACAGGGTTTGCAGGTGGTTAAGAGGTGGCAATGCGGAAAACTTGAGTGTCAAATCCGTCTGTGTAGGACTTTGAATGTGTGGGCTTTCTCTGTGTACTCTGGTTCCCACTCTGCATCTTGAATGGAATTGGCCAAAACATTCTAATACAGGACCCTCCAAAAAAAAAGACAGAGTCTTTAAGACTCTGAGAGGCTTTCCGGGACGAATAAAATAAAGGGCATATCAAGGGGGCAACCGGTCCTCTGGTTGACATTGGCAGTTCCGAGCAAAGATGTTCCCCAGCCGTGATGCTGATAGTGAACAACTAAAGGTGACAGACCCGGACCATGCATTTCTCAAGATAGACAGGCAGACAGAAAACGTGATGCAATGTCAGTGACAGATGGACATTAATCCATAGGCCAGTGATCACTTATATGACGTTTGGTGCCAATGCTGCTCCCCGGGATAACAATTGTCCTCTCATGTGTTCAAGTGGTAGTCGCATTTTTTTGTCTGCAGTTTGGTAGCCACGGTCCATGGGAACGTCTTGATTAATAGTAATAATAATGATGCTAATAATTCACATGATTGGTATTCACGCCATTCGTACAGCACAATGGCTCTCATAATGGTGCTGTGTCTCACAGACCAATAAAGTCTGCCAGTAGTAGGGGGGCAATGCCGACACATAGTTTATCTAAATCCACTCATCTGGAAAATTTGTACCATGATGCTGACACACACGGCTTACTCTTTTTTGAATGACGTCACGGGATCTTTTGACATCCACTTGGCAAGCAGATGGCACGTACTGTATGTATTTTTTGTTAAATATATCCAAAGTGTTCATCAGGACGGTCGCCTGGTTCGACCCATTAACCTCTGCACCAAGCTGCTACCGCTAGGCAGTGTCACAAACACCACTGATTGTAGCCACTAAACAAAAAACGAAACACTATTTTTATTTTACCAGGTAAGGCCCACTAAGCTATATAGCTCTTTTTAAGAATCGACCCGGCCACAAATGATAGCTCAACAAAATGTGGAAGGAAAAACCGGAGGACCCGGAGAAAAATTCACACAACCACGTGGATAACATTCAAACTCCAAATATACAGGCGTCAGGGTCTGGATCGAACCGACGACCTCCCGCATACCACGCGAGGTAGTTAACATCTCGCCACCGTGGCACCCACAGTGACGAGATGTTATCCAGCCTAGGCATGAACCTAGGCTGGTTATCCCAGGCTATGAGACAAGAGTTTTAAGTTTAAATTCAAGTGTTTTTGTTTACCCAGGTGAAAACCCAAGAGTCCATTTGCCAAAGTGACCTGGGGTGTTTGTCTGACAGAAGGGGGGGGGGGGGGGATGATTGCTATGCATTGTCCCCAGTTGAGTAATTTACGGTATGATTTTTTAATTTGACCAATTTGGACACTGAATTTGAAGCATCATTGTAAAAATAGACATTAAAGTGTATCATTATCGTACTCCCGTGACATTGGCATGTGACATCGCTGCTATATGTTTAAATACAGTGATGTCATTTTGGTCTTTATGCCAGAGCAACTGACCTTGACATGAGTCTATTTTCTCATTAGCGAAGCTTCAAACTGGAGTCAGAGAGTCTAGAACATGCACGGCTTAGGTCATAACTAAACAATAGGACCTTTATGATTCCGTAGGTTTTAAGCAGTGCGCTGTGTAACTCTCCGGTTTGTTTTTGGTTAGTACCACGTGTCGTTTGGCATGATGTCCGACGTTCCGCTCCACGTGAAAAAGCTCGCAAATACGTGGAGCGAAGCGTCGTACATCACGTTACAACCCAAAAACACAAGGGAGAGCTGAGACCCATTTTCACGTGGATTAAATCTTTCTTTGAGAGCTCACGTGGTCACAGCAGTCAGGGGGGAGCTATTCATGGGAGTTAAGTGTGAACGTGTGCTTTGTGTGTGTGTGTTTGTGTGTCTTTGTTTTGTGTCGAGCGGTGGTGCAGCGTTTCGCACGCTCCGCTTCAAATCCGGCGACCCGAGTTTTATTCCTGCTCGTGACCATCACAAGTGAAGATCATCTGAATTGGTTATGGGCTTCCCCTAGGTCGACTCAACCTCAAATGAGTACATGGCGTGATGTTCAAACATTTCCACTCGGGAGACAAAGATGGCCGGACGTGATGCTGGCCACCCACCCCTCTGTGTACCGTGCCGGCCTTCATAGGTGCTTGCTAACAGCACTCGTCCCAAAAGTCTGTTAAGGCTAAGTGGGGGGGGGGGGGGGGGGGGGGGTGTGGATCTTTGTCTTTGCGTTTGCATAGCGCTCCTTTTGTACAGACAGGTACTGACCTGCATGCCAAGGCAGAGGGTGTTGAGCATGATCAGCACGAACATGACGTACTCGAAGGCGGTTGAGTTGACGACGTACCAGAACTTGTACTGGTATGGGTTCTTGGGGATGTATCGGCGGAAGGGCTTGGCTTTGAGGGCATACTCCACACACTGACGCTGTGTGCACACAACGCCCCGATTGGTCAATCGCACCGCTGCTGGTTCGCGGAGAGGTCCCTTGCTCGCCGTTCCGATTATAATGCAAGAACCAACAGCAGTGCCAGGAGGAGAAATATGTCTCAAATGACGGTGGAGTATAAATATGTTTTTCAACCAGGTAAGGCCCACTGAGCTTATATAGCTCTTTTTCAGAAGCGACCTGGCTGTCACAAATGATAGCTCAATGAAGTAGCTTTTCATCATGTGGAATTATATAGCAGCCAAATACTCTAAACGCATGCAGACTCCAAATATACAGGCGTCAGGATCGGGATCGCACCCACGACCTCCTGTATAACCGGCTAGGTAGTTAAAACATCTCGCCACCGTGGCACCCAAACTAGCAAACAAATCCCCGCATGTCACGGGTTGGTGAAAATAAAATAGAAGAAAAGCCAATAAGTGAACAATGAAGCATGTGGTAGATCAAGGGAAACATGCTTGGAATTACATTGATTGACAGGAAGAGGAACGTACGGATTAGAGAACATACGCAAGTCAAAGACATTGTATATTGAGAGTTAAGAAAGTGATGCGGGCTTGGGTAGGATATGTCACTGGAAGAAATGATTCTCAGTCGTCAAGGTTAACGACAATAGTAGCAGCCAAAGAGAGATAACATGCCCTTGCAGGTCGTCCAGCCTGGAGATGAAGCGATGATATTAGCTCCGAATTTTTATTTCTATTGATTACATTTTGATCCATGAGCTCGATGGATATTTTTTTTATCGCAAGACGTGGAACAATTTGGGGAGGCCATCATCATACAAGCAAGAGATAGATCATGGCTGGTGCTGATAATGTTGAATAAAAATGAAGCAGCAATCGGCGCTCCCTTCACACGTCGCCTGCCGTGTCTCCACCCAGTGCCCGGATACTAACCTGGTTCTTGTCAAGCTCACAGTTTTCGTACTCCTTCTCTCCCTGTTCCTGGAAGGTGATGATGACGAAACCCACGAAGATATTCATCATGAAGAAGGCGATGATAATAATGTAGATTATGAAGAAGATGGAGATTTCTACGCGGTAGTTGTAGATGGGCCCAGAGTTCTCTGCGTTGGAGTCAATCGCCTTGTACAGCAACCTGCCCAATGCAAACGCAAAAAAACATTGCATTCTCCTCATCATCATCGCCACTTAATATTTATACCTCACTGCCACCTCAAGTAGAGGACCCTCAGTGGCAGCTGTTATTGCGTAGCACCAGGTGAACATATTACTGGCCCCCACATAGACATGAGCCTGCCGGTAGGGGGCCAACGTTGCTATGTGGCTGCCCAATGAAGCAAGTTGCGAGTAAACTTTGGTAAATTTGGTACCATGTTGCCGGCACGGAATATTAACATCCACAGTCAACCAGACGACACGCGTTAATCGTTGATACATCCGTAATATTAACCAGGGTGGCCACTAACCTCTAACCATGGCCGTGAACCGCTCGGCCATGTAACTGTCCTGAATTTCCAGTGAAACACGTTTTTAGTTTTTATTGGCACTTTAAAATGCGTAAGCGCAACGACATTAGCAGTGCGGTTTTGTTTGACAAAAGCGTTCTTTTTTTGGCCCGGCACCAGAACACCCTCGCCACCGCGGCCCTGCTGCGTCCGTCCCTTACGCGGGCCATCCCTCAAAGGTGGAGACGGTGAAGAGGGCCATCATGCCCGTGAGGACGTTGTCGAAGTTGAAGTCGTTGTTGTGCCAGTTGCGCTCGCGGATCATCGGCTGGTTCACGTCGCCGTCCTTGAACACGATGTACGTTCCCCTGGAAAACGAGGGCGCCTCCGGTTTAACACGTCGTCATCGGCGGGGCGGTGGGGGGGGCGGGGAGGCAGCAATGCGAGTATCGCACTCGGTTGCATTTGGGGGCCTGCGGCTCATAGGAGACGCTTCAGGCGACGCATAGGAATTTCGTTGAATTAGGGACTTATTCATACTTTACTCGTGGGAATGTCATGAGCGCCGTAAGCAGTTGATCTATCTCATTGTTGTACTGTACAATATTCCAATATCTATGCTCCCCTGACCAAACGTGGTGAGGTATGGTCAAGAAGCCCTCGCCATCCGCATGGCGTGGGAAAGCCCTCAACCAGCCAGCCATGGATTGACACAAGGGCTGCGCATGTGAATGTTCGTATAAAATCGTGGGGACTGAGATAATTAATAAATGGCCACATGTTCATAACATTCCCATGAACGAGTGTCTACAATTCTAAATCTGTTGAACACGAAGTGTAGACCTTATTTATTTGGGTATCACTCGTATTATTATTATTATCGTAATACCATTTACTTATTAACCCTGGAATTCCACAGAGTCTACAGACCATTTTTTCAAGAGGTTCCTGCTACATTGGGATATTTGGCTAACGCCAATGACATTTTATGTTTTTTTTTACTTTTACTCTGGGAGGAATCCGGAGAACCCAAAAGAAACCCACGCAGACCAGCATGGGAGAACATCCACACTCCACAAGGGAAGGCACCCGTATCAGGCATTGAACCCAGGCGCTTCCTGCTTGCGAGGCGCACGTGTTCACAACTTCGTCCCACCCTGCAGTCCCCCAACAATGCCGAGCACTAATATGCGGCGTGAACACGCACAGACACACGGGATGCACAAAGCGATGCATTGCAAAAGGCGCGGCGTGGCGCGCGCAGGAACAGCGCGTACTTGCACTCCTCGGGGTTGTGCTTGGCCTCGTCCGTGCAGCTGTAGAACTTCCCCTGCGGGAGAGGAATTGAATTATCGCAGCTCGGAAAACTCTCGGCGGTGTTGTCGGCAACCCTTCACACCCAAACGGCAACCCGGTTTGACGCGAACAGCGGTGCGTGCGGTGTGCTTCAAACTTTCGCTTCGTTTCGGTGAGCGCGTGATTATTTATTTAGTGATTCGTTTGTTTCTCGAGGTAAAAGGTGCAGGCCCTGCAATTGCTTGCTGAGGCCCACTGTTGGCAGGAAGGGCCGCTACTGGAGGGAGTTCTAGAGGACTCCCCCAGAGTGTTTGGCCTACTGTTTGCACGCTGGCCAGAAATCTTGGAAGAGGTGGCAATGCCCACGCTTTATACCACCACACACGACCTGCCGATCGACTCACCGGTGTAGATTCATTGACACCACAGGGTGGACAGTGGTGTTTAAGAAACTTGCACCGTTATTTCAACTGTTCCGGAAGATCGAATGGAACCGGCAATCTGTAGATTGCACATTCGGTGTGCTAACCTTGGCCACCATGGCAGCAGCCATGCAACAATTTATTTGTTAAACTCTGTATATATTTGATGGTGGCTTTCCTAAGGGCCCGAGCGTGTGAACATACTGAGCTCTCATGAATTTTGACAACGCACAAATCATCCCCACCATCACACCACCACCACCACCACCCCCCCCCCAACCCCCCCGGACATTTCACACGCGACGTGCGATCGTGAATGTGTGGCTGCCGCTCTCGTCGGAAGAGAGATCCGCTTCGCAGCGAACACGCCGCTGCGCTCGATTTGCTCAACGCGTTGCTCCATTTCGTTCACCCGGGGCGTGGACTCCCATGGGCCTGCAAGGCGTATTCGAGTTAACAATCGCCAATGATGCTCAGCCTTTCGTCGATCCACTGCTGGAATGTGGAAAGCCTCCCCGCGGCTCCATCAGCCACGCTTTGGAGAAAATGAGGGTCGCTTGGCTTGAATGTGCATAGCGCACTGCACTATAAACACAGCCACTCGAGTTCAACTCCCGGCCGTTATTTACTGCTGTCAGTGGAGAGTGATGTCTGAACAGGTCCTGGGCCCTCATCCCCAGATGGGAGACCACGACAAGCAGGTGTCATCGCTTGCTGCCGGAAGGGCTACATTGTGGGCAGCAGAGGGCTATAAAAATAAATATTGTACCATGAACTCACGTCATTGCTCCCCCATCTTCACCAACCTGCACAGACCAGCGTGGCAATGTATAATCAAACGGCCCATTTGACTGGGACAGCTTGGGTGAGAAGAGACCTCTGTCCCACGGTAGATTGATGAAAGCCTGTAAACTACTCTTAATTATTATCAATACCCATTACGAGAATGGGGCATTTCCTCAATACAGTAGAACTCATCTCAACGACCACCCCTGTTAACGACTAATTGCTTAACGATGGGCCTCCATAGAGCCCAATGTGTTCGCTTACCGACCATTCGCCTGTTAACGACGGGCTTACAACGAGCACGCGACGGACCATTTCGGCCAATCGGTGAGCTCCAAAGTGGTCTGACTAGGCCTCGGGCAATCAGCGACATTCATTCTTGAGCGTTGGAGCATTGTTGCGCTTTGACGTGGAAACATGTCGTTAAGCGAGTGGAACCAATTACCGTCGTTAAGGGGGGTTATACTGTATTTCCGAGATCCCTTAGCAAACAGCCCCGTGGCGGCTTCAGCGTACCTTGAAGAGCTGCACTCCAATGCAGGCAAACATGAACTGCAGCAGTGTGGTGACGATCATGATGTTGCCGATGGTCCGAATAGCCACGAACACGCACTGGACCACGTGCTGCCCGACAAATCAGCACACACCACCAGGTGCATGATGTAACGCACAGGGTTTCGCAGCCAATATTGTAATTCATGGATAATTATTTGGGTCAGGCCATTTTTTAATTGATCTGGTCAAATGTGTTCCAAGACCCTTCACCACCCAACATAGGGAAACAAATGTAGATGTGACACATACCAGTGTTTCACGTGCCAATAGTTATTGGTTTAGCTCACCGGTAAGTTGAAGAACGACCCTCACAACCAAATTCAGCGATCAGATATGCCACGTTTGGCTTCAAAACTACGTTAAGCATCTTCAGGACAAAATACAAGAAAGTCATACTAAAATCTAGGAAGATGCTCGGCTTCCGGGATTTGTCCTGAAGGTTTTTTTGTTTTTGAAGTGTTGTATCTAAGTGGTAGGTAGCTTTGGTTGTGAGAACTATTGTTCAATGTAGCGCTGAGCGGAAATAACAATAGAGCGTTAAACGCTTGTACACGTGAACATTTTATTTGTCCAACTATGTCCGCGTGTGAAGGGTCTTATGGCAAAATCTGGCCAGATCAGCTTCAGACAAAAAACATTGAGCATCATTACATCTATTCATCAAAATCATCATCATCATCATCATATTTCAATCATCATGATAAATACATCATCGTGACCAGCAGAAATACATCTGAATCATCATTAGACTCACCATAAATCGTGATAATAATTATAATAAATGTTATCATCATCAATCAACCACCATCATCATCATTAATGCATCACTACCATAAATATAATACTCACAACATTCATCATTCTCAATAATAATCATTCAATCATCACAATCATTATAAACAAAACCATGATCAACATATAATCTTCACCACCATCATCGTCTCCATGCAAACTCCTATGAACTCTGAGCAGCCAATTGACCATTGCTCATCATTATTACATATTGTACGTGTAATTCAATGAGGGCAACTCATATGAATCACTCATTGGACTTATGAATGAGTGAGCGGGCCAAAGGGCTCAGACGTGACAACATCATACGCATTAATGAAAGGAGAGAGAGCGAGAGAGCCACGGCGTACGAGATAACGGGGCGACATTTTACCTTGAGGCCTTTTGCTCTGTTAATGGCCCTGAGAGGCCTCAGCACTCGAAGCACGCGGAGGATCTTTACCACGGAGATGGCGCTTGATCTACAAAGAGAAGTCGACAACAACCATCGGTCAGAGGTGGCCATTGTGCCACGCGGTGACCATGAGGGCGTGAGCAAACTGGCCGCGGGGCAGGTAAGTTTCAAGTTTCATTTATTAGGTATAGCCCTGTGAGCCATGCGGCTCTTGAGTCGGGTGCAACCGCAGCAAATAAAATATGAACAGAGAAACATCTTAAAGCGACGACGCGCAACAGAAACATCCTGGATAAACCAGCAAATCTTGCAGAAAAAAACAACAACACCGTATTACAACGCTGTGTGCAAAAATCCCAGTGTGATGCAAGACAAACAATAACAACCATAAGACAATTTAGATTAAAGTTATCAGGCCAACTCCGCACTTCCGCAGGAAACATAGCTTAACCATATGTTTTAGAAATCACCAAAATAAAGCTAGTAATCCCTAACCTCTGTCCTGGCTTCAAAAAGGCTCTAAACCTAAGGGTTGCCACCAACGGCACATTGGAATCTGCGGATGAAATGCTCCTTAGAAATGTGAATTTGTTATTATCTGTCCTGGTTTTCCCATACCGTCATCTATTTGTGGTAGCTGTTGTGAGAAAAATCTGGAAGTCTTCCTGGAAAAATAAAAGTCCCTGGGTCTTTGTCAGTTGTATAATTATACACTCCTTAAGACGATGCATTCGCATGTAGTTCTTCCCTCTGACAGTGAAATATTCTTCTTCGCATTATATGTCCTGGTGTTTGATACCTCAGAGATGACAACTATATTCTGACTGTTGCGTTGTTCCAGTTCAGGGCTGGAAAAAATAGTCAGACTCCATTCAAAGCCACGGCCACTTTGCAACTGAATCATTACCCAAAAGATGAGCACAATCCATCTCTGCGAATGCAATTCAAGTGAGCTCAACTCTTAAGACAGAATGATCGTTTCAATATTATGTAATGATTTATTTCTCCAGAAAAAAAACCTCACCGTATCTCAAAACTTTTTTCCAGGAGAGTCCAAGATTGAAACTGATAGCCAATTCCATCGTCTGAGTGGTTTGCAAGCAGGTTTTCAAAAAGGTCTGCACAGATGGATTTAGGGACCCGCACTTAGCCAAGCCACCATCTCCTGGCCAACTCTCGCAGCCCAGCGGGTTTAGAAGTTGCACGAACATGTAAACTCCACCAACCCTCAAACTTGATTTGGCGCTTTCGCGACTGCAGGAATTACTCTTTGGTTTTTTCGGTAAAGTCATGTAGAAATAAGAAGTAATAATAAAATTACATGACAGCATACGACGTTTCGATTGCAACGCAAGCAATCGTCATCAGGCATAGAAGAGCTAAATTTAAGAGAGAGAGAGAGAGGAAACACAGAACCGCAGATATATATACAGACACCTAAGCAGAGGGAGTTAACACAGAGACACAAAGAGACACAACGTACGGAGCACAGAGAGATAGGGTCTCCGTGCCGAGGCCTTAGCATGTACGGGGGACAAAGAGAGATGGAGAAGCACATCAAATCGAACAAGACTTAGTAAAATTTGGAAATAATATAATGCAGCACAGAGGGTCGGTCAAAACACAATTAACGCATGGGCTGGCTGATTACGCTATTTAAAAGATTGCTAAATTATAGGTTAAGAGTGATAGAGCACAGATCGCAGACACATATATAGACATCCAAGCAGAGAGAGAGTTAGCACAGAGACACACAGAGAGACACACACACATGGGACACAGTGAAACAATGCTTCTGTGTCGAAGCATTAAATAGAGGGAGAGTGGGGGGGCGGAGACAGAGATAAATGGATACAAATTAGCATGGACTGGACTGAGCAAGTAGAGGTACACAAGCACATGCATCGAACAAGATTTAGTATTCTTACAAATCAACAAATCAACAGCCACACTCAATTAACATCTCATGTACAAGTGAATGTGATAATGGGGGTGAACGAGCGTGGTTATATTATAAATAGTAGCCTGTATTCTTTTGCCCATTTTCTTTTGACATTATTGTCACACGCCACAGGTGATGAAATTACCCATTTCACTCATGATGGAAATTGAATATTTCTAAGTGCACCCATGCACTCAAATTACTTAAAGCAATGTAAAACTTTACGCTGACTCTGCCCAATGTGTGAAGCCAATCATACTTTGTGCCCATTCACGTTCAGCAGCCCAAATGTGGAAATTAACGGGGTTTTTTTATTATTTTAGATATAGGCGTACACCAGACTATAGTTGTGATAAATGTCAGGTTCATATCCCTACAAGAACTTAATCTGAATTTGCATGAGTCTTCCATCATGATGTTTCGTACTTTTTCTAAAGTAATATTTAAAAATGAATACATACTGCGGAATAGACGAGGCTATCCCCTCATGCCATGTAATGGTATGCCTTATTATAGTACCTATATATATGTGTGTCTTTAAGGTGGTGCAGTGTTTGTGTGTTCAGCAGGTGTGGTGTGCAGCTAGGGGCTTTGGCTTACTGAATTCCAAAGGAGACCAGAGAAACGCCAACCACGAGGAGGTCAAGGAGGTTAAAGTAGTTCCTACAGAAGGAGCCTTTGTGGAGGAACGCACCGTAGGAGGTCATCTGTTAAATAGAAACAGTCACTTGCATTAACACGACCTTGAGACGGTTAAATTACCCCTTCCAATGTTATTAATGTTACGTTGTAATACCTCTCCCGCATTACAAGCAACATATCATGGCATGCAAGAGAGAGGAAAAATAAAATTCACAGCACTTGTTTAGCCTCTCTAGAAAATAGACTTCACCTTCATGATAATAACTGGCACAGAGGTGCTACATTTACAAAAGAATCCCCCTCTATCCGCCACCACCAGAGTAAAAATAATAATCACATGCAGTCATCTGTTGGGGGCACACATTAGGAGAAGACATAGGTCGTGCCTGCCACGACTCTCATTTCGTTATTTTTGGTGGCAGGTCTGCACAGTGAGGTGCACAGGAGGCAGCACACGAGGGAGGACACTGGACGGAGAGCGCCAAAGTTCATGCCCAGGGCGCTCGTGTGGGTCACGTGCAAATTGGCGGCGCGCTTCAGCTATCGAGCGCTGGTTCACGCGCGACCCACCACAATGGTCATCTTGATAAAAACATTTTTTTATCAGGGGAGGTGGGAGGGGCTGTGCCCGAATTTGAGGACGCACCTCGGACACCGCCAGATTGTGCGATTGCAATTGCATTAAAGTCACATATGTATCAAGCGCAGATGCCCCATGCAAGAAAGGCACTTTCGTCGTATTTTTATTTTGTCCACTGCAAAGCATTGTTTTCTCTCTCCGTACTATTGCTTTACGTATATAATTGTGCAGGTGCACTGTTACTATCCGCAGCATTTCGCAATGGGGATAAACGAAAGGTTACGCCGTGGCATTTTCTCTATTTCGAGCTGTCCTTGGCATTTGTGTGCGGATGAATAAATTGTTCATTAAAATTCCGATGCAAATCTACTCAAATTATGAGGCTTGCGCGTGGCGATACTCGGGAGGCTGTACCAGGCGCCTCTGAATGAATGAAGCCAAGCCGTCTCTACTAGGCCCTCCCAACAGATTTCACTATTGGGCACCGGGCACGTGTACGTACGTACGTGCGTGCGCTTGCGTGCGTGCGTGCGCGCGTCTCCTCGTGGAATGCATGGACACCTCACTGTGCGTCGTGCGCACGGAATGTTATGCTGCAGATTGAAACGATTCATTGTGCGCTCAGAGAACTTGTATCAATGTTGTCTGTCTGCAGCTTTCATGTGCAACGTGTGGGCATGGCAATTGATAGTTCACCCATAATAGAGGGGTTTTTTTTTGGGTTAGATCACGTAAATATATAAATGTGTGATAGTTCACACCCGTTTATGAATACCCCGACTGGGGTATGCGTGCGAGTTCACATCCCGCTGCGGGGGTTAACTCAGCCAATCAGCTCTCTTGGATGAATAAAATGGGTACAACTATGTGAGACGTCAACGAATGTTTGTCTTTTAGATTGACTCACCCATGCCATAGAAAGGTGGCATTGCCACTTTTGGTTCAGGAATAATAACAAGATATACGCTCTTTTGAGCAGAACATATTTTTCTCAAATTTCACATTCCACCTGCTAACCTCACAGCCCTCCGATGTGTTTTTGGGTCCGGAGCTAGCGGGTAAGCAAGTGGAGTGCGTACTTTGGCATGACTCATAATATCCGACATTTCATTCCCTGTGGCCGGGAGATTCTTCGGAGAGCCGTACGGCAGAATCCCAATAACCTACGGAGATTATTTATCGTCTGTCACGCTTTTGTGTGTGTCTGTATTTTAGATTGATAAACATGGTAGATATATTGCAGAAATTCCTACTTCTATACAAAATCAAATAATAAACATTTCCCTGAGCAACACAGCATGAATCATTAAATTATTTGCATAATTATATAACACTTGTCCTGACACAATGTATTATAAGCTGAAACTCATGCCCTGCAAACATTCAAAGGAACTCCAAACAAAAGCACTAAAAACCTTGTGTTCATAACAGAATACATTCAGTTTGAAACAAACGCCCTCATTATAATTAGCGGGCTCACTGTCATAAATGTAAAAGTGACAATTTGAAGCCTGCTGAAAACTTTGGTTTTTGCATTGGTTCAATGTGGTCAAGCTTTTTTGTTATATTTGGCTGTCAAAGGCATGCCAAAGTAAAAGTAACATTGAAGGGCAGTGCACTGGCAAAAATTGAAGAAACACAAAGATGAAAATGCTTTATCACAGTGGTAGCTATCAGAGACCACCTCAGAAGTGACATACGTGACAAGTCAATGATGTAAAAAAAAGCCATCGCCTGCACCATTCGTATATAAAAAAATGTTTCCAACATTGCAATGCAGTGTTTGTTAATGATGCAAGTGGCTTTGGTATTTGCGAATTTAAAGTAGTGCACGAGATGTATTTGGTACTACAATTTGCAACGTAAAAATATATATATGAACTCCGTTGACCAATTTTTTGTGATCTTGTCGTCGGGTAGCCAAATAGGAAACGCTAGTAATTAATTTTTAACTGAATATTTTCAATGTTAATATTCAACACAAGCTTCACCGGAGGGAGGGGGGGGAAGGGCCACTAGTGCCACCCAAGGTAGTGGGCATATTACACGAGGGAGAGAGAGAGAGTCTTCTGAAGAACGTGGGAGAGGGGGGGGGCACACGAATTGGCACGGCACACCCACAGCAGCGAGGATGCCTAAGTGGCCACCGCACTCTGCTTTACCTTCAGCACGATCTCAAACGTAAAAATACCAGTGAAGACATAATCTGCATAGCCTAGGATCTGCAAGGCAAGGACAGCACCATCACCGTTGTTACAGCAACTACTTTGGCCGGTCGCGACACGGAGGAAACATTTTTACCTTCAGGAGGATCTCAACAGTGAAGATGGCTGTAAAAGCATAGTCAAAGTAACCGAGAATCTGCAAGAGCGGAACATCGAGGGGATAAAAACAGGGTGAGCAGAACATACCTGTGGCTTATCAAGAACCACCACACATATGCAGAGCAGCTTGCAAGCAAACAACCACAGAGAAGTTAAATATGGCAGTGTCCCTCTTACTGGCAACCCTATTATTTGTCACTATTGTTATCCGGGGCGAGTCAACACGCAAAAATTCGTATTATACCTGGGACAGATTTCTCTGAACGTATCTGTGGATATTTCACGGATAAGTACGTGTGTAGTGTGTGGTTAAAGTGCTGAGCCAGCACTACTGAGAACCGGGGGTTCGACTCCAAACTGCCGCCAGTGTTTGCACCGGGTTCTGTGTAGGGATTTGATGGGAAATAGTAGAAAATCACCACTGTCATTATGTCAATCCACTGTCTGCACGGATACGAGGAGGGTTGTAATGTGGACAAGAGGATCGGCAATGTGCCGCCTCCCATATCACCACGGCGAATGTGAGTCTCACTCCTGAACACATTGTAAATACACCAGGAGGGCTATCAATTGCCAGCGTTTCAGTGACCGCGATACGCTTTAAAACTGGTTTATTGGGTAGTCATAAGAACAACATTTTAGACGGGGAATAGATTATAGTTACATTTTAACTGATATTTAACACCATTATCCCAGGATAATATGGTAAAAGGGCGATTTCCACTTATTTACTCGATTGCCAATTTATTTCAGACTTTCTGGCGTGCACAGCGGCACATCATGGGGCGATTGTTGCTTTGGTGCTTACGCTGCCCCAGACTCGTGCCCCGAATCCTTCCCGACCTTTCACCCAAAATCCCAGGCCTTGGGTGTGTGGTATCAATTGCGGCAACTATGACAGTTTTAAGGATCTGCTGTCCCCAGTAATCAAGAGTCCTCAAATCTGAAGCAGGGGTCACAGGTGGCACAAGGACTATTGGTTTTGGACCATGTACCCTGGCCACCTGGTACCCCAGTCAAGCAGGCTGGGGCTGCGCTGGGTAGAGACATCTGCCGTGGGTGGAATGACGTGCATTTCAAGTGACAATCCCAGGACAGTCAGGTGAAAAATAAATCCACACACGCCCACGTGCTCCAACACGCAGTGCGTTTTCCACACCCGACTGAATGTTGTTGTTTGCTAACAAGCTGATCTGAGCAACAGTATATGCAATATTCACTTTATTTACATATAAACGATAACAGCATTAAACTTTGTATATAAAAGCATTTATATTTGCAATACAAGATTGGATGGCAACATCCAAAGACCCCATCCAGCTTCAAATGATCCATTCCATGTTTTACAAATTATTTGGCGATGCTGCTCCTGTGTTGGCCGCGGTGCTCAAACAAAAAAAGACTCATCACATCCGTGAATAAATAACACTGTCGTTAAAGGTGAAATATGTAACAGGTGATGTTTCTGGCAATAGCCCTTCATCTGGCTGTCGCCTGATGAAGCTGGTTGTAATTACTGGCGAAACGTCGTACTCAGATTATAAATGTTGTGGCTTGGCTCTCCAACACACCGGTGTGCTGTACTCGTGACGAATTGGCCACGTTCTGTTTACGTGACAACCCTTACTAGTTGGCTGTGTCGGGTGGTGGCGGGTTTTAACGACACATTTATACATTCACGCAATCTAGCCCAAAAACCTCGATTATGGATATTGGTCGCGAAAGCCTACGTGTTAAACATATTATTTACGTCCACAGTGCTTAAAACAGCATGAATTAGACTTCTCTGACAGGTGCACTAAATGGAATAGCGGTGTACTCACACATATTGGCTGTGCCACTGTGAAGCTGGGATATACAAATTAGGTTCAGACTCATGAAACACAACATTATGATTCCATATGGCCAATTAAGAGAGATTCAGCTCTCAGTGAATTAGCAATTCTATTGCTTTGCTGAGAGTTGGTGAATAGATTTTGTTTTTATATATTGTAAATGAATTTGATGTTTTTCATTTGTAAATCCCATAACCGCTCTCTGTGTTCCTTTATGCCAATCACTGCTCGCCGGACAGTGTGAGGTGCGCGTGTTATCCTTCACAATAGAACAATTGCGAAGGCAGGAGTCATTTGGTTGCCACTGTTCTCAAATACAAATGCTTTTTTGAGAATGTGATAAACGGGGATCATGACAGCAGGATAGGGCGAGCATGACAAGACAGACGCAGCGTGCGCAACTCATAGCAAACACAACAGGCAGTGTTACGACGACGACAACAACAACAAAATCATTTCTAAATATCACGAACAAGCAAATAACAAAAAAATCATAAAAGGTCAAATGCATATCTTGGCATGCTAGAGATGTAAGGTCGGATACATGCTGGTGTTATCGTTTTGACTATATGCACAGTTGTAAAGTGATGTACGGTGCCGTGTCATGTTCATTTCTTAAGGGAAGTCACTCACGTTGTTTCGGAAAGAATGATTGCGAATTGGGTCCTCCGCGGCCAAAGAAACACTGCTCAGCATGATCATGGCCAAAATGAGGTTTGTGAAAATGTGATGATGAATAAGGCGATGGCAACACACTCGAACGCTGAAGAAAGAAAGACAGAAACAAAACGTCAAACGCCAGCGTCACGGCAACACGATCTAAACGGTGGTAAAGGCGTAGCCGTGCTACCGCTTGCTCAAGGCACTGCTGGCAAGCAAGGCCTCCTCCACCAGACAAAGCTATAGAGAGCCCGTCTATTAGGTATTTAGCCTCCTCTTCCATACTGCCAGGACAATCTTGGAAGAGAGTTGGGTGCATCCACACTTTACCCTACCGCACCTGACCGGCCTTGTCGACTGACTGTGGTGCGCCCCATTTATACTGCTGGGCGGACAGAGGCATAGGGTGGGGGGAATTTTAGAAACCGCCAGGATTGAATAGGCGACCTCTGGATTTCAAGTCCAGCGTTGCTAACCACTGCACGGCGGCAGCTCCCCCTGCTGCCAGCGTCGCCAGCGAGAGACGCGCGCTAATTGGCGGGGCTCGCAGCAGCCGAGCACGGGAGCGCCTGCGCCAAGGCACTACGGGAATGGCAGGGACGCGGCTCAAGGCTCGATGAGCAGAATGGCTGCGCGGACATGTCTCGCCCGCCGTGCACGCTTGACAGCTAATTCGCACAGCATCGCGCTCCGCGGGCCTCGCACTCCAAGCTTCCGCGGTGTGCGCCGGCGTGCGGCTTCATCGGGGCCTTTCGAGGGAGGCTCACCGAAGTGCGCTTGGCCACGTGGTCCCATGCCTCATGAACAAAACAAAAAACGTCGTGGCTGAGCTAATTTTGTTTCGCAGTGGGGAGGCTAGAATTAAACCACGCAGCGGGCTGCTTTGGTACGAAAATTGCAATCGCACGCACGATTATAAAGGGGACACGTATGCACTCGGAATGCAAGAATGAGTTTTGGTGGTACATTTTTCAGACCTGGGATTTTTGGGATTTTGAAGGACAATGTTGGATCTTTATTTCAGATATTCAGATCAATTTACGATGCGATGGTGTTTACGCATCTTCGTGCTGACAAATGCAATGCCACCCGATGCCAAAGAAGTGTGACGTCAATATGTGATGTCATACTTTCATATTGCCTGGAATTTTGTGTCAAGGTCCAATTTTTTCTGATTTTGTTGATTTAACCTCCAAACACATCCCAAGTGTATCTACACAACTATTCACATTGGATATACGTGGCTGGGTCCACAATCCCCAAAACAATGCAGGCATAAATATTAAAAACGTGGACATTTAATGGGCTCATTTATGTTTCGTACCAAGCTACTGTGTAAGGACATTTAGGCACTATAAAAGCGCAAATTATTACCTTTGTTAAATGATGTGATTATCAGGTTCCCATACTGTAATTTTATTACCTTGGGCTTGACCTTATGAAGCCCACAGCCAACCCTTTGCCAATCCACTGCTGAATAAAACACCTGCCCAATGTCGTATTGGCCATGGGGGGGATGTTTCACCATACTCCACCTTGGCACCATTGTTTCAAATGATGCACCAGGAGGTGGAATTGAACCAGGGAGCATCTGGCTTGCAAGTCCAGTGCATTAATCATTACACCACGGCATCATCGCTGGTGAATGGGTATATGCAGTATACTTTAATAACTGTAATATTCATCATCATCATCATTTGCAGCCCTTTCTCCATTCGCTAACCACTACAACATTGCGGACACTCACCAGAGCAGCAGCATTTGCACAAGCAACCGTGTAAACAAATCAGTGGGCTACGTTTTAGACTTTCGAGGACAAGGGGAGATGCGAGGAGAGGCATGCGGCGTACGGGTTCGTGCTGCTGAAGATAAAGAAAGCGCTCCCCTCTGGAATGGGGACCACTTTCTCCTTCAGGTTGAGGTCAGAGAGGCGACGGGGCCGAGGACCAGAGGGCATGTCCGGCTCCTCCTCGTCCTCCTCCTCCTCTTCTTCCTCCTCTTCCTCCCCCTCGCCGAGGTGCTCCTCTTCCTCCTCCGCCGCCTCATCTTCAAACGAAAAACGCGCGGGCAAACACGCAGTGGGATTCGCCCGTTTAGAATCGTTGGGGCGAGCGTCATTCGCGAAATTTAGCTTTTGAGATCGGGCGGGGGTTCAGGGTGACTTGGTCACAATTAAACTAAACTAAACTTTTTATTTTACCAGGTTAAGGCCCACTGAGCTATATAGCTCTGAAACTCTTTGTCAGAAGCGACCTGGCCATCATGTGGAAATTCACAGAAGGCAAATACTCTGAACGCGTGATGTTGATTCTGAATGTGGAGGGGCGAACCCGGAGGACCTGGAGAAAAATCCACGCGAGTGAACGCATTCGGCGTTCACGGCATTCTAGGAGCACCAAGGCCACGAGGAAGGCGCTGATGTTCATTCCTTGAGAACTTTACACGACGTTTCAGACTGTTCCAGTCTACCAGGCAGAACAACACTTGCACCGCCGTCGTCCCCGCATGTCCGAGTGTCTCCACCCCTCTTCCACAAACCCCCTGTGTCCGCTCGCTTTGTTCAACCGGATCAGAGCCCGTTATTCAAATTAAAAGCTAGCAGATGCTCTCAATTCCCGCAACGAAAATATATGGAAGCGTTACCTGCGGCGTGAGATCCGGAGGATGGAAGAGCCTTCTTCCCGTCGTCGGCAGTAATCTGCAACTACAAAATAAATCGGCCGCCGCCCATCGTTACCGCAGGGCATTGCGGAGGTGTACCTTGGGCTCGCGCGATGCGTGGCGTCGTCTGCCCATCATTACCACCGCACCGATCGCGTGCAGGAGACCTTTTGCCAGCGTCGATTGGACCACAAAAGGAAACATGAAGGTCACGGCCGCATCATTGGTGCACCGTCCTTCGCGCGACGCAGGCATTTAGATCATGCCTGTGGCTCAGCTCGAAGCTTCGTGCCATGGTGTTAAAAATGTCCGCTCGTCAGGACGTAAGCTCATTCATTGTGAATTAACGAGGATGGCAAATTAAGAGAGACTGAGCAGCAGGTGAGTACAAAAAATATAATAATCTACTGTCAGTGACAGGAAAGGACGATCTGAGTGTTTCAGCTGACTGACCTTATTAAGGACGAGTTGACCTTCAGTGACAGTGATAGAGAAACCCTGTTGTTACTCATAATTGCGTCTGTTGTTCTTTGTACAGGGTGATCCGTGTACTGATACCCCACTGACATATGTCCCCCTCCTATCTTCTTAACAGCTAATTGACAACTGTGAAAAACGACGACTCCACGTCTTGCAAAAGCGACCAGACACCTCAAGTCAATGCAAACATTAAACAGAGAACAATAAAACAGCAATTAATAATACAGCAATAATAAACACTTCATTAACAGCAAGTAAAACACAGTCTAAATTAAAGCATTACAACTTAATATTCCAGGAGAGCAAATTTTAGCTGTTGAGTAGGGTATAATTAAAAGTCAATTATATTCATAATGACAAAACTACAAATCCAATGTGTCCATTAAAAATAGTTTCATCAGCAAAATAGTTTTTGTTAAGTTTCTTTGTTAAGTGATTATATTTCCCTTAATTCCTTAACCAACCAGGTACCTCAGGCGTAGAGCGAGTGGCTCGCATTTGGAAGGTTCCGAGTTCAGAATCAGAATATTTATTTATTCTAGAAAAATCCGATGAGCTGTGAAGCTCTTTTTCACGGATGTCAAGTAGAGGCGGGCTAGAAAGTTACACAAACAAATGCAAAAAAAAGGAGTACAAAGTATAGGAATGGCAAGCAAATCACTCTAAATAAACTAAACCAATTTTATTTTACCAGGTAAAGCCCACTGAGCTATTTGTTCCTTTTTCAGAAGAAACCTGGCCACAAATGACAGCTCAACGAAGTGGCCTATCATGTGTAAATTTATAGTAGCCAAATATTCAAAATGCATGTTTATATTGAGAATTCACACAGCCCATCATCCTTCTGAGGTCGATAAAGTTAGTACCACTTTGTAAGACAGTCAACAGTGGTTGTCCCCTGGAGAGACTCACCTGCGCCATATGAATTATACACAGATGATGAGCACTGCTTCAATGCTCATATAACATAAATTAAATGCATCAAATATATCAACGTGCCTGGGTAAAATGCAGCTGTATAATCACCACCAATGTATGCAGATCACATAATGTAAAAGACAACTCACACGCACACCGAGGTGTGTAAATTACCTGGCGTTCAGGTCACCTGGCCCATCGTCTGGCTGATGTTAGGCCACGTTTCTCACGGACCCTCTGGTGGGCAAACCAGCTGGAATTCTGGTAAACTTGGTACAAAGGCCACTTGGTGCATACGTCGGGAGCGCTCAATTGAGTTTTGGATGCAGCCACAAGGACACGCTGCATGAACAGGTGGTTACCAATTAGAGTAGTGCCCTTGGCTGTGTGTGTGTGTGCCCAGAGCGCTGGGTGTTGCTGCTGCTGATGATGTCCTATCGTACCTTGGTGCTGGCATCAGCGATTTTATCGAGTTTGCCCTTCTCCCCGTCCTCTTTCTTTTCCAACTTGCCATTTTTCTCTGCCCTGCGATGGTGTGAAAGCAGCATCCGCGAGTCAGCGGATTTCCCCTTCGTTGTACAGTTACGTACATGTATATGGAATATTGTGGGTTTGTGATGTTAAGGATATGACATCGTCCTATATGGGTGTAAAGTATAATCTGCAGTCACTCAATTAAAATGTTTCCTTCCATCAACCTATTGGCTTTCCAGCCCAATATTATCAAACAAACATTTTTTAAGCGAGCGAAAAATGGCTTTGAGTTCATGTTCTCTATTAGCAAGCCGTAATGTAAACATGTTCGTAAACATTGCTTTTTAATTGAATAAATTACATCTTTTAATTATATTTTCTTGTACATTTTGATGTCTTCATCACGATTACGCTATGGATGAGCCACATATTCCCTTTGCTTTGATAATTGGCCAAATACCAGCTTTTCAAAATATTCTAATCGGGCCGAATAAAGCTTTAAATCGAAATTCAAATAACAGTTCAACGTTTTCAAACCCTCACAGACATCATCCGCAATCGATGACGATGATCATTAACGGACGATTGATGATGTTCACAATGATGATACATGAGTGATTAATGAATGGATGACTGCTAGATGGATGATGACCACAATGATGATTCAATGACAGTACGATTGCCATTTAAAGATGTTGACGTCATTGATGATGATGATTCTACCTGGCACTCTTTTTCTTTTCCTTCTCCTCCTCGTCCTCTTTCTGCGCAGTGTTGAGACTTTCAGCGTCAGCCAAGTTGTCCACGGCAATGGCCAAGAACACGTTCAGAAGGATGTCTGTGGCCCAACACCCGCTCAGGATCCAAACCTGCACTTTCAACTGGGGAGCTCAGCTCGGCCAAATTCGGGCGAACGGCAATTTTTAGTACCGCATTTGGCCTAAAGCCTGCAGCACTCTCATTCAGCTCGGGTGAGCCCGCGTGACGAGCTAATGACATCTCTGTTCTGAAATAAAACAAAGTATAAATAAATAATGGCAACCAATGCCCGGTGTTTTATTATTATTTTTCTTTCTATCATATTTTATGCACGTGACTCTTTTAGAGCTGAATCATCCGAGTGATGTATTGAGCTCATAATGGGAACACTGGCCTCTTTGTATAAGGCTCATTTGTAACAGCGTGTGTTGGACCGCAGTCAGTACACGGGTACCTACAAATGCAAAGGTAAAAGCGCAGCCCTGAAATTGCTTGCTAACGTCACTACCGGCGAAAGGGCCTTCACTAGAAAGAGCTCAAGAGGGACCCTATATTGATGGGTATTGTGGCCTACTTTCAGTGCGCTGGTCAGACGCCGTGGAAGAAGTGGGAGCGCCCACACTTTAACCCACCTTGAGCGACCTACCAATCGACTGAGTTACACTGCTGGGTGGACAGAGGCATGGGGGCATTTCAGAAACTTGCACCATTGTTTAAAATGCCAAACTAGCGAAGATCAAATCGAGCCGGAGACCTCTGAATTTCAAGTTCAGCGTGCTAACCATTGCACCACGGCAGTATCCCCGGCACCTACAAAACGCTTTACAAGTTAAGTGAAATAGGTGACAACAGATAAATAAATCCAGCCAGCGCTCGTGTGGTGACATTGTCCGTGGGGCTGAAGGTGACCAAGGGAGTTTACGCCTCTCATCTGCGCACAGCGGTGCGGGCGGAGGTTCTGCTTTCCGCTCGGCGACGAGGATACAGTTACCGCAGATGAAGAGGATGATGAAGTAGATGCACACGAGCATTCCCGTGGAGGAGGGCCCACCGTACGCCATGATGCCGTCGTACATGACAGCGTTCCAGTCCTCTCCTGTCAAGATCTGGTGGAGGGGGGGGGAGGGGGTCACATGATGAGTCTCAGTGCAGCCTCGCTCATTATCGCCGTTATCGCAGTCGTCATGAGCGACGATCTATCCACTGCTGGATGGGGGGGGGGGGGGGAGGGGCCTCGCCAACAAGCTGTCGCAAATCTCCTGCGGTCCTGCCATGCAACAATCTACGTAGCTCCCGCACACAGGCTGATTTCCTCGCTCCATCTCCGCATCTGGCGTCCTCTCGCACATCTTGCTGCCTCCTCCATTTGGCTGCCACTCCCATTGTTCGTGTCGACCACCACCGGCTGTCATCTCCACCAGCGACGTGTCCTGCCCAAATCCACTTAATTCTTCTTAATGGTCAATAAGAAATCGATAGATTGAGTATGCACGAGCCCTTCCACCTCGTTATTGAGTTGAACTACAGAAAATACCACTTGTGTATAATAAATAGCACTTTGAAAACATCACACTGTGCGATTTACAAAAAACGGAGCGGATGTTTTCCGATATCGCGAACGGAGCATGGGAGAAGCACGGGAGGAGCACGCGCGTGTGTCGCTGCATTGGTTTTCGTGGTTGAGCTGCGTGTCGTCCGACGTTTCGCTCCATGTGCTCGGGCGGAGCTACGTCTGCGCGTGCAAGCTCGCGGAGCGACGGAGGCCTGGCCGCAGGCGGCGCTCGAAGCCTGACCTGGAACACGGTGAGCAGAGACTGCGGGAAGTTGTCGAACGTGCTGCGCTTGGTCTGCGTCTCGTCGAAGTTGAACTTGCCCCCGAAGAGCTGCATGCCGAGCAGCGAGAAGATGATGATGAAGAGGAAAAGGAGCAGCAGCAGGGAGGCAATGGATCGCATGGAGTTGAGCAGCGAAGCCACCAGGTTGCTCAGGGCGGCCCAGTACCTGCGGGGTAGAGTGCGAGCGTTGTGAACAAAAGCGCCGTGGACCCAAATACCCCTTTTCCACTGGCACATCCGAGCCGGGCCAGCACGGGGCCCTCACGGTGCAGGTGTTTTTTTTTTTCGTGAGTTTGGTCACGAGCCACGGTTTACCTCACAACCGTGACGCACTGACTTCACGCAATGTATGGATCTACCCCCGGGCCTAAGCAGAGCCTGGGGCGCGGTTATCATCAGTTTAAACCGTAGGCCTACGCAACTAATATTATCCACAATAAAGATTTTTCTTTTGGGCTAGATGGCGTAAGTATAAATTTGTCGTTAACCCACCGCCACCCGGCACAGCCAATTAGTAAGGCTTGTCATGTAAATAAACCATGCCCGTTAGTTCTTACTTCAGCACACCGGTGCGTTGGAGAGTAAACCCACGACATTTACAATTGTTGGACGACACGCGACGCAACGGCGATTGTTCTCACGCACGGGCGAGCCCCAATCCGCGAGTCGCTCACTTGGTGACTTTGAAGATGCGGAGGAGGCGCACACAGCGGAGCACGGAGATGCCCAGGGGCGACATGACACCGAACTCCACGAGGATCGTCTCGATGATGCCGCCGAACACCACGAAGCAGTCGAAGCGGTTGAAGAGCGACACGAAGTAGGCCTGCAGGCCCAGGCTGTACATCTTGGTGAGCATCTCCACGGTGAACATCGCCAGCAGCACCTTGTTGGCGATGTCTGCGCACGGGACGCAGCATGCGGGTGGGTGGGGAGACTGCTGAGAGAGGTCCAACATCACGATTCTGACCCTCGCGGGTTCATCCAAGAATTGATTCTCCTACGGCTCATTCGCATCGTAATACAGGATTGCGTCTATGGTGGGTAATAGCGGCAATCACAGACAGCAGCGAAGGGGGAAAGTGTGAAGTGTTTGGGCGGCAGGGTAGCGCCGTGCTTCACGGCAAGAAAGCCCTGGGTTTGGTTCCTGACTCGAGCACCTTTCTGCTCTCCCCCTGTTCTAGATCTGTTTCCTCTGGGTTCTCCGGTGTCCTCCAATTGCTAAACAAAACCATACAATGCAATGGGCATTGGCCAAAACCGCCCAATACTGAAAATGTACCTGCAAATTACTCAATTGGGATCACACAAAAGCACCAGCATCAACCCGCTGCTACGGACATCTTGGAAGGACAACTTCTACAAAATAGGAATGGAGACTCAGGCAGGCTTTCCTCAGTAGACAAGTGGAATATGATTCATAATTGATTTTGCGAGATAAAAGTCTGAGACTGAAGAGGGAGCGCGAGTGAACGGTGCGAATGAGCAGGGGGTGGCAGGAGTTCCAGAAAGTGCTTTCTATTGAGCGCTACAAAACTAAGAACATACTGTTCATTGCGTTTCTTTTAACATTTGGATTGGGGATGCATGGAGAGAGGAGGTGTGAAAATGTTGCGAACACATTGTCTGTTTAAAATTGTATTAAAGCGAGGCAACAGCTATCTCCTGAAGAGGATGTTGAACTGTTTGGCAACCCAATATACTGCATTTGCAACATTCTGTGCCTTGCTGCCACACTAATTTAATTCTTGTCCCTTGATTCAACAAAGCCTTAATCGCCGATTGATTTGGTGAGTTGTGGTTTATCGATGGGTTTCTTACATTGAAAGACACGGCCGAATGAAGTGCCACCATAGTTGATGATGATGGTGATGATTTTGTTTTATTACGATTCCTGTTTACACAGGAAAGCTCCACTGAGTCTCAAGACTCCATTTCAGGAGGATCCTGCCAAGTTTTTTGCACGAGTGGGCAATGTTTGCTGGTATGTAATCCGAATTGAGTAATTTGTGGGCGATTTTTTTCAGCATCAGAACATTTGGTCAATACCAGTTACATCACACATCCGATTAGCATGGTTGGCTACGTACAGTGCGAAAGAAGTTCATACGTATGAGTTTTTTTTCCGATTGTTTTTAATAGCTGATTATAATGATGACAGTTATGATGATATTCACATTTTTCTCTGACGGTGTTAACAATGACAATTGTAATTTCATTATATAGATCAGGGGTGGGGAACGGGCCGTATAAGGTCCGCAAAATCATTTGGTGTGGCCCTGCCAAGGCAACCGCAGGTGGGACTCGAAATTCAATAAATCTCGGAGCAAACCTGGAAAAGCAGTTGCGAGTAGCAACATCATCAATACCAGCTAACATCACCACACGCCTCGCCAAAGAGAAGCAGTTACAGCCATCACATTAGGGGTGAGTTAATTAAATGTTTGACCAAATATAATAGGCCAATTTTAAGTTGATAATTTTGTATGGCCCGCGAATGATGTTATAAATATCCAAATGGCCCTTGGCAGAAAAAAAGGTTCCCCACCCCTGATATAGATGATTATGATGATGATAAGGAAAGTGATACAACTTTGGATTTATAAAATAAAAATAAATCATGTATGGCCTTTGACAATCAATTGTGGAATGAAAACGTTCCCATGAAATATCAGTTAGGGAGGGCCCACGACCGGCTCAGATATCACTCACCCACTGATGTTAGCCATGGCCGGGAATAAAACTCTAGTGGCTAGGATCATGGTGCAATATGTTAACCACTGCACTACCGATGTCCTCCCGTTGGATTACTCTCCCCCATTAAGACCGTCTAAATGCAGCCAAATCCCAAGGTGCTGATGGCGACAATAGCGACTATGATAATGATGATTATGAAGTCGTCATTTACATGTCATCCACTGATGATTACAGAGATTGTGACGAGAATAGCAATCATCTTGATGATGATTATGAAGTCACGTCTTGAGTAATGTTTATTGTCATCCACTGACGATGGTTGTTACAATGATGACGATGACAGCAATGACAATGACTACCACGAAAAAAGGTCACTTCATGCCAAACGCCTCGTTGTACGGGCACTCGTTTATAATGTGCACTGGCCGCTGTTACCTTGGACCTGCGTGAGCCAGTCAGGCTGGTTGTAGTGCTCAGAGGCGATGGTGAGCGTGTTGAGGAAGACCAGGATGATGACGACCCAGTAGAAGCCAGTGGACTTCACCGTGAGACGTGTCTTCCTTCTGCAGAACCGGTTCCACCTCCGCCACCGCCGGCTGCAATGGGTACGGAGCACCTAGGGCTTGCTGTGGTCGACTCAGCAGTACATTAGCCCACTCGGGGGTCAATAAAATGAGGCACCAAGGGTGGCCTTTCCTGGGCTCGGCTGCGTGTTGAGAATTTCTTCCGTCACACTTTCGCCGCCGCGTGCTACTCTGCGGGCATCGTCTTCGCTTCAACTCCAGAAGATACCCGCAGGAGGGCGCCATGGCGAGAGAGCTCGGCAGAAAGAAAAAAAAAACACCGCTTCACCTGTGGCCTAAGCCAGAGGACCGAACTTGGCTTAAGGGGGCCTGCTGTAAGAACCCCGTGTGTTAAAATGATTACCGCCTTGTGGGAAGGTAAAAGTAGGGCTATTCATACTGTGGTGAGGCTGGCCCCGGTCTTAGCAATGTAAAATCTCCACCACTGCCTCAGGATCACCCCCCCGCCATGCTTGTTTAAGTAGGGATAAACTTCTACATTTTGATTTAAAGCTTTCGTGACTACAGGGATTCATATTCTTGGTTCTTTCGGTAAAGTCACGTAGAAGGGAAACGTGACTTTACCGAAAGAACCAAGATAATAAACTTCTACATGTTTAATTATTCATTATTGTTGACATCAAAAGGATAATAATTTACAGCTTATTGTTGACACATTTATCAGCATAAAAATGTCAATCCACCGTTGTTGAAGGCCTTTGCATGCCCATGTGGCATAGCAGGATGTTTTTTTGTCATACCTTACCATGCTGATCAGTGTGGGTTAGTGAAGGGGAAACCCATGACCGATTCAGATGTCACTCGCCACGGATGTTAGCCGTGCCTAGGAATCAATATCAGGCCAGTCGCCGAGTTAATAGCCCAGTAAACTAATCGATGTGCCACGCAACATTGAAGTAACGATGGCTCGTTATTTACGCGGGAAAGCAGCGCTGAGTCTCACGACTCTTGTGCAAGATGATCCTACCCGGTGGTGGTGTTTGGACTTTTGTCCATTATTGAGCATTTTTTTACATGTGAAGTGCCCAGAGAAACCCCACGCATAGAATGGGGGATAATACAGGCATAGACCAGGAACCTACATGCTGTACTGATGCCCACAAGTGCCTTGTTTCACTACAGGAGGGGGGTTTCATTATATCCTGCCTACGCTCTGCTGATCGCCTGTGCGTGCCTAACTCATTTTTTATAAGATATTCACCCATTGCTCTGCTCTACATAAATTACGTCATATCTAGTTTACGGCCATAACGCCTCCCATTCATGTGACAGCATCATGAAATCACAATTGGTTACGGGTTATAAACATATTGTGCCATCAAAAATCACTAAATATCACAACCCTGTTTGGGAGAGGAAGGCTTCACGTAATCAGCCTGACCATTTTTTGCACGAACAATTTCACAGTCTTTGAATAATTTTAGAGGCTTCAAAAACGTGGTAACTTTATTATCTTTGCAGAAGGGGTCATTCCAATGTTACAGCCTGACCCATGGATGCCAGGCTATTATCTGGGCATGCCCACTGCAAGAGGCGATGGCCGACGGTCAAGAATAATGACTGCAAAAGGATGGAACGCACCCGGGAATATTCCAACCGAGGAGACGGAGCACTGAAATAAATTGACGCGCAGGCGCAAGATGGATTGTTGCATCGCCGGATCATGAGTGATGGCAATGGGAGGCCTTCCTTGAGGTGGTGACGTAGCCCAGTGGTAGCGTGTTCGCCGCTTGTTGCAGAGGTCCAAAGTTTAAATCGGGCAGGCCACTCTGGTTAATACGGTGGGTGTATTAACCATAAATGAAGTGATGTCTGCTTCATAGTGCCTGTTAAAGATCCTGTGACGTAATTCAAAAGCAGTAGGCCATTGCGTACTGGAGTCATTGTAAAAAAAAAATGTATTACCTGCAAATTACTTAATCATGCCTAATGATGACTTGCCTATCCAGGTAATCGATCTCAGGGTCACTGGGCCCTCTATGTGGTTGTAAACTATTAAATTAACTCTACAATTCAATCAAGCCTTTGTATTAATGATTAAAAAGCTAATAATTGTATTCATTTATTTCACCTTTTATTTAACGTTTTTTTCATTTATTAGCAATGTTTTTCTCATCAAATAACGCATTTCAAAGTCGTTTTTTTATGTAGATTATGTTTTTTTACAAGTGATATATCAATCGTGCTCTCAGTATCATGTCATGACATTAATCCCCACACTATCAGAGAACAGCTCTGGAAGATGATGTCACATAACTACTTGGGAAGTCAATTTAAAATGCCTCTTCATTCACTCTCAGGGTGCACTCCTTCCCTGTGCCACGAAAATAGTGTTTTCAGATCTCAAACTGATTTTGGTAAATAACCAGAGCTGGAATTTCACTAAATAAAGAGAACACTAACTATCGAATGAGTTTTTGCTTTAATTATCCCTGATCAAGCTGACATCATTGCTAACTGAAACCCAGATTTAAACCCAGCATCTCAGTGTTTTCAGCATAGCGTTCTAATTTACGAGGCACCCAGACACCTATTTTCAAATCTTCCTCATAGCATTTTCAGAGTTTTGTTGTTTTAAATTTTAAAACGGCCTTTCATGAGTTATCGTGACAGACGCTCGCTATGTAAACCTTGGTTGTTGTGATTTTACGCAAATAAAGTAACATGGGAATAAATGAGACACAACAAAACAAAGTGGGAGAGCGAGCAACATCCCTCTGCTTTCTGGCAATATAGAATCTTATCAACCACGTTGCTACACACACACACACACATTGATGCATCATAAAAACCAGGTGCAACATACCTGAACTTTGACTTAGAAATTGCTAATCTGCAAGACAAAACAAAATGGAGACAATGGAAAAACAAAATGGCGTCTTAAAAAACCCAACAAACACGCACATAAGACTTTACACAATACTTAACAAACATCGCGCATAAAACACTGATGAGTATTAGCGGCTCAGGACGTACTGTGTGACATGTGTTGGACCGCAATAGGGGTGAAATAACAGCGCCTAATCCCATAAAGCCTAATCATAAAGCGTGGCGTTTTAATTAGGACAGAGGAGTTGCGGTAAGCTTGGGGGGAAAACTAAACCTGACACTCTCGTCTCCATTAATGAGAGCTCATTCATTTGTGGATACATTTTTGGACATCAATCATCACAACAACAACAAAACCCCCGAGCTAATTAAAGTATTAAAATATAAAACCAGAAACATTAAAATTAACTTTCATTAGAAATTTCAAATCTCTATACTCCTGTCCTGACTTTTAGGGAATATCAATTCTGTCACAAACCATTTATTTTACAACTACCTTTACCTACCCGTATGTCTGCACCATCTGTTAATAACAATACTTTCCCAGTTGAAGGGTTTGGTCTTTTTGGCTTTTACATGTAGGTGGAATATTTTTTGCATGTGGGTGGAAACCAGAGTACTCAAAGAAAACCCGTACATAACACACTATCTCTGCAACTCCACACACACACACGTGAATATGATTCTCCACCAGCCCTTTAAGAAATGATGCTCTTCGCATAAGAAACAACATGACATCTTTATCAGGGTCAGTTTTTAAAGAACAGTTGGACTCACTGCTTGGACACAATGAATATAGGTGCATTTAAGCTACACATAATACCTCATTATGAAATATATGCCACTGACTCATGATTAGGTTTATTTTGGATTACATGTTTTAACTATAATCCTACACCACCCGACAGAGCCAATCAAATCAAGTTGTCACGTCATGGGCAAATGTGATGACTGATTTGGTTTATCAGCAAACCGGAGGAGGAGTGATGTTGAAAAGCAAGCAAGTGACCTCTGATTGAAAGCTTTCGTGACTGCAGTAATTCATATTCTTAGCTCTTTCGGTAAAGTCACGTTGAAGGGAAACAATATATTTTATTATTGTATTGTTTCCCTTCAACGTGACTTTACCGAAAGAGCTAAGAATATAAGTGACCTCTGGTGCACGTAATAGAATGCAGACATTTACCGCCCACTCTGGCACGTGAGTACAATGTTTGTCTCATGATAGTGAAACCGATATATTGAATCTCAGAGCTAGAATTCATCCAAATTAAGAGCAGAACAATTTTTAACAAGATATTAAAATGTGTTATAAATCGACATGCATCAAATCACATGTGTAGTAATGTATGTTTTTTTATTCATATATACTGTTTGGAAAGATTTCACGTGACTCATGGAGCTTCTATTAGAGGCCGCTACATTCACCGTAATGTTAAAATATATTCTTTATTAGCATTGTGAAACTTAGTTGTGACAATTTATTGAATAAGGAAGAACAGGTTAATGTTATTTTCAGCGGGTGCCACCATATGAATTGTGGCTGCCTAGATCACACACGGAATGGGTTCCCTCTGGAAGGGAAAGGTGTGGAGGGCTGCACATGAGCTGCCAGCGACCGAATGACCGAATACTTTTAGGAGCTGGGGCGTCGCAAGTGAAGAGGCTAGATTGATGACGGCTGGCCAGGAACAGATGGCGATGTTTCTGTGTAACGCAACTGGCCATTAAGGTTTTGAACGTGACTCAGTGACAGACCGCTCAGCGCCTGCCACCGCAAACTCTCGGTCGCATCGCTTCCTCTCTCACGCGCGCATTTTCATCTCTCCTCCTCTCCCTTCTCACTCTCTTCTACATCATTCCACAGAAGGCTGGATCGCGGAGGCTGAGAGAGAAGAGTAGAACAGCACAACAAAGCGGAGGACTCACGCCAGGCGCACGCAGCAGCAGAGGGACTCGGCCTCGTGCCCTGTGTTCTCCGTGTTGACGGAGTCGGCATCGCTGGCAGGGATGCTCGCTGTGGACACAAAGGAGTGGTGTTTGTTCGTGGGGAATTCTCCACTCGCGCATGCAATGCCACACGCCTCGCGCTGCACACCGCTTCTGAACGAGATCGCCTGGCAATCGTGTGCCGCAATCACAACTTCCTGTCATTAAAATCGGTTTCGTCAATCGCCTATGCGTACGGAATTCTTTTAATCGGATTCAGTGACGTGACCGTAATAGTGTTTTGATATAACTTTCTAATTATTCTGTAGCCTATGTTGCCAGTGTGATTTTTTAAGGGAAATACATTTTGTGTCAATGCAGCTACTTTGTAAATGTTTCCTAAATACAGCTGTCACTGAATTGTCGCTTATTTTGCTACATTTCATTCGTCTATACACCCTCTTAAAACATAAATGATAAACAGCTCACTGCTCTTCCAATGTGCAGTTGTGCAAGGATTTCTTCCTTTGATTACGTGATATGTGTGCCATCTAGTGGCATGATCTGTATAAAAAAAAATTGCACGAGCATCAGGATCGTGCCCCATTTACCACATTTTTTTACCAAAATTGCAGTGACATAGGTTGCAGAATTATTAAAACGCTTTACTTAATGAAACACTCTTATTTGCAAAGGCTCTAACTTATTTATACAATTCGTCACGTGCATTTCAACATTTTAGCTCGGACTCCTTGTTAAAGGTTTTCAGAAAATTAGGACAATATGAATAACAAAAAAAACTCAACGCATTTTTCAATAAGACTACCTTAAAATGAAAAGCAGATTAGAGGCAATGTTTTCCAAAAGGTCACCTTATTACGTACTTTTACTTTTTAGACCACACAGTGTTGTTAACGAACGCATTTGAGTTTATTTCGGTTTTTTTGTGTGTGTGCGTGTGCACCACGGCCAATGTAGGAGCAGCAACATCACCAAATAAGATGAAAATATATTTCTATCTGCAGGCGACAGACGAACGCGAATGCACTTTTGCTCGCCGAATTGTGCGTCGCCAATTTCTCCGAAAGAATTTGCACCGAGTGTAATTTTTATCTGGTGTTGACCCCCCCTCCCCTCCACCAACGTGCAGATTAGCAATTCAGCTATTAAATATTTACATTGCCGTGGATGAGGAATTATTCAGAAGTGCTCACCAGGCTGGTACACGTGCATTACCGTCATACATAACACTGACTGAGGCATTTACTGATAAAAACATTAAAATTTAAAACAATCTTAGTTTAACTCAATGATAAATAATCCACCAGTTTGTGGAAAAAAAAACATAAAACAAGTTAAAGTGGACCAAGTATATTTCTATTATAAAATAATTCTACATATTTCGCCGTAACACAATTTTAAGTTTATGCGAATTTACTGCAGCAATTTCCATATAAATGTAATATCTCCCTTTTTGTAACACATTTTACACATTAAGCAACAAGCCTTATGCTCCACATAACATTTTCATATTTTAATTTACACTAACATCGAAACAGCAGAACAAAATAAAACCTCACGCAATAGAAGAACACACAAAAACAAAATTCAAGCCAATAAGCGTCAATCAAAGGCCATTTGTAAGTATTTTTTGAAAAACTGACAACAGCACACGTCAGAAATGAGAAAGTGATTTAATCACACGTTGGAAAATGGACTTTCCTGCCCCAGAAGAAGATCAAATGTTCTATTCAAACTGCACATGCTGAGTTTGAATGGACAAGGCAACATTTAGCTGTGATCGGAGTATTTATCTCCAAATGGAACTGAAAGGCAGGCAAGCCAATATATAATATCTCTGGATTAAAAGCACCAGGTTCCATTGCAGTGAAAGAGGACAGAAGAGACATGGCACTTGAGACAGAACAGAATGATAAACGCTCACAGCAGACAGAGCAAAACACAAACCGCCCTATATATATAAACCACATGCACATACCGTATAAGGCTAAGCACTGCATACACAGTATGTATGCGTGTACATATATGAGGGCAATGCATGCAAGGACAAAGACAGAGGCCACACAGGAAGATGCTACAACATTACCATGGGTCTCATTGGAGTGGCTAAACCAAGCAAACCTTCCCTTCTTCTTATCGGTCAGATCGGCCAATGTTATCCCTTCAAAGGGATACTCAGGGTTAGTCCATGTGGGGGAGACAGACACAGGACATCGACAACACGAGGCAACAATCAAGCTCTATCGAAGCGAATCGTTACCGGATACAGCAACGCACCGTGGGTTCCGTGAGACCGCAGTATTTGGCACCTTTCCCACCATTTCCCTAAACAGCCGATCCACTTAGAGATGGACTTAATCGTTTAGACCCGGGGGTGGGGTAACCGCTTCCGTACAGAGGGCCTCGGTTGCAAAGGGCAAAAGTGGAGCACCGCAATTGCTTGCTTAGGCCACTGCTGGCGGAGAGGAAGACCTAGCGAGCTCACTCCAGAATATGATTGCCTACTCTTGCAAGTTGACCAAATATCTTGGAAGAGGTGGGAGTATCCACATTGTTGTTACCTCGTGACAAAGGACATGTCAATTGGCTATCTGTGGGTGTACCCATTTACACTTCTGCGTGCACAGAGGTGGGTTGGTGTTGAAGGGGTTTCCACCACTGTTTCAACTGAAGTCTGAAAAGGACATTTAAAATATCTTGTGCGGGCCATACTTTAAAACACACCTCAGGCACTTTTGCCGCTGCAAGAGACCCTCCAAGTGGCAGAAGTGACTGAGGGCGCTACACTGAGAGCGTTAAAGTAGTCTCCGTTAGTTTCAGTGATGTTTTTTTTTTTAATGTGGTGGGCCATTTCGATTTGGCAGGCTTCATGTGGCCACGGGCTTATTTAAATTGAGTCACGGACCTTATTCGGCCTCCTAGCTGTAGGTTCCCCACCCCTGGTTTCGGCTAATGGCCGACGTTGATAAATACAAATTCCACTGGCTTACGCTGAGAACTGCTGGAAGTTTGAGAAGTTAATAAACATTTTCACAGCAGATGGCCAGTCACTTCGCCACGCAGCTGCTGCTGGGAATGTTAATAAGTGTGGCTGGCCCGCTGGAAATTCGTACGCGCTGCTTTCAACCAGTTTTTTTTGTTTGTTTCTAAAGGTAGGGCTCAATTTGATGTCTTAGAATTTTAGGAAAATTGGTTTTGTTTGCCAAATACTCTTTCGATGGTCCTGGAAACACTGACAACCGGTGGTGACACGTAGGGTCATTCACGTAGGGTCATTCAAGGCAGCACGCAACATGAACCACAAATCAAACCGTGCCTACACGCCGCACCACACACAACGCACACCGTGAAATCAACAACACAGATGAGAACGATGAAAAACCAAAAATAAAGCACACCGGCGCTGAAATATACGATCACCAGAACTGAACGATTTGGCAATGTTTTTACTTTTTTCATTTTGAAGAAACGTTATTTAAGAATATTATATATACAATGAGGCGACAGCATGATTTTCCATTAATCAATGAAGTCAATATTTAGTGCCCATCTGCAATAATTATTGTCGCAATCATCGTCATCAGCCATGACCAATCCACTGCTGTATGAAGGCCTCCCTAGGCACGTCCGCCTCCTGCAATCCTGCGATGTAATAAAGATAAAGACCCCACCCCCCGTGTAGCCTTTACACACTATTGGGGTCAGTGCTGTTAGCGAGCACTAATGAAGGCCGACACTGCACACGAGATAGATGGTGTGTAAGCCAACTCTACGCTCGGCCGCCTTTGTCTCCCATAATGGCGACGTTTAACTCATCCCACCAGCTACTCTTTTGAGGCCGAGTCGACCTAGGGGAGGCCCAGTACCGGTTCAGAACCGCGATGTTAACCACCTACACACGGAGGCGATGCCATCGCTCCGGCTCCTTGGCGGCCACTGTTATAATTGTCTCGCGGCGCCTGCTGCGAAGTTGACCGGTTGATTTGGCACAAAATGTACAGGCGGTTGGTCACTTTCACGAAGAGGCGCGGTGCCCTTGAAATAATTATAATAATAACAACCAAAAATGAGTCAGACCCTGCAAATTTAAATCCGTGACCAAATCACGCCATTTATCCACCCTCTTCCTCTGCCACGCGCTCACTCGTTAATTGGCAAACTTTGAAAGGGGTAGTGGGGGAGGGTCTGGTGTCGAAGCAGTGGACCGTGTCACCCACGCACGCCACCATCCCCACAGCCCTTCAGGTATCCCGGGCAAGCTGGCCAATAAACGAGCGTGCCGCCCTGCGCTCCCGAGTGATTTTCCCCACTTAAAAGCTCCACTGGGCCCGCCGCCAGTCTCGATGGGGGCCGAGGGTGGTGGCGGTGGTGGTCACGTGCCGCGAGCTGCGCGTGTCCGTTCGAGCGAGTTAAGTGGCTCGATCCACGCGCTTGGGAGACGGCAGAGTCCGCGCGTGAACTGTCGCCCGTGCGCGTGCGTGCTCGCGGTACGGGGGTGGTGGGGATGGTCGGCATTGGCGATTGCCAACGCCGGCTCAATATATATACTGTATGCGTGTACGTCGAACTTCTTTCGCGCCGTACGTAGCCGACCGTGCTCATGTCGCTGGTGCGGCTGTGAGTGGAACTTCCCAGGCACCCGTTTTCGAACCGATGTCCCGGTCACCCCATCCCCACATTCCCACCCATGCTGTGCCCCCCTCCCCCCGTCCATAAATGACGTCACGCGATTTTGGACAATTCCCCTCCCCCCTCCCTTCGTCACACGGCGTCACAAAAAGTCAGACCCCCCCCTCAAATATGACGTCACAAAGCTCTGCCCCCCCCCCCCCGAAACAAATATAAAACATGCTTCAAATCGTGATTTAAAGCTTTCGTGACTGCAGTAATTCATATTCTTAGCTCTTTCGGTAAAGTCACGTTGAAGGGAAACAATAAAATAATGTATAAAACATATCTTTTATTATTGTATTGTTTCCCTTCAACGTGACTTTACCGAAAGAGCTAAGAATATGCTTCAAATCGCTTTAAACTATTGTCATCGCAGTGCGTATTTAATGTGGCGTTGCACTCTGATGTTGTAAAACACATTTATTAAAAAGTATATTTAATTAAGTAAAACGTGTTGTCTATATTTATTTAAAGTTGCGCATTTGGATGTGACGTCACATTTCTCAACCCACCCCCCCTTCGTCACTCATCGTCACAAACGTCTGACCACCCCCCCCCCCCCTAGGGTGTGTGACGTCATTTACGGACGGCCCCTTATCCCACCACATGCAACCTGTTAACCAACTCACTGGTGCACCCAATTATTATATTCCGGAGAAAACGACGAACACGACTGGCTAGGTTTGCCCAGCTGTTGCGTTGTACAGCAGCTGCCCGTTATTTCAAGCCACTGGTGCATTAACTCAATTTCCTAAAGAAGAAGACGAAGAAGCAGCAGCAGCCCCTGGTGGGAGGAGCGAAACGTCGGGCATCGTGCAGAACAAACACGCGGGTACAATGCGAAAACCACGTAATAAATATTAATCGGAGAGGCTAGAATAACAAATGTGTGAAAAGTATAGAACGCCGTGTTCTCCACGCACACACATCGCAAGTCACTGGAGTGAAGTTACTGCACTTTCACGCTGATAAATGTTTGATTGAACGCGCGCCGCTGCTAACCATCAAAGAACCGCACATGCAGCCCGAGACACTCTGGCTTTAGAAATCCAGCGCAGGAAACAATTTCCGCGTGTGCAGCAGGGCAGATTCATCATTCAGAGGCCCTCCGCAAACGACATCTACGATTGAATTACATTCACTTAAAAAACTTTGACCCACGATGTAACTTTGAGCGGCGACGTGACCCCTGTGACGGAGCGTGTTCGTCGCTTGTTGCGGAGGTGCACGGTTCAAATCCACCGGCCGCCCTGGTTATTACTGCGCGTACGTATTAGCAATGATAACACGTGCCACTTCCGTGGCAACGTGTTTCAAGAGCAGGCCATTGCGTGGCAACGTCATGGTCCAACTTTGCCAAGATTCTGTCTGACTTATTTCGAAGTGCAGTCTGTTCTCCTCCAACGCGTGTTTTCATAACGCGATTTGGATATAACACGGTGAATGTATGAGGGAACACGTTTTTTTGTTATATATATATAACGCAGATGGGAATTGGATATAGCGCGATTGAGTGAACAGAACTACATCGTGCGAGGAGCAATAAGCGGTTGTAGGGTTGCCTCGAGGTGGCATTGCACAAGGTGGGATGCTGCTGGATGGTTCTAGATGCTACCCACGCACCTGAGTCTTTGTTCAGCCTGCATACGCATTCCATCTGTTATATTTATTCTACCGAGATTTTCCATAACGCGGTGTTCTTCAGGAACGCAACTACCACGTTATAGAACAGACTGTAGTTTTTTTTTAACTAGGCTTATAATTATTTACCCCACACTCCCCTCTTATATCCCTGTCATAATTTGCTTCATGAATCACATTTTTTTTAAGCAAAAGTGTATGGTGGATTGCAGCATCCTTAACCTCGAGTGGTTGCAGGGATCGCACTAACTACTTACATACAGCATATACAAATACAACATTGATAATCTTACTATGCATGGTTTAATGCATGCAACTTGGCCATAAGAATCGCTATTTATAAATCGATACGCAAATACGTTTAATGAAAGTCACAGGCATTAATGTAATACGAACAATGTAAGAAGGTTACACAATGTATGTGATCCCCGCATGATCAAGTCTGACCAATGCTTTTCAAGAGATGTTTTAAGTTTGGTAGGAAACACGAGTGCCCAGAGAAAATCCACTCATACAAATTGGGTGGCAGCACTGGTATCACGTGGCCACCTCATAACCCCATGTCTATAATCCCATTGCCAGGCTCTTGCGGATGATGCCAAGGAATCTTTGACATCCACTGTGAAGGCGGATGGCACGTCATTCTTTTTTTATTTCACGGTTCAAAACACCCGCACCAATAACCAGGGCAGCCGCTTTACTCGAACCGCGAACTTCTGCACCCAAGCTGCGAACGTGCTTCCGCTGGGGCGTGTCGCTGCCCACCCAAAAAACTTAAATTGTCGATTTAATCATTATTATTAAGTTTGAATGCATTTACATTGCAAATGTTTGCAATCACCTGGAAAGCCCAATTTTCTGTACTAACATATCGTAAACACCTTTGGGAATCTCACAAATGTATGCGATGCACCAACCAACACTGTCTACACTAAGGCCACATTAATTCTGATAAAAATTATAAATGGATGGACCACTTTTGCTCGGAGCATATTAGTCTAATTTTAACAAATGCCAAAGTATCTTTAATAAGTCATGAGAGGCGAGACAGCTGTGTATACCGATTACTTCTGTTGACGAATCTGTCAATTTTACTGTACTTTAATCAAGCCAGACATGCATTTGCAGCTATGAACCAAAACTACGCACAAGAGGGCTATTTTTGTGTACGCTAGGAATGTGGGTGAGATGCAGAATGATTTGAGATGCACTCCTGCTGCAGACTGAACAACATTTCATTGCAATGTAAATGCGTGGCTACAGTTTATGGAATTCTTAAAAATAGCATCGCCTCTTCGCCCACAATCATCATCCCAAGCCATGATCCATCCACTTCGGGGTGAAGGCCTCCCCAAAACCGCCACAATATCTCATGATCCTGCGATGCGAAACATCCACCTGCAAACGAGAGGATGTCACCGTTCTCGGACACGTTCCATCCGTTTGGCTGCCACTCCGTGAATGCATTTGACCATCAGTCAACATTCCTGCAAGTGACATGCCCTGCCCGAGTCCAGTTATTGTTCTAAACAGTTTGAATGCCGTCTTATAACCTGCGTACTTTGATCCGCATAGTTCATTCCTTCACCTCATGTAATTCCAAGCATGAAATCTGTCCACGCTTCTTTACACATGTTAAAGTGTTTTTGAGTGTGCGGACAACATGAGTGGTATCTGCACTTCGTCGTGGGTTTCTCCTAGGACAACTGAAATATAAACGAGTAACTGCCACAGCATGCGAAGATCAGCAATGAGGAGAAAGAGGTGGCTAGGCATCGTGTTGGCCACACCACCATCATGTGCACTGTGCTGGCCTTAATAGGTGCTTCGCTAAATGCATTTGCCCCAACAGTAGATAGAGCCTTGCTGTACACAATGTGTAGGCCAGTCAGTTTCTGCATATGCTACCAGAGCATGTTTGTTTGAATGTTTTGCCACAAGTATGTGTTTATTTATTGCCAGCAAGCGTAAAAACCTATTCTAATTTTTCATACTTTGTACACATGATCTTTGTCAGCCGATGTTGGGATGACGAAGACTGACATTTTTCAGGCCTTTCATATATATTAAAAAAAACTAAATGAAGAAAACCACACCGTCGGTGGCACACGTGATCGAACAAAACGTATCAACTAATTGGGGGCGCATCATCGATCGCGATACTTTCCTCGCGAAACTAACGGACATCACCCGCGAGGATCCAACCCCCGCGCCCCCCCTACCGCGAAGGCCCATCGCACGACACGCGATTACAACAATACGCACACGCTCGGTGCCAGAGACGTGAGCGATACAAGGTAACGCCACTGTTGACCACGAGTGGAGCTCAATTAATTGATTTTTTTTCTTTTCTTCAGCCAGTCTTCAGGCCAGGGCGCGTGAGAGTTGCGGTTCAATTGACGCGTGCATTGTCGAGGCACAAAGCTTTCCACTCCTAACCGCTCGTCTTCGTGTTTTTCGACTGAAGTTTCACAGCGACCGAAGGCTTCCGCCCTCCGTGATGTTGTGACTTCCCTTCCGCAGCAGACACTCTGTGGGCGTGTCACGCGCACAGATGGCCTTTTGTTGTCCATCTTTTGTCACTGCATGACCTATAACCGAAGCGTGAGGGTTACGGGTTTGGTGTTTTCGTTTTTATTTATTCACCACGCTGGTCAGTACGGGTTGCTGAAGGTCGAGAGCATAGTTGTACCTGCGTATAAGTAGATTACAACAATCGATGCTGCTGCAGTGTCCTCTGCTGCCCACCCCATAGCCCACAAGCCCTAATAACAACCTATTTGTGCATGGTGGTCACCCATCCAGATACCAACGTTCTGACCCACTCCTACTGGACAGCTTTGAAAAAGAGCTTTGTAGCCCATCGGATTTCCTCGAGTATAAATAAAGATTCTGATAAAAAAATATATATATATTCTGATAGCTTTTGAGATCTCACCATATTACCAGGAATAAATCCCAATATTGTTAGACCTTGGATAAAAACAATAATGTAGTTGTTTAATAATATCAAACTGATGATAATGGGGTGCAACGTGTTCCTGAAAACAGTAGCCAAGAGATATTAACGCAAACTAAAAGTAGCATTATTCTAAGAACCACTCTTTTAAACTTGACAGTCTTTGCAAGGCACCGCATTGTCAAATGCTGGATGCAAGTATGAATCTCAATCTCCGAGGGATTGTCTCCCTGTGGACATGACAAGAAGCTTCCCCACACAATGACGACTTGGATTGTCTCATTTCTATGTAAATTTTGGTTATAAACTGCGGGAAAGGAACGTTGTTTTTCCTAGCCTCAAGACAAACCAGAGAGGATTTTGAAAACCCACATGATCTGATTTCAGTACCGAAATAATTATTGCCGCACTCATTTGAATTACCTTCACCCGAGTACCCTAATTAACTCAATTAGTTAGCTAAATTAAATTTTAGTTGTACACGTGCACCTGCTGTTTAGATCGATGGGGTTTTTGGGTCTTATTAGAGGAATATTCAGCCTCAGTTGAGAAATAACGTAGCCTCAAATGAACTGTTGCGGATATTATTTAAACTTGGAAGATGTATGCCATTACACGATGTACAATTGCCTGCTCTTATGCATTATTTTCCTTGGCCTTTAATGTCCATTGTATAGCCAACGGCAGAACAGGGATCATTTTGTTTCGAATGCTGTCAACTGTGGCTACAAAGCATTAATGCACTGGCTCTGTCTGTCATGTCCGTCTGGAACAGCGAGGGGGAAGGGCACGTCACTATAACTGGACATTTGTAGAAAAGTGCTTCATAGCTCATCGGATTCCCCTAGTACGAATACAAATCCTGATTCTAACTATGCCTTACGTTAAAATGATCCAATACGAACCAAACTCTCGAATAAAAAAGGTGCGTTGGTATGGGACATGTACTCGACTGAAAGCCGGTTAGATGTATCAAAGTGTTGGCCGAGAAACGTGGGAGACACAAAGCAGAGCAAAAAGTGCTCATTGCAAATGAGCAAACGCGTTTTGCTCCAACAGCTACCCCCATCAACTTCAATCCCGAGTAAAATATTTTTTCATAACAAACACATGTTGGAGAGCGTTACATATTCCACGCAGAAATATACATAGCATGTCTTTTGATTTAAAGCTTTCGTGACTGCAGTAATTCATATTCTTAGTTTTTTCGGTAAAGTCACGTTGAAGGGAAACAACAAAATAATAAAATATATATAAAACAATGAAAAATTCTCACGACGTTACGTTTATGGTCGAAACGTCGTGAGAATTTTTTTTATTGTTTTATATATATTTTATTATTTTGTTCTTTCCCTTCAACGTGACTTTACCGAAAAAACTAAGATTATAGCATGTCTTATTTCGATGAATCAGGAGCTTTGTTAATAGTGTACTAGATCAGTATGGCACATTTCTGGCAATCTTAGGACATTTTTTGAGGATGTAGGGAGGCCGTGGTTGGTACGGGGGGAGGAAGAGGGCAACAGGGGGAGAAAGTGGGGTCAGGTCAGATGAGGGTGTGGAGGTTTTGCGGTTCATACCACTGAGAACAAATGCGATGGGTTCCGCGCAAACAGGAAAGGTCACAGATAACGAAAGGTCACGACTGCCGTGTGCCGCTTGGGGACGTACTGCTGCGTGGCTTTCCATCCCCGCCTGTCTCGTCCTCGTTTTCCGGATCGATGTCCTCGGCCTGCATGATCCAGTCCAGGTAACCCTTGAGGTCTTCCTCCAGCTGCTGTTTCTCCCGCAGCTTCTGGAAGTCTCCGCGAGCCTTGGCCTTCTCTCGCTCTTTGGAGAACTCTCTGTTTCGTTACGGGACACAGGCGGGAGGAGAGGCGAAGGAGGGAGGCTGAACGTCTGTAAGGCTCTGCCGACGTCGCTCCTCAATCATCCTCAGCCTGTGATTTGTTTTCGTTTGAGACCTCAGAGATGATGCGTCACAGATGGCAGCACGATCGATTGCCCCTGAATGCTTTCCCGTAGCCGAAATTCCCTGCCAAATCATTCTAAGCATTGGGCCAAAAAATTATATTACAGCTGCTCTAAAGCAGAGAAACCACGCCAAGCAATTAAAGCCATTGGAATCAATTACACTCTTTGCAGTAGTTTCATTGTAAAATATTACAAATGCCAAGAAAAGTGGAAGTCTATCGGCATTCAATTGAATTTCAAGGGTACTCATAAAAAAACTACAAAATTGCTCTCCTGCATTATTTTTTTCCCCCATGAAAGAGTTTAATTGCGTCACAATCACCCCGTGTATCTTTGAACGTAACGAGCCACTTGGAAGGCGATGGTTTAGTGGTCACCGATTTTTTTGTCCAATCAATTTTGTATCAGGCTTTGCTCATCACCGGTAGCAAATGGGCAGCCAACCATTGATTCCTCATTCCACTGTTTGTCACGCTGCTAAATCACAGGCCACACTGGAGGCCACAATGCATTTCACCGTTTGATTTTGATGTACAATTATTGTTTTTTATTCTCATGTTCAATAATAAAAGCAACAATGTCATTCGTAATAAAGTTACACGTACATTTTGGCGGAGCAGTGGCGACGGTGCTTAGTGCACTGTGTTATGAATCTGGCAACCCAAGTTCAATTCCTGGCCAGGGCCAACATCAGGGATGGGTGATATCAGAATCTGTCCCACCCACCCAATCCTTCAGCAACCTGTGCTGACTAGCGTGGCGAAGTATGGTAAATCATCCCACGGATGACATGGCACAGGAAGGCCTTCGTCCATTCATGGAATGAGAAAGGATGGAATTTGTTTAATGTAAATAACATTTTTAATATGTTTAGAATGCCCATTAAATAGTTTAAATGGTTTCCTGCTCAATTTAGCACAGGGCGTCATTTGTCTCAAATTTAACATCAAAGCCAGTGGTGGAAAGTCCACATTTCTAAGGTGGTTCCCATTCATCGACCTGCCTGTTCAGGGTTTGAACTTGAAACTTTCTGATTGCAAGCCACGCATTCAACCATTGCACCACTCTCCCCCCCCCCCCCCCCCCCCCCCAGATTGCATTAGGTTTTAAGTTGACAGCCAGAAATAGAGCTAAGTTTTATCTTTTAATTCAAGGTCAAATTAATGAATTAATTATCTTAGAAAGCACAGAGTATATCTGACAGTGTGTACTGCCTGCATGCTGAGAATAACGATTCTGTGATTAGAGTTGCCTTTCAACACTAAACTTATTAGTGCCTGTGCGTTTTCATTAGGGCGACAATAAATTTACGAAATATTTCAAATTATTTGTGGGTCAACTAAAGTTGGACGAGATTCGCATACGGCTCCATAGTAAACCGGCACAATGCTTTATTGTGCGCCAGTGAACCGTAATTAACTGAGACGTTGGCACAACGACGAGTAATAATAACCAGATAATTTATACCTGATGAAAAACACCGCTCCGCGTAAACTTCAAAACCTCATGTAATTTAAAAATAAAGAGTAATAACTTCATTATTTGTCTCGACTGTGCACGTTATTTAAATAAGTAGTGTGCACCGTCGAGAAAAAAAAAACACATTTATGCCAGGGCCAGATTGGCAGCATTGCAGATTTACTGCAACATTAGATGTTGTGTCTCTTGTGTGTGGGTGCATGCATGTGATCTCGGGCCACAACATTATGGTTGCTAATGCATTTTCATAAAAATTGAAACGACCTGCATCAGAATCAAGGCTGTTCATCGTGCGTCTGGCAGCATAAGAAACTTGTTCACCCTCAAAAAATGTCAACAGTTTGGAGCCAGACTGCCCGGTTTTGGTGGGCCTGGCAAGCGATCAGAAGTTGTGAAATGTTGTCCTTCCTTACATTGAGCCATCGAGACATTTTGTACTTGTATATAAGCACTGTTTTCCAAGGGTTATTCGATGCATTTGGTTTATTTTGGTTGGGTAGATGTCCACAGTAGACTTGCACGCTGAGCATTGCTGCCATTATTATTGACATTATTTTTACCTTTGTGTTATTATATTTCTTAATCAAGGTGAGTACATCACCCTTTTCTTGCGAGTTCGCCTAAAAATAACTTTCCTACCCCCCCCCCCCCACACACACCCTGGTGCACAATCGCGGAGAAAGTGATAGGCGGCTCGCAACGTCGCGGTCAGCTGCCACTTTGTCCGCTTCACACTTCCCATCACAAAACCGATCGTTCGCTGGGGGGGGGGGGGGAGGGAGGGGGGGTTTTCAAAGAGATTCCCCCTCACCGCCACCCCCCCCCCCCCCCAGCTGGCCATTTAACAAAGCGCCTCGGCACAAGACACCGGCAAAACCATACGGCGGCGTGGATGGGCTTTTTCCTCAAGGGGCCGTCCATAAATGACGTCACGCGATTTTGGACGATTTTTGACCCCCCCCCCCCTCGTCACACGGCGTCACAAAAAAGTCAGACCCCCTCTCAAATATGACGTCACAAAGCTCTGTCCACCCCCCCCCCCCCCCCAAAAAAAACATATAAAACATGCTTCAAATCGCTTTAAACTGTTGTCATTGTAGTAGTGCGTATTTAATGTGGCGCTGCACTCTGATGTTGTAGGAGAAAACATTTATTTAAAAGTCTATTTAATTAAGTAGAACGTGTTGTCTATATTTATTTAAAGTTGCGCATTTTGATGTGACGTCACATTTCTCAAACCCCCCCCCCACCCTCGTCACACATCGTCACAAATGTCTGACCCCCCCCCACCCACCCCCCCCAGGTGCGTGACGTCATTTATGGACGGCCCTCCAAGCACACGCGATGGAAGACGAACAATGAGCCAAGGGTGTCAGGGGGTTGGGGAGGAAGAGGGCAAGGCAGCAGGGGGGCTCTAACAAGTACCGCACGGGGCTTACGGGCGACGTGGCACGTGGCGCTTCACGGTGATCCGGGGGTGTGACGGGATCGGGCGAGACGCCTCTGGGCTCTATACTCGGACCGCTTCTGGGGGACCCGCGGACCTTAACGCGGCGCGCGAGCGCGCAGAGCCAGTGCCGACTACACGAGAGGCAGAAACTGCGCCCGTTGGGTGCCGATTGACGGGGAGCCGCGGTTTGTAATGCGAGCGCAGCCGGACTCGGCGTTCCCTCTGAGTGGCTCCCATCCCGACAGAGGATTTCTCTTTTTTTTTGTCAGTGCTGATGGCACCCACCGGGCTGAAATCGCACGGGAGATATAAATTGCAGACATATGCTGTGGTCTTCAGCCACAGTCAGGTCGCACCTTTTACGACAACAAGGCTTCTAACATCAGCAAAATAAGCCCGAGAACGGCTCTGGATTAACACAGAGGACACTCTGCAAGTGGGACCTAATAGCAGTAACACTTTAACTTATGTATCAAGGAAACTATCGTTCTCTGTATTTAATGGAGCCCTGCGTTGGGATGTTCGGCCAATTGCAGTAACAAGTAGTTTGCGTTTTGGAGGAAACTGGAGTACCTGCAAAACCCCCCCACACACGAGGGAACTAACACTGCAAGCTCCCTATAGATGGGTTCATTAATCCCTTTGCTGTACTACCATCTCGCCTGGCCGCACAGGTTTTATAATAATAATAATTTAGCACTTGTAATGCGCAGGGTTTATGTTAACTCTTAAAGAGAGAATGATTCAGAGGCGCGGAACACCACAGCCAAGTGGGAAGGCAAACAGAAACAGGCAACAATAAATTGCCTCAGCTCTGTGATCCTACATTGGGATGTTTGGACAACTCACATCTACATGATCAACGAACGCACGACTCCAGAGCACCTATTATTGCTGATGACACTTGAAGAGTCTGGAATTGCCAACACCTGGTCTTTGTGGCGTGGGCATCGGTCTGATACTCGCCACAACATATTCAGCATGAAGCTCCACGTGCCAGCCAAACAGAGAAGCGCCATTCGTCATGCAAGACTTATTTTTTGCTTTATATTTAGAAATATTGCTTTGTAAAAGAGCACACAGTTGCTCACAGACAGGAATGCAGTAGTAGTAATAATAATCATGAATAAAGATTGACGATTAAAACTTGGAAGCTGAAGTTTCTTACCCGCTCAGCACACCGAGCACCAGGTTAAGCACGAAAAAAGAGCCTACGATGATTAAACTAACATAATACATCCATGGCCACTCGTTCCCAATCGCATCATTTACCTGGAAAATGGAAGGACACGGGATAAGTGTGGTTAGGAGGGCAACACACTTTCTGACAGATGCTGGGCAATCGCTGGAAATTGATTCGCATTAATGGAGGATCTGTATGCAGAAAGGGTTTTCAGGTTTTTTTTTGCTTTGTGCGCGATCTTTTGGCTGGCTGTGAAGACTCACAGTGTGCGCGCACCATTGTCGCCGGGGAATAATCGCGTCGCCGTGAGCACAGCGACGGTGGGGTTATTTCTCGCAAGGTTAATCAGACATCTAAAAAGAAGCGTGGCGGTGAAATGGACCTACGATTGCGAGGATATATATTATTAAACACGTACCAGAGGTGTATTAAAAAAAAAACTATTCAAAAGAACTACGTCAAATCGGAATGTTCATTGTGGTGTTTAAAAATAAATGAAATTGGGCACGTCTTAGCAAGCGACGCCTCCATTGATGCCAGCGATTTCCAGCATCCACACGGCACACACAAACGAAAATCAAAAGCAAGACTTCCGGCTTACCCGCTCAATACACCAAGAACGAGATTAAGCACGAAAAACGATCCGAAGATGACCAGACTGACAAAATAAACCCAGGGTAACTCAAAGCCCATGGCGTCATTCATCTGTGGAGGAGGGTGACACAGAACATGGGGTTTACTGCTTGTGGCTTGCGGAGGGAAACACGCTCCAGACGAACATAGGGATTAAACAAAACAAGGAACGAGTAAATCTGAAGAAGAAAAAATGTTGCGTGTCACTCAGATAATTCCCAGGTGTACATTTAAGGGCTTCTGGGGGGAGAAAGTGTAGACGGGATCACAGCTTAAGAAGCTCTCCGTTGCTCTGAAGGTGCTTAGCTGCTGCCGCCGCCGCTGCTACTGTTTGATATATTTGTTTTATCTTCTGGAGTCCCAAGATGCGTGTCCCAGGCCGTACGAGGCTACAACAGAATCAAGGTGAGGTGAAGTGGCACGACTTAACTAGGGGTCAGACAACACAGAGAGCAATCACGTGCTGAGCGAATCTTTTCATTCTCGACATTTCACGTCGGCCTAAAAACGCATCATTTTAAATCACATACGCGACACGTGTATAAAATGAATCATTCAAACTCACAGGTTAAATTCACCCCTCTATATGTGTTTATGCGTCTTTATTTATCATGTCAGTGTTGGCGTCATTATTTGGTCGTTTTATTTAATTTTGTAAAATTGCATTTTACAAAATTAAATAACGGTAGCGCCTTCGTCACGTGCTGCAGAGGTTCGTGGTACGAATCCAACGGCCGCCCTGGTCATCACTGTGCATGTGATAACCCTAATAATGATACTAGATGCCGTCTGCTTTACAGTCCACGTTAAAGATCCCCTGACATCACTCGCAAGAGGAGGCCCATTGTGTGCCGAAATCAGGGTCCAAATTTGCCAAATTCTAAATTTACACCGCTAATTACTCAATTCGGATTATACATGCCCCCCTACTGATACACTGATTCATACCCCAGGTCACTCTTGCAATGAGACATCCTGCTATCTTGTGTTCTCACCGCCTGGTTAAACAAAATTAACTTGAACTATTCATCAAATTATATTTTGCACAAATGCATAGACATTAAATTGTTAAAATGTTCTCTCTATATATATCTCAACCAATTGGCTTTTTGTTTTTATTATTGCTTTTTAATAACCCAGATCTTTCTTTAAAAGGGAACGTATAGCATCAATGGGCACTCTGCTTGAATAAAATTGAAACCTACCAACGCACGTAACAAAATGCCCATGCAATTGGAAATAGCACTGCCCTAAAATGATGTGTACAATAGGTGACGTTTCAGGCAATGGGCCTCCTTCATAGCAAAGATAAATACAGTATATATGTCTCATTTAGGAAGCAGTACCATTGACAAATTTGATAGATTATTGTTCTTTGAGGATTGTGCACCACTACCAATGCAACATCATAATTTGTTTATTTCATTTTACACACATGCTATTTTTTTTCCGCAGGCCAGGGTTTCCCTTATTTGGCAAAGAAGTGTAAACTACTTAGGTATTATGGTTGGCATTCGTTAAGATTATAATAATAATTTGTATTTAAACCAGCTAAGACTTAACTGAGCTTTCAAAATAAAACTCACCACCAACCCTCTCCTTCAAATGGCCCATTCAGCCCTCTATATAGTCACACGCAAGCTCATGCAGTTAATGTAATGAGAATGTCCTGGACTTGGTTCCCCTGAATACTCTTTTATTATTACCATAAACATTATAAAACCGGCCAAATTGATCAAAGTGTTGGCAAAATCTTGGCGATAAAAAAACTAAACTGAATAGTTAAGCCTTCTTGGCCTAGGCCAGGGGTTGGCAACCAAAATAACAAGAAGAGCCATTTTTTTCGGATCCGGTAAAAAAAACTCTTCAATTCTTCAAGAGCCGCAATGCATGGGAATACAAGACGGTGGTCATAAGTGTACTTGGTACCAGACCACCTTGGGCTGAAGGTCAATTATTGATTTTATAAGGCCGTATGTTCTGGCCACTCGGATAAAGAGAGGGACAGAGCTGTCAACTTGTAAGTTGGATCCGACGCTTGGGGCATTGACCAGATAGACATTGAAGGCCCAAATGAATGGTGTGAGTTTTCTGGGAACGTCTGGTGGAAGACCCGGTGTAGAAATATTTAAACTTCTACCTCCGGGGAAACTTGTCCTTCAATCCAGGGGAGGTCGTGGACATTGAGTACGAGTGAACGTTGTTCAAGACCTCGATTGTGGATGCAACTGTGAAAAGCTGGAGCCTCAAGGCAGTTGGTGCCCATCATGGCGGCAACACTAGGACCCACTGGTGGACACCAATGGTGAGGGGAGCTGTCAAGTTGAAGAAGGAAGTTTTCTTAGTTATGATCGGAAAAAGGTCTGCCAACTCGATTGAGAGGTCCTGGCTTGCCAAGAGGGTGGCAGCTGTAGCAGTCGCTGAAACGAAAGCCCGGGCATGGAAGAAGTTTGAAGAGGCCATGCAGAGGGACTACCGGGCAGCCTCGAAGATCTTCTGGCAAACCATCCGACGCCTTCGGAAGGGTCTACAGGACGTGGCCCTGGCTGTTTTCAGGAAGCGTGGCGTAACATTGACCTCAACTAGGGAGATAGGTAGAAGAAACACTTTGAGGAGCTCCTCAACTCAGTGGACATGCCCTCCCCTCAAGAGGCAGCCCTGGAAACAGCTGGGGGGGTAGGATCTTTCACGGCTGCTGAAGTTACTTTGGCGGTCAAGGGCCTTCGTAGCGGCAAAGCTACTGGGGTGGACAAGATTCGCCCATTGTTGTTTAGAACGCTAGACAGTGTAGGAGCTCCGTGGATAACACGTCCCTTCAATGTTGCATGGAAGGTGGGTACAGTACCTCTGGATTGACAAACTGGAGTTGTGGTTGCCATTTTTTTAAAAGGGGACCAGAGGTTGTGCTCCAACTACAGAGGACTCACACTCCTCAGCATACCAGGTAACGCCAGAGTACTAGAGAGGACACTCCGCCCAATGGTCGAGCCTTGGATTCAGGAGGAACAATGCGGATTCCATCATGGTCGTAGGACAGTCCTCAAAGAGCCGCATGCGGCTCCGGAGCCGCAAGTTGCTGACCCCTGACCTAGGCAATGGATGATGTTGTGTGGCTCGTTGTACAGTTTGGATTAGACACCACTGCTATTGTTATTGAATTACCTCCGAGGACAAATACACGTTGGAGCGTGTTACAGAATCGAAGCATATGCATGATTTTTCCCCATGTTTTTCTTATTGATGTGTATACCCCCCCCACATTACATGACCGGCGGCGAATTAACTCCAACGCTGTCCGTACATGGTGGCAAACCCCATCACAACAGGAAAATGCATACATGATCTAACAACACGCGAAAGGATACACCCAGACAAACAGCAGGAAGGCACAACTCCCATCATACCGTGTTATCTGATTACCACATTGCATGTGCAATGCTCTCAATTTTGTCCAGACCACGAGCTCAAGAGCGGAATCGTGGCCATATTGTCGATTAGACCACCAACTCAAAGAGTTGGAAAATGTGGCCAACCCAACAGGCAGCGGTAAAACTAACATTCAGCAAGTGAACTGGTGGTCCGGACAAGGCTGAGAGCATTTTAAACACAGTGTGACGATAAAACTGCCACGGTGGCAAGATGTTAACTGCCTCGCCTTGTATACAGGAGGTTGTGGGTTCGATCCCAACCCTGACACCTGCATACATGGAGTTTGCATGCTCTCTCTTTGGTCGCGTGGATTTTTCTCTAGATCACCCGGTTTTTCTCTCCACATTTAGCAACATGCCTTTAGAGTATTTAGCTGCTATAAATGTCCACGCGATAAGCCACTCCGTTGAGCTCTCATTTGTGGCCAAGTCGCTTCTGAAAAAGATATACATACCTCAGTGGGCTCTTACCTGGTAAAATAAAAAAAATACAAATAGTCTATAGTATATTCTTGGTTCTTTCGGTAAAGTCACGTAGAAGGGAAACCATAAAATAATAAAAATATATATATAAAACAATACATTTCTCACGACGTTTCGACTGCAACACAAGCAATCATCATCAGGTGTGAAAACCACAGCAAGAAAATTTGAAAAAAGTGGCGTTTTTTTAACGTTATTTTTATTATTTTATTCTTTCCCTTCTACGTGACTTTACCGAAAGAACCAAGAATATGAATCCCTGCAGTCACGAAAGCTTTAAATCAAAAGTCTATAGTATATTTACAATTACACGCACACAAGGCATAGGAATGGGAGTTGTGCCTTCCTGCTGTCCGTGGGCAGCACGGCTCTGCGCGTTTGTTAAATCCACCCGTCGCGACGCGGCTGCGAGGGAGCGGGCGAAGTTAGCCGCGAGCGCCGGCTGCGAGCGGCGCGTCTCACCCAGTACAGCACGTCGGTCCAGCCCTCCATGGTGATGCACTGGAACACGGTGAGCATGGCGAAGAAGAAATTGTCGAAGTTGGTGATGCCGCCGTTGGGGCCGGGCCAGCCGCCCCGGCAAACGGTGCCGTTCATCGCGCACTGTCGGCCGTGGCCCGCGAAGGCGCACGGCGTTGGGTCGTCCTCCACCATCGTGTCTGGTTGGCACCATGGATTGGGTCAAATATTGTCGCATGTTGAACTTCTCTCGCACCCTACGCAGCCAACCGTGCTAATCGGAGGTGTGTTTACAGTTGGACTCTGGCGACCGCACCTCTGGGTAATGCCGCGGCTGTGTTAACCGTTAACATATTAAAATACTACGTGCCGTCTGCTTCTCGACGTTTCTAGAAATGTATGCCGGCGCGCCATGGGCAAAGTTTTCCAATTGTAATGAGTGCCTCCTAAATAACTTCATTAAGAAACCACAAACCAATGCAGTGCGGAGGAATACATTGTTAAACACAAGTGCAGGGTGCATCATGGATAACAAAATTATATAAATAAAATTACCATAATTTGTCAAGCATTTATCTTAGGAGCTCGACTGAAGACATTAGAGGCATACATTTTCTTTGTGCTTTTCCCCTCAGCCGAATCTGCCCTTAGCCACCATTACAGGTGTGAATTCGGCCATAAATGCAGACACCTCGAACATTGACATTGCTTATAAAATATAACAACCTTGCATTCCCACGCAATTCGTGTTTTTGTTTTTTTACCAAGCAACCATTACAAATATTTGTACCCCCCTTATTTTGTTGAGCCTAAGCAAACTTTCTCAGCGTACTCTAAAATGTAAACCATAATGTTAGTTGCAATCTCCAAACGTACTAATAAAACAGTGGCTGCGTTTTCATTTCGCTCAAATTAGTATAGTTTTATATTTTGGTCCTGTTTTGGTGCCTTTATATCCCGAAGTCTTACCCATAAGCCTAACCCTCACCCGATTGCAGAAGGAGGCAATAAGTAGGGAGGGGACGGGCAACAAATATTCATTTCTCCAAAACAAATATTTACCTGCTGAAACCTGCTATCAACATTCCTCTAAACTGGCAACCCCCAAGGCAACTTCTTACCGGTGTTGACGTAGAAGCAGGTTTTGTGCATTTTGCCAATGAAGAGCTCGAGGCCGATGATGGCGTAGATGATGATGACGAAGAGGACGAGGAGGGCGATGTGGAGCAAGGGGACCATGGCCTTGATGATGGAATTGAGCACGACCTGCAAGCCTGATTTTCGAAAAATATCATCAATGCTGTCAGCGAACAAACTATTCGGATCTTACAACGCGCCGTGGATGCTGAATTAAGGGTAACGGTTAAATAATTAAGGGTAACGGTTCAATAATGAGCAGGCAGGAAGTCCATATTTCCAAAATAGTTTTTTTCGTGTCCAGTGACCTCTTCACCTTTTGCACCCTCATCAGCAACGTTAAGCCTGTTAAGTAAATGTTGCCGGATAATGTTAATCCGGAAGGTCAAGAGGTTGAGGGACAACAAACATCTGTTCTTTTAAGTGGAGAAGGCAGACTTCCTTCCTGCTTATTATATATCCGTTAAGACTGGCACGGCATACATGGTGAGGTGTGACCAGCATCGTCATAGCCCAGCGTCCTTTATCTCACCAGTGTGCATTAAGCGCGCCACACCAGGTCGTTGTTTCAGGCCGAGTTAAGCTCGGGAAAGCCAAAGCGAGGTACAGAATCTGATTGGCGTCTGGCGTATGGGCATCATAACCAGGAATGAAACTGGAGTCCGCCAGTAGTGTAGCACAGTCCAATAACTAATGTTACACAACCGCACTCACATGCACACTCTCATCATCATCATCACCACACACAAAGCCACTCGCGCTCTCACACAATCACATACGCACACTCAAATACTGCACACACACACACACACAATGCCCTACACTCATATATAGCGCTCTCGTGCACACATTAATCACACTCATTACTCACACACAAAATACCAACCCATCACTCACTATCAAAAACACACAGTCCGTTTCACTCGTACATATAAACGACAAAGAACCCCTGTATAGCCTTGAACAGACTGTTGGGGCAAGTGCTGCTAGCGAACAGGCTGGCACAGCACACGAGGGGATGGCGGGTCAACAAAACGCCCGGCCGCCTTTGTTTCCCAAATGCTGATGTTTACACACCGCACCAGGTGCTCATGTAAGGCTGAGTCTAGGGGAGGCCCTCGGTAAGAGTCTCATCACCGACGTTGGCTGTGAACGGGAATCGAGCTCTGACCGCCAGGTTCCGAGTAAAGTGCACCGACACATGCATCGCAACACTCGCTCAACAACTGCCATTCGCCACAAAGTGACAGTGATATCATCACAGTGCTATTGCCAGACCATGTAGACTTTCGGATCGTGTGAAGTGTCGAAGTCTCGCCGACAGGAAATCATAGGGCAGGCTCAGGTTTGTATGGGATGACTAATAGGTTACTGAAACATGCACTACCTGTGCTCCCCACTGTACCATCTTGCTGTGTTTTACCCGCCCGATGCTCTGCCCATTGTTGTAAGCATCGCTTCTGTCTTTGTTGGTGTAGGTTGGCTGCCTCCACTCCCATGTAGTACCATTCACAAGACTCCTCCTAGAGGCTGACCTTGACACCGCTGGGACAATTTATCAGCAAATCTAACGAGCTTGAAATCCTGCCGTACCAAATCAAACCATCGCCTCTTTAGCCCGTGCCATGCCCATTTAGCCTCCTCAATCCGGCCAAACAGAAGCTGCTCTGGCATTCGGTAGCTGGGCATGTGGGCCACATAACCCAGCCAACACAGCCTCACTTGCTGGAGGTGCTCACCGACGTACTGCAGTTAGGCCAGGCTGAATGTTCCGAATCAGTGCAGGTGTTAACTGTGAAGGGGTCAAATCTTGACTTAAAGCTTTCGTGACTGCATGAATTCATATTCTTTGGGTATTTCGGTAAAGTCACGTAGGTAGGTTATTTTCTTTTAACCTATCTACGTGACTTTACCGAAAGACCCAAAGAATATGTAAAGGGGTCAGTGTTGCTCAGGTGACAGAGAAAATAATTCATGATTATTTTCGAGAAGACCCGGAGGTTCGTGTTGACTGCCATCCAGGCAGCTTTCACGCGGCGCTGCGCAGCGGATGAAAATATAACGTCACTCTCGTGATTCGGAGTGAGACCTCCGCGGCCAAACCGAGGCTGGTAATGAGCACACTGCCAAGGTACAGGATATCCTCCATGCTCTCAACAATTACCCCATTACTCATGGAGAGCTGAGGATGTGGAGTGTACGATGACACGGTGTACCCAGGCCGGTGTTTGTTTTGGGAGGGCTGATAGTGGAAAGCTCCAGGTTTATGAGCAAAGACTCAAACTTATTGTCAGCCTGAGCAGCAGTTTGGTAAGTCATCAGCGAGCTCGACGTGATTCATTAGTATAGAGCCACTCCTTGCCCTCACGCAGACTTCGATCAGCCTGCCATTGTATTTGTACCACATGTTAATTGCATCGGAACGGCCATGGTTATCTTCTCAAACTATGTGGTAAAAAAACATAAATAGTGTTAGGGGCAAAAAAAACCCCTGATGTACAGGGAATGGTACCGACTCTTTGCCATGCAGCTTTGCCCGGAACTGTCCACCATTGAGAATTTCTGTAATAATCTTGAGCAGAGTTGCAGCAACCCATAGGCCTTATCCATGTGAAAAGGGCACATATGTAGTTCCTGTTGAAATCCCTAACACAATTATTCTGTAGAAGATGGACAGAGAATATGGCATCTGTGCAAAAATTGTCCTTGTCCCATAGTTGTGTTTGGGCTGAGGAGATCATCCTACCCCAAGATCTCACAACAATGCTCAGCAAATCTGCAGACCTAATGCTGAGGGCTGAAAATCAAATTACCATTCTGGCCCTTAAGGGAATAAATTGCAGTGGTGCTGTAAGTTATTTTTTGAGTGATTTGTGGCCGTGGCCCACCGAGGCACTTTTCCATCTCCTCAGCAGCCTACGACCGCCAATCATCCTTGCAGTGCGGAACAGCTCTCCAAACATCTGAGCGAAGGCTGCGGTAAGCCTCCTCATTTTCACGTGTGGGATGTTGTTGAACGGTGAGAGTGGGACCACCATTTTCACCATGAAGTATTGTGAGCAATGTCATGAAGAATGGCAATTACCCAAATTGCCATATATTTTATATTTATTTATATTTCCACTGAGGGCAGTGTTATCGACACAATATTGTATGCTGATATTTTGTTAATTGTGCTTGTACTGTCAATGCAATATCACGAAACAAGTTTAATTTTGTAGAAAGGGTCCGGCAAAATAACCCTCACCTGTACATGGCAGCAGACGCTCATCACACACACGTACACATGAACAAACACGCACACAGCGCCCTTCACTCACAATCATACAGCAACAAACGCCATTCGCCATTAAGTGGTGGTGACGTCACCACGGTGCTTGTGGCAGGCTATGTGCACTGTAAGGTAACGTGAAGTGTCGAACTCTCGCTGGCACGAGGTCACGGAACAGACCTAGAGGTACCATGGGTTGACTGACTGAGATGCACCACCTGTGATCCCTACTGTGCCAACTTGCTGTGTTTTAGCCGCCCCGTGCTCCACTCATTGTTGTGAGCGTTGTTCTTTTACCTTCCGCTGTTGGTGGAGGGCGACTGCCTCCAACTGCCCAGTAGCGTCCTTTACGAGCCTGCTCTACAGAGGCCGAACTTGGTACCAGTCATTGGCAAGCCCACTTAGCTCCAGATCCTCTCGCCAATGCCACGCCCGTTTAGCCCCCTCTATTCTGGCTGAACGAAAGCTCGTCCATCTGAACAAACTGTCAAATCGCTCTCCGTGTTGTTAACGTTAAAAAAAACGCCACTTTTTTTCAAATTTTCTTGCTGTGGTTTTCACACCTGATGATGATTGCTTGTGTTGCAGTCGAAACGTCGTGAGAATTTTATTGTTTAATATTTTTTATTATTTTATTGTTTCCCTTCTACGTGACTTTACCGAAAGAACCAAGAATATGAACAAAAGCTGTTTGGGCATGCGGTGGCTGGGCATATACACACATTTCAATATATCTGGTTAATCATTTGATTTGCACTGCCAACTTAATTTAATGGATTTAATTAATTATTGTTCTTCTATTTGTGTTAAACGAATTACGGTCTTGAATATTTTGTGTTATTTATTTTTTCAGATTTATAATTGTCAAACTACTTATCTGACCCAACTCTACTTTGAAAAAGAGACTTTGAGCTCTTACCTGTTGATTGAAATAACGAAAATGCAAATGCAGTGGATTTATCAGCATTCTCCCCACTAAATATGGATGGCGATTGTCAATTCTTATCTGCCCTAGCATCTCAAAGCATCGTACATCAATCACATCTCATCTAAATAATTCCAATATCCAGCTGTAGATTTTTGTGTGAACATATGCAGTGCAGGTATATTGATCTTCCCAGTATAAATGGCCTGGTGCGAGCCCACCACTGGTGGATTATGATCACAAGTTGCCCCCACATTCCACATTTTAATTGAAGCGACCTGCTCCTGTCATTAAGTATTAATTATAGTGGTGCCTTGGTTTTTTGATGCCATCGATTAACGATATTTCGATTAACAATCCGCCTTCCATAGTGGTCAAATTGTTTCGATCGACGATAGATTTTCTATTAACGATGTTCACGATATCACGTGGACCCACCAATGTTGGCCAATCGGAGCGCTCCTAAGCGGACTCGGCAGACCTCAGCCAACCCCACCTTCTCCATCAACCTATTAAGCCATCCATATTCTTCACCTATAGTAAGAATTTTTATTTTATGCTCTATTTGTGCACCTTTTAATGCTCCATTTATTCAGCATTTATCCATGTTTCAATTAATATGAATGCTTTAATATGTTCTTATAACGTTTATTTATGAAAAATATGCGTGTTTAAATATTACAAACGATGTATTAAGGTGAAAAAGGTCAACTTTCGATCGTCTTGGAACAAATTATGCCTTTAACATGTATTTCCTATACTCGATTCACGATAACTTCAATGGTTTTCATGGAACCAATTAACATCGTTAACCGAGGGACCAATTTCAAACTGCACAACAGCATCAAAAATACATTAAATACAGTGCTCACCTCGCCGATATCCTGGCATTATCTCTCAATTTGGCAGGAAGGGTCGTTACAAATCAGAGAGCACTCACGAGTGCATCCGCTTGTTTTGTACTTTTGTTATCTTTTAGCCGATGCAGTCTATTGTACTGTCGGTTTATTTTCCTACCGGTACGATGCACACCACTTGAAGCAACTTACAATTGGGCGATGCTGCGTTGGCAGTGGTGCACAATGAGCGAAGCACATTGTGGCTTTAAAAGGAAAACTATACAAATATTGGTGACGCTGCCGGCAACTGTCCCTTCATCACAGCACGGTTGGCTACGCACGCTGCGAAATAAGGTCAACAAAGATACATGCATACGAAGAAGGGACATTGCCCGAAACGTCGGCAATTATATTTTTACCCTGTTAGGGCCACAAAAAGTGTTACATAATAGCGTACGTATTTATACGTGACTTTACCGAAAAAAACAAAGAGTAATTCCTGCGGTCACGAAAGCTTCAAATCAAGCCACAAAAGGTGTTACTGACGAACGTGCCGAGGGTTTCCACCCCCCCCCCTCCCCTTAATTTGTGTTCTTCTTTCCCTTTAACCACCGGTCGTGAGCGATGTCTCGCGGTGCGAGCGCCAGCGGACCAGACGGGGAAGGGGGCGGGGGCGACGGCGCTCACTGGGCACGCCGGAGACGAGTCGCAGCGGGCGCAGCACGCGGAACGCTCGCAGCGCCTTCACGTCGAAGCCTCCCGACTTCCCTCCCATGGGGCTGCCGCCTTCTCCCACCTTCGTCACCTGCTCCAGCACGACGCTGAACAACCTGCGGCGGGTGGAGGCGGCGGCGGCGGGGGGCGGGGGTGGGGGGAGAGAGGGGACGCGCACGCGCGCGCGTGATCGTCTCGAATCGTCCGTCCGTCCGTCCGCGAGTGAATTACGAGCTCGTTTTTGTGCTGTGCGCGTCTCTTGCGGTGCGTCGCGGGGTCGTGCCGCGTGTTTTTTTCGGCACGATGCCCGACGTTCCGCTATTCGGACGCTGACCGCTCCCGTCAACTCAGTCTCACCGAATGTGGACACGTCAGACCTGTCCCTGAATGAGCTCCCAGCGTGCGGAGCGAAACGTCGGGCGTCTTTCCGAACGACACTCCGTAGCAAACCCAGAAATGCATTGCTGAGCTGAAGGCAAGCCGTGTATTTGGTGCTCCCATTCATTGCTGTAGGATAATATAATTTGACCCTTGCAAAATACAGATGCAGGAAAGTGAAGTGTGGTTTCTGCATAAATGCTATGATTATATGCTGGTGAGAAATAACAAAATTGCATAATAGCGTACGACGTTTCGATTGCAACACAAGCAATCATCATCAGGTACAGAAGAGCTAAATTTAAGAGAGGAAACACATAACTGCAGATATATACAGACCCCCAAGTAGAGGGAATTAACACAGATACACCAGGGGATACAGAGAGAGACGGAGGACGACACTAAATCAAACAGGGTTTAGCAAATTTTTGAAACCATATAAAGCAACACAGACGGTCGGTCAAAACATAATTAACGCATGGTCTGGTTGATTACGCTATTTCAAAGATTGCTAAATTGCAAGTTAAGTGTGACATTTAAGAGAGTGATAGAATACAGACCGCATACACATATATAGACATCCAAGCAGAACGAGTTAGCACAGAGACACATGGGGAGAGACACGCACACAGTGAAGCAGCATCTCTGTGTCGAGGCCTTAAATAGACAGAGACGGCGGGGCTGGGACTGAGAGACAATGGGACACAAATTAGCATGAAGAGAGTATCCATCAAAAGGATGGCGCGGGTGGATGACACAAGTTGTCAAGCACATAGGGGGCTGTGGAGGAAGCAGCAGCACACACTCGGAGACACCAAGGCACACACACACTGGCAGAGACAGCACAGTGACACAAACCCAAGCCAAAACACAAAGGCAGACACACCAGCAGAGACACAGACTTCACACCTCCCCGTAGAGGTGGCTCAAACTCGATTTGGCACTTTCGTGACTGCAGGAATCACTCTTTGTTTTTTTTCTTCTGTACCTGATGATGATTGCTTGTGTTGCAATCGAAACGTCGTACGCTATTATGTAATTTTATTATTTCTTATTTCTACGTGACTTTACCGTAAAAAAAACAAAGAGTAATTCCTGCACTCACGAAAGCGCCAAATCAAGTTTATATGCTGGTGGTGAATAAGGATGTAATGGTGCATTTATTCAACAATTAACATCGCATATTGTTAAACTCACGATAATTAATCATTTAAGAAGTGTATATGAAATAATGTTTAAGTGTTATTCTTATGTGTGTTGAATGTAATGGGTTCATGTCACCCCCCCCCCCCACCAGAAGCCAGGACAGCTGCTGCCATTGACTGCCATGTTAAAAACAACTTTTTAAAAAATCTCAAATTCTTGAATCAAATCATGACCCTGAATCCTGCCAAGTCACTAAATTGCTGGGGGTTGGAGGGGGGGGGGAGAGTGAATCACGCCACGCGTATTGGATAACATCGATCGGAAAGGCCAATGAGCCAATTGATTAAAGTTACAGGTTGCTTCAAAAACATGTGAACACTTCGGAGAATTTGCAACAAGTCCACAAGAAATGTGCTGCTGCCTCCGGGCTCTGGAGATCACCTGGAGAAGATTCCAGGCCACCTGTTGACAACGATGGCGAACAAGTGGAGACTCTTTGACTTTTTGAAGCTATTAACATACATTTGTTATCATGTTACAGTGGAGTATTTCCCATTCCTTTTACATTTAAAACGATAGTCCCATGTAAGTGTTAACATATTTGTGAAGCACCCTGTATTTTGTTTTTTCGGTAAAAAACAGACGGTGGTCTGTATTTAATTAATTTTACTGTCCATAACTTTCTACAGCCTGTGACCAAATAGCACAGAAGGTGCACAATCTCATGAGATATCAGAAGCTAAGCTGGTATGAGCCTGGATAGTGTTTGGATGGGTGCATAAACAGGTGTTATAGGCCTAGGTCAGTGCATTGCAGCAAAATCAATTGTTGCACTGCGCCTCTATGATCCCACTTGTATGCTCCCCATATTCACCAAGCTCTACTGGCCGGCGTGTAGCACACAGTGAAGCAACCCTCCTGAGTGAGACAGAGTGGGGAGGTCCCTTGTCCAGCAGTGGGTCAACAACGCGCTGTACTTTTATAATGCTCCGAAACTGAGCAAAGACCCCCGGAGCCGGCCCAGGACTCGCTGGTGGGACTACGTCGCTCGGCTGGCCTGGGAACGTCTGGGAAATACCCAGTAAGGGCTCGAGTCTGTGTACAGTGTAGCGTAGCAGTGTATAGTAGTGTATAGTGTAGTGTAGTAGCGTATAGTAATGTAGTGCCGGAGTCAGGGAAAGGGAGGTCTGGACCGTCCTACTCAACACGCTGCCGCCGCCGCGATCCTCACCAGGACGAGCGGTTTGAGAAACGAGCGAACGAACCAAACAGCACATCGTGGGTCTTTCAAGCCACTGCGACACTCGGCCCCGGAGCAATCGGGCCTAAGGGTTCAGCAGTGGAAACATTTTCGTTCTGCAAATTTTTGGCAGTTCCGCTGGCTTGGTTCTCACGCTGCAACACGACGATTTACCCTTGGCGAACGATGCCACGGGCTCACGTGTGCGGCTGCGCCGTTGCATGCGCAACCAGACGATCCGTGCTGTGACAGAAGCGTAAAGTATGTTCGCGGTGTTTACAATATTTGCAGCTTCTGAAAGAACGGATGAGCTTTGCACTCTGTTTTCGCGAGTCAACATTTTTTGTTTGCGTGTGCACAAAAGCGAGCTGTAGCTTTCGAGCTTTTAAAAATGTGGATGGCAGTTTAATTTTGTGAACACACGTGCCTATCCTCCCCACCCGAACATGCGCAGAGGCGCAGCGTGCAGTGCTTGGTTGACGAGGTGTGACGATGAGGAGGGGGGAAGGGAGGGAGAATGAGAAGGAGGTTTTAGCCGTGGCACGGACCCCCTCTGCTCGTGGAAATAGCCACAATTGGAGCGCAGTGAAATGGGGGCACGGGGTCAATGTGTCCGACACTCTTATTAGCGATCGTGATGTAAGAGTGCGCTGATTTAGCGAGATTTTATTTCCCCAACGCCCCCCCCCCCCCCCGAAGCTAGCAGCGAGCACTTAAGAGGGGAGACTGTGTCTCAGCGAGGAAGTATCTTCAGGTTATTCGTTAACGCCACGAGACATCATTCATTGCACCGCTGACAAATCTAGAGGAACCCCTCATTAGCAAGCGCACAACGATTCACCCACCCCCCGCCGTCGCCCCCCTTTTGCGTCCCACCCTCGCCCCTTCCCAGCGATCGGATCCATCGCCACGAGTCGTTTTCAACTTCAGCATCGTCCCACCCCCCCCCCCCCCCTCGTTTGTATCGCAGCTCCCTGCCTTGCCCTCTTCGGCGCAGCTTGTTGCTCACCGCAAATAAAATTGGCATCGACGTAGCAAGGTCATTGGTTAGCAAAAGTAATTTGCAGAAATTGTAAATAACCAATTGTTACACGCACACATTTACGTGTGTCTCATCAGCATAATGATTTATTTCACTGCTGAATCAATGATATATCCAAATATACTCACGTGTCAGTCTAAACCTCAAATTGTCTTCTTTTCTGCAGAGTGATATTCCACAGCTGCATATAAACAGGAATGCTTACGTAAACTGTGATAAATATTTGTAATTATTGACTCTCGCTGGTAATACAAGAAAAACACAAATCCATTAAAAATGAATACATCATAAATAAACATATGCCTCTGTGGGTGCTGTTCATTTGAGTCAAGGGGTGAAAATTATTGAGATGTCAACATATTTTCCAAATGTTTATGAACTGCTTGCTCAGTGGTCCTGCAGGGCATAAACTTAGCATAATGCTTCCACATTTGCCATGCAACAGGGAGCTGAAGCCGTATAAATTGCAGCGGCAGGTTGTGTTCTGCTGGATTTCATCGGTAAAAGCAAAACTGATTTCTCGTTCAAAATATGCATTGAGGCAGCGGTCATCTCCCGTCGACAGCCCTGAACCAATGGTGGAAATACCACATTTCTATGGCAGGAGCAAGTCTATCCAGAGGACAACCACTTTTGACATGCGCACAAAGCTGTTCCTATTTTATCGACTGTGGAGGCAATAGGTTTAATAATCACTGAAGATTCAGGACGTAACCTACACCGCCGCGCTTATGTGCCGATAGGAGACGCGACAAATTGTGATGTAAGGAAATGGATTTCTAGCTCGAGTGGTGAAGATCGTGTCTATTTATTGCGATCGCATTATGTCCCTGACTCTAAAACGCTCGCCTTAAGCAACGCAACGAGGCATTCCTCCCCACATGCAACAGATTTGTTTTTGCCGCGCGTGAATAGATGCGAACGCAGAGGTTAGGTTGCACCGTTGCCGTGTCATTTCATCAAGAGTCTCATAATAGGGCTGATAAAAATGGACTTAATTTGTGTGCAATAACACGTAAAGACTTTGTCCCCATGAAATGCAACATCATGGCAGAATGGCGATTAAAAGACAGGCCGGAGGTTCCACTGAAGGTGCAAATTAAGAATGTGTAATTATCAAAAATAAATTTAGTGCTCGTTTTTTCAAATTCCAAATGGGTGCCCTGAACCTCGTTAAGATAATTCATATTGACATTCACTCATTTGATGGAAAATAATCCAAAACCTGCTTATGAATAAATACAAAAAACACACCTAACAATCACAGGTTCATCGTTAACGCAGAGTGGTACGTATTTTTCGGTAAAGTCACGTAGGTATAAAATAAAATAATAACTACATGACTTTACCGAAAGAACAAAAGAGTATGGATTCCTGCAGTCACGAAAGCTTCAAATCAAGATTGGTACTATTTGTTATAAACACATCGTGATTTCATTGTTTTACTTCGTATACAGTATGCCGTTAAGTCCTCTTCGCAGACGACCGGTTTTATCTCCTCTGAAATGGCTCAAAATAATGGAACAGGAATATCTTAGGAAAAAAAAAACAGGACGGCATTATTTCGTAAGTCGTCACCAATTTAATCACCACTCTGCCTGCTTCCTCCCTGGCTTGCCGCAGCATTAAATTATCTCCATTCGTTACATGGACAATGACGGTGACATGGCAGGTGAAGACCCACACAAGGCCTATCAAACAGCCATTAGCCGGGGGCGGTGTGGTCAAGACAGCGATGATTGGGTAATCGCCGAGGTCAGGGTAGGCCCGAGGGCCCAACGTGACCAGTGGAGAGCGTCGGAACGGCGCGCCACACGCCACACGCAGCAGAGGCCTGGCGTGCGTCTTCGCCGCTGCCTCCGCCACGCGTGCCGTGCTGGTTCGTGCGGGTCGACACGCGTAGCGAACGAGCAAGCCGCTGCTGGATTGCACGGTTTTTTTTTTTTTCTACGTGCGATTACTGCGTTGGCAGTGGTGTGCAACGAACAAACAAAAAAACTGGACACGTTCGTCAATAACACACCCTACAGAGGAAAAAAAGATATAATAGGGGGCACTTCTGGCAATGGCCCTTATTCAGAGCAGAGATCTCTCAGCTGCTATGAGGAAGAGCCATTTCCTGAAAAAATCACCCATTATATAATTTTACCTCTTTAGGGCACTGTTATTGGCGAAGGTGTTGAGTTTCTGTCACGAGTGTGTGCGAAGATCAATGTGGATCCGGCCGCGAGGAACAACCAAGCGTCCTGGGTGAAGCGGATTGAGACGCATGCATCCAAGCACGTGGCACCCCGCTCGAGCGTCCGCTATCATTTGCCGTCCGGGCGTACAGTTCATGACCTGTGCTGCACACTGCACCGCGTCCTGAGACGCCAGCTACGTTTGGATGGGGATGTGCTACGCGTAGAACGCCGGACACCGCGATTCGAGTTCAAAAATTGGGGATGTATTCGATTAATCATCCCTCTGGGGGGCGAATTTCACTCTGTAGGATTTCATTAATGTCCGTGCTAACAATCAGACTGGCTCCCGCCATGGACATTTTAGGGATGCCCACAAACATTCGTGGTTCCCGTGCACATTTGAGTGGGGGAAATATTTGGAATTGAGGCAATCATTATATATTATCGATGTAGTGCTCCACACCTGCATGCCAAGTTAACGGGAGGTGTTGAAACAGATTTGACACTGAAAGCGCACACATGTGCTAAAAGGAAAATGCATTAGCACGTCCTAATTTTATTATTATTTTATGCTTGCTTACCCAAGACACCTCGCGCGCTCATTTCGTTGAAGGTCCTTAATTAATCCCAAGCGTTATTTGGGGGTAATTTTTTTCAAGTTCGGCAAATTTGGACCATGAAGCCGGCACGGAATAGCCTGCTCTCGTAAATTACTTCAAGAGGTCTTTACCGTCCAAAGCGAAGCGGACGTCGCGCGGTATTTTAACGGCGAACGCGCGCTGGGATTCGAACCGTGAACCTCCGAGGGGACACGGCGAGCGCGTCACGACCCCACGCCGAACGCCAAGCAGCATGAACGCGCGTGGACCTGGAAATACTTCACTCGAGGCAGTGGCGCCGCACGAGCTTGAGCGTCCGAGGCGACATTGAATTCTACAGCGGCGGGCATTCCACAGAGTTGGAGTGTTACAAAAGAACAAAGGGAAAAGCGTTGGGCTTCATGTGTCGGGCTGAAACTCCGCTAACAGTACCGCTGCGCAGATCTAAGACGCGCTCCGTGCTCCGCTCCCACCGCATCGATGCAATTTATAGTTTTAAATAAAATGTGCAAACAAACACGAATGCACCGTAAAAAAAAATGTGGTTACATCTAGATGCGCCAGCTCAACCCTCTCGTCCGTAACTTTCACAGCCCCCCCCCCCACCGCCGCCACCGCCCCCCCCCCCCCCGCCTCATCAATGGTCCCTGTGAGCTAACAACGCACGCGCCTCGCCGTGCGAGATGGCGGTCACATCGGCAGGCTTCGTAAATTGACCGCTTGCGTTGCGCCGCCGACCGGCAATTTTGGAGGCGAAGGGATTGGTGATGCGTGTCACGGATTAGCGACACTCCGCCCCTCCTCGCTGAGATGGGAGGCGACGCTGGGAGATGAACAGCGACTTGGTGTATAAAGCCAACTCGAGAGGCGGTTGGCTACGTACGGTGCAAAAGAGGTTATACATACGAAGAGACCCTGGTCACCCCCCTCATACTCGGTGTGTCTGCGGATACTAGCTCACCTCGCAAAGACACATTCTCATTAAAAGGGTCAAACATTCTGAAAGCAGGAGACCCTGCTCAAAAGTGGTCGTGTGTGAGCTTTCTTTGATAATTAAATTATGATTTAAAAAAATACTCTGTAAATTGTTCATGTAAACACAGTAATTAGTTAATGAATAATGATGGAAATTAATTAAATAACTGTTGCTAAATAGACAGTAGATAATTGGCTTCTAACCACGCATCGATCAATTGATTAAAACATAATCTTGAACTCATGATACTTGCGTTGATTTCCGCGTGTATAAGAATATATTATTGTCAATTAGATTACATGTTGTACTTCATTGGTTCACATGACCCCTGCAGCCACTAGAGGTGCTACACTTGCCACAACAACAGTAAAATACATTCTTAAAATCGAATCATGATCCTGAGAATATTGACAATTCATAGAATATTGAGAGGGTAAATAAATTATTTGTATTGCTTACAACACTTCTGGTGGAAGGACCTCACAGGAGAGAGCTCTAGAAAGCCCATCTAGAGGACACTTGGCCTACTCTTCCACGCTGGCAACACATCGTGGACGAGCTGAGATCACAAAGACAAATATCCCCCATAAAGCCGACAAAGGCTGTTGGGGCAAGTGCTGTTTGCAAGCACCTATGAAGGGGGGGTTGGGTTGCCAACACAACGCCCGACCACCTTTGTCTCCCCAGTGGCGATGTTTACACACCGCACCAGGTACTAATTTTAGGTCGAGTCTACCTACGGGAGGCCCAGGACGGGTTCAGATAATCGTCAGCTCGTGTTGACCGCTAACGGGGAATCGAACCCGGGTCGCCGGGTTCGGGAGCGGGCCGCGCACTTACCGCAATGCCACTTGCTCCCCGCAGAAGTGGGAGTCACCACACTTCACCGCACACCGCGCGACCTGCCGATTGATTCACCGTGCCGTACCCATTCACACTGCTTGGTGGACAGAGACGGGGGCAGGGATTTAAGACACTTGCACCGTTATATTAACTGCTGCACAGGGGAGATGAAATCGAACGGTCTACCTCTGCGTTATTACAATTCCAGTGCACTAACCGTTACACCAAGGCAACAGTGTTTTTGAAATCTGGTGCCATCAGCACACGCTGATGGCACCATCAGCGTTTGTTGTAACTGGATATCTGCGAAAAAGAGCTTCATAGCTCGTCGGATTTCTCCAGGATGAATAAAGATTCAGACTCCGACACACGAACGTGCATCCTTACCCCACGATGACGATGACGAAGTCGAGCAGGTTCCACCCGTTGCGAATGTAGGAGCTGGGATGCATGACGAGTCCATACGCCAAGATCTTCAGGAACGTTTCGATTGTGAAAATAATTAGGAACGCATATTCCACTTTTTCCTGAAAAAAAAAAAGAGAAACGCATCAATGCGGTCGTCAGTAATTCTCTCCGACGCTTATACCGGCGTGTTGTTCTGAATGATGTCCGACGTTTTGATCCACAGGCTGGGAGCTTCTTTAGCACGTGGAGCAATAATATTAATCTGCCGCATAAACACGACACCCCCTCTATCCATATCCAAGGGCACAAAGAGCATTTTGTCCTTGAGACAAAGTAAGCAGTCTGGCATGTTGATGAGCCCCAAAACGCGTGCTGTCATAGTATGTAGTTGCACCAACTTGATCAAAGATGCAAATGTGTCAAGTGTGATGACATGATTTGAAAATTAGGATTTTGGGGGGAGTTTTTTTTTTCCCAGTGAAGAAAGACAAGCTGCTTTCCACTTAATTACGCACACATTCCCATTGCTGCGCACATTATCAACAAAAACAACAATTTGCCATTCCCTGCCATGACTGTGAATGGATTTTTTGGTGGCTTAGTCCGTGTTACCATGCTGACCCTGTCAAGCAGGAGGAAAATGATAACATAATGCACAGCACAGACAAAGAAAATGTGTGTGAATGGATTAAACCGTTGCTATCCGGTAATATCCACTCCCTTTGTCACTCCACTGCTGGATGGAAGGCCTCTCTAATGTCAGTCATGGGGAGGGTGTTTGGGAATTATCCCCCACTCTGGTCAGTGCTGGTTGCTGGAGTGAGGGCCCACGAGCGGGTCTGGATATCAATCGGCGCTAATGTTGGCCTTCGTCAGGGAATCGAACTTAGGTGGCCAGGTTCGTACCCACAATGTACCGACCGCTGCACCACAACTCTTCCATCCACCGCCACCCATTAGCTGTTTAATATTCTGCAAGCGCCAGTGCAAGAGTGTGGGTAATTGCAGGGGGAGTTGTTCACAAAAACAAAATATATCTCCAACGCCTGCAGATATGTAATCTGTGAGCCTCATTTGAAAGATGAATATGCGAGCAACGTGTTTCAGTTCAATAAAAAGTACGAGGAGTGAGGATGCAGATCTTTACACAGAGGCGGACAGCAATTCTACAACAGCGCCTCATTATTACAGATCGTTGAGAATGGTGGATTGATGCACTGAAGTGGCCTAATACGTCAACTCTGCGATGTTTCCAAGGGTAATATACTAATTACAGAGCATTTGATTCAGCAATATAATTAATGACCTGTACCCTTTAGCTCTCGTTAGTGTAACCACTGTACCTTTCCCACTGTATTATCCTACAATGTTTGGCGAATTTCAATCTTATATATTGATACAATATAAAGAATCTCACTTTTTTTAATATAGCTTGGACAATTAATTTTCAAACCGTCATAGGATTCTTTGGCTCAAGGTTCGGAGGATTGAGCCGGCATTGAAGAGATATTGGGATCGAATCTGGGTTCTCAAGGGCAGCGAGTTAATGGCATCAGCCTAGTCACTAATTACGGCAAAATTTAAGATGTGTATTTTTTTCCAATTAATTTCACCTCCGAGAAATAACAAAAAAATTATTAGTTTGAATGCAATGCTACAACCGTCCGTCTGCACGCAGGGCATGTGGGTAAGCACGCTTCATAAGCGTGTGATTAAGAAATCTCGCTCAAAGTTGATCTTAGAAGCAGGTTTTGTGATACCACGTTTCACGGGCCATTCTTCAACATGTGGTGATGAGAGTTCCAAAGGGAAAGATCTTTGTCTCATCACACGAAGACAATAACACAACAGGAACAACATTTGAAAAATACAAAAAACACACACTTTAGATTGTCTTGATATTGATTGCAGTATTATACGTACGGCAGTGTGGACAGGAGGTGGCACACATCCCTATGAGTCCAGAAAACCCGAGTTTGATTCCCGATCACAGCTGATGTCAGTGTCGAGTCATCATTAAACCGCCCCTGGTTCCTTCACGAACCCACACAGACCAGCGTGGTGAAGTATGGTAAAGCAATCAGCGTGGTGAAGTATGGTAAAGCAATCAGCGTGGTGGAGTATGGTAAAGCAATCAGCGTGGTGAAGTATGGTAAAGCAATCAGCGTTGTGAAGTATGGTAAAGCAACCAGCGTGGTGGAGTATGGTAAAGCAACCAGCGTGGTGAAGTATGGTAAAGCAACCAGCGTGGTGAAGTATGGTAAAGCAACCAGCGTGGTGAAGTATGGTAAAGCAACTAGCGTGGTGAAGTATGGTAAAGCAATCAGCGTGGTGAAGTATGGTAAAGCAACTAGCGTGGTGAAGCATGGTAAAGCAACCAGCGTGGTGAAGTATGGTAAAGCAACCAGCGTGGTGGAGTATGGTAAAGCAACCAGCGTGGTGGAGTATGGTAAAGCAACCAGCGTGGTGAAGTATGGTAAAGCAACCAGCGTGGTGAAGCATGGTAAAGCAACCAGCGTGGTGGAGTATGGTAAAGCAACCAGCGTAGTGAAGCATGGTAAAGAAACCAGCGTGGTGAAGCATGGTAAAGCAACCAGCGTGGTGGAGTATGGTAAAGCAACCAGCGTGGTGGAGTATGATAAAGCAAACAACGTGGTGAAGTATGGTAAAGCAACCAGCGTGGTGGAGTATGGCAAAGCAACCAGCGTGGTGAAGCATGGTAAAGCAACCAGCGTGGTGGAGTATGGTAAAGCAACCAGCGTGGTGGAGTATGATAAAGCAAACAACGTGGTGAAGTATGGTAAAGCAACCAGCGTGGTGGAGTATGGCAAAGCAACCAGCGTGGTGAAGTATGGTAAAGCAACCAGCGTGGTGAAGTATGGCAAAGCAACCAGCGTGGTGAAGTATGGTAAAGCAACCAGCGTGGTGGAGTATGGCAAAGCAACCAGCGTGGTGAAGTATGGTAAAGCAACCAGCGTGGTGGAGTATGGCAAAGCAACCAGCGTGGTGAAGTATGGTAAAGCAACCAGCGTGGTGAAGTATGGCAAAGCAACCAGCGTGGTGAAGTATGGTAAAGCAACCAGCGTGGTGGAGTATGGTAAAGCAACCAGCGTGGTGGAGTATGGTAAAGCAACCAGCGTGGTGGAGTATGGTAAAGCAACCAGCGTGGTGGAGTATGGCAAAGCAACCAGCGTGGTGAAGCATGGTAAAGCAACCAGCGTGGTGGAGTATGGTAAAGCAACCAGCGTGGTGGAGTATGGTAAAGCAACCAGCGTGGTGGAGTATGGTAAAGCAACCAGCGTGGTGGAGTATGGTAAAGCAACCAGCGTGGTGGAGTATGGTAAAGCAACCAGCGTGGTGGAGTATGGTAAAGCAACCAGCGTGGTGGAGTATGGTAAAGCAACCAGCGTGGTGGAGTATGATAAAGCAACCAGCGTGGTGGAGTATGGTAAAGCAACTAGCGTGGTGAAGTATGGTAAAGCAACTAGCGTGGTGAAGTATGGTAAAGCAACCAGCGTGGTGGAGTATGGTAAAGCAACCAGCGTGGTGGAGTATGGTAAAGCAACCAGCGTGGTGGAGTATGGTAAAGCAACCAGCGTGGTCGAGTATGGTAAAGCAACCAGCGTGGACGACATGCCACAAGGATGCCCTTATTCCTCGGTGGATTCACAAAGGGCTCGAAAATAAATTACGAACATACATTTCACTTGACATGCCACGGTGTCAAATGACACAAATACAAAGATCCCCCGAATAGCCATAACAGACTGATGGGGCAAGTGGTGTTAGCGAGCACCTATGAAGGCCGGAAAGGCACACGAGGGAGTGGGTGGCCAGCAAAACACCTGGTCGCCTTGACGATGTTTACACACCAGGTACTCATTTGAGGCTGAGTCGACCTAGGGGAGGCTAAGGACCCGTTCAGATAATCGTCACCGGTGTTGGCCATGAGCGGGAATTGAACCCGGGTCGCCGGGTTCACAGCGCAGCGCGCTAACCCCTACACTGCCGCTCCCCACACTATAATTGGCACACACACACACAATAATGCAAGCCTCTGCGCGCCCTCACGATTAAGTACAACATTAACAAATACGCCCGACGATCGATCCCACAAAACGGAGGCCAAGCAAACACCCAAGTCTTATCGGCGATGGTTAAATGCGATCCGTCGTGCTTTTAAGAGGGTGAAATGAGGAGAGAGGATTGGTGGTGGTGGTGGGGTTAGCATCTCAAACGAATTCCTCATCGGTCACGGGGACCTCGGCGCCGAGGGCCGCCGCCGATGAATCCCGAGTCACACGAGGAGACGCCAAAGCCGTTTGCAACCCAAAAAACAAAGCGAAAGAAATCCCCACGCAGTAGCCGGCAGTGAAGCGATGGGTTCGCGCTGAGCCACTTCCTCGAGACTCGCAAACCCTCCCCCCCCCCTGCTGCCGTGCACCGGCGCACGGCAGCAGCGGTGGAAAGCGTGGCCGTCGTGACGGACGGGGCATGCGCAAGCAGACCATCCTGCTGCGTCGTGAAGAAATTAAGACGGGGATCGCGTGACATATATATGGGTCATCTTGCTCTGTAGTAGGGCTAAACGATTAATCGATTTCAAATCGAAATCGCAATTTGAAACAATGCGATTTGCTAATCGCGTTCGAAGGATGGTGACCCACCCAGCCCCGTGGTGATTTTGCGTTCGAAGGATGGTGACCCACCCAGCCCCGTGGTGATTTTGCGTTCGAAGGATGGTGACCCACCCAGCCCCGTGGTGATTTTGCGTTCGAAGGATGGTGACCCACCCAGCCCCGTGGTGATTTTGCGTTCGAAGGATGGTGACCCACCCAGCCCCGTGGTGATTTTGCGTTCGAAGGATGGTGACCCACCCAGCCCCGTGGTGATTTTGCGGAACGGGGCTGGAGATGGCTGAAATAACTTGTAAAATGTTACAACGTAAAAAAAAAACTGCAAAAAATTAAAATAAAGTTATGCGTTTTGCAGACTCTCCTCGTACACTAACACATAGGAGGGTGAGAGCTGGAGCCAAATGCACGATAGACAAGAGATTGTAGCATCATTCATTCTGCTTAGCGCTTAACATTTGTTTACAGTTTGTTTACTAGCGACA